ATTTTATCACAATTTTTATCACGTCCAACTGTCAAACTCCATAGGTATTCGGCAATTGAGCGTGATAAAAACGGTATATCTATCTTAAAGCGGTGTTCATGCTAAGGGGGCTAGAGGCCGATCGCACTAAATGTCAAAAGACAGAAATGCAATGAACCGTAAGCGAACCCCAACTTTTTATGACATTTCCTATCGCTCTAAAGTTTTGACAACTGGTTGATATGTAAACGTATCACGATTGGACCGTACTTTAGTAAACTTCAGTCAAAAACATAAAGTAGTTTGTCTTGTTTTGCAATTACAATGTTGTGTCTCCTCTATTTGTGATGAACTGGTGCCTGAAATAGGTTTCAGCAATAGAAACCTGTGCTACAGATCACCAGGCCCAATCACAGATAGCATGCATGACTTCCACGAATGTTATACGAATAAATAGCGCGGTTGGCCTGCAGTATCCTCTTTTATATAATTACCCCCTCTTTCTGTAACTTCATCTCAATAACAACACAACGTATTCTGAGTACAACTTCTGACATTAATTTTACTTGTCAAGGTAGAAGAAGAATTAGAAGTGTGCTAATAAATGAGGTAATGCTGAGCAGCGAGAGAGGTTCGCCTGCTCTCACAAGTCTACCCGCAACCGCCGAAATTCAAACTCATGCTCTCCCATGTGGGTAAATAAGGTGTTGTGTGTTGTACTTCGCCATCTTTCTCTTGTAATCAATCAGCGAGCATTAGCACTGGGCTAGATCCCTTTCACACTCTCCAAAACGGGATTGAAATTAGATTGAAATCTATCTAGCAACGCAATTTCGTTAGTTTTTTTTATCAGAGTTTTTACTATAAAATCCGATAATTATTTAATTTAATCAAATGATGGTGAATAGGACTTGATATTTTTTATAGATAGTCGGTTTTTAAACTAGTGCCGATTTCTGGCGTGAATAATATTTATTTTAATATATTGGAAAGAAAATTACCTATCAATTTTTACATAATGAAGTAGCTTTATTTTAAGAGCAATGGTTATTAGTCTCAGAGTTACTTTAAACCATGCCAAATATCACCTTAAAACCTTTTTAATATCGATAGTTTAGAAAATTCTTAATATGATTCTATTTTTACGCCTTTTGTAAGAATTTGCTGCCCATCTCTACCCATGCATGGGTTAAAATTTAGGTACCTACCCATAAACAAACTCAATTTGAATGAGAGTTGCCAGTATCTTGTCCAGTGCATTTTTTAATATCACCTTAAAACCTTTTTAATATCACGTTAAAACCATGTTAACTTTATAGCTTAGTTTTTTTATTCACAATGTAACACTCGAGTTTAATATTAGATTTAGTGGCTGTTGTAATTAGAGCTTTTTGTCTCACCAGCAATTAATTTTGAATTATCATTTAACATAAGTTGAGTTGAAGTAGACTGATTTGCTGCGCCTCTTATAAGAATCGGCAGCAAAAAAGTTTCTTCTACCGCTATATTATTAAATATTTCAGGAAATTACCTACAGAAAAATAGGAATCCCCGGAACAAGCTGAGATTACTGAAATCCATTCAGACCAGTGTATTATAAATTGCAATATTATGTCATTTAGCCTGTTAGGAGCCATCCATAAATTACGTCACACGTTAAGGAGAAGGGAGGGGGTCGACGAAGTGTGACATCGTGTGACAATGGGGTGGGAGGTGTCCTAAATTTCGTGTCGTCACATTTCAAAATCTATTATAATCTAAGTGTTGAACTTTACGAAAACATTAACAACCCAAACGAGAACAAAATGGTGCTATGCCAGTTATAAATAATTTAAAGGAGTGGGTATCTTTACTTTTATTATTATGCTATTAATATTTTTGTTTTGTTAATTGTTTGTTTTGATGTTAATATTATTTAAAAACATTTAAATGGAAATAAAACTGATTTCAAAACCGCTGTTTTCATTCAACAAATTTTAAATGTAAATTTTCAAAATATGTGACGTCACACTAGCGAGGGGGGGAGTCTCACAAATGTGACCAGCTGTGACAAGGACGGGAGGAGGGGCAAAAAAGTATGAAATTCGTGTGACGCAATTTATGGATGACCCCTTAACCTACGCATACTAACGAGCTATAATTTAATAACATTTATATGCAAAGAACAAATTGTGTCAAAGGGCAGCGGCCAATTTGTGATTCTTTAAACGGTTAACAGGACGAATTAAGGAAGGCCGATAGTATTTATACATATCTATTTAACTAGTGATGTGATGACATTACGATACGACCTCTTTGGTTACTTATTTCAAAATATAGTTTTAAAAATGTTGTAGCTACGAGTCGTACATTAAATAACTTGTGCTGTTTCATAATAGTACCAAAGGACATGGTAAAATTTGTATGAGCGACTGCCCTAGCAATATATATATTGTACTTAGTCATAATTAATGCTGAATCGCTGAAGTTTATAATTTCTATGAAAGAGGGCTCAGGAACTTTTGATAAAGTCACAATACTGAAAAATATGTTAACATCTACTACATCATACTTTGCTACATTTGATAAAAGATATTGCCAATTAATTACGTGGCCATCAATTTCGCATTTTCTCAGTATCTTTTTCCCCGTTTTTCTGATTAAAACTTCACAAAAAGTGTTTTAAAGCAAAAATAAATGCAAATATTTTTTTGTTATCGGTCTGACAGGAAATCTGTGAAGTTATATTTTGTTCATTTGCAAAAATCAAAGAACTTCCTTGTCTCAAGTCTGATCGCAAAAATAAAATCTATTATTTTAACTTCAGTGTTTGTTATAAATAAATAGGACCAAGTATTTCATAGTTCTCGGGAGTTTTGTTTTTTTTTATATTTTAAATTACCTACATAATTAATTTGTGTGTAGACTTATTGTTCATTTATTTTTGTAAAACGTAACTATTTCCTTTTGGAACAGATGTGAAGTCGTTTTTTATACTTTTCCAATTTTGATTATTTAATACACGTAATAATTAATAAATAAATATTTTAATGTTGCGGGCTAGTGCGAAATAATTATACATGTTAAGGGCAGTTTCTTAGCCATGTCCTTTATCAATTAACATTATAATACATCTTACTGTGAAATGTAGTGGTCCTGTTGGTATGCGTAAAATGTCCGTTTGAAAATTACGACTGGCTTCAAAGGGTTAGAAAAACGTAAAGTAATTACTTATTATTATTAAAATTCTCCAGTAAAACATGCCTAATTTTTGTTTACTTTAGAATTCTAAAGTCTATCTTTTACGTAGTCTATGAATAGATTCATCAGTTAATTAGTTAAACATGCAGACTTAACTGCAGTTGCTTTAACGATGCGCAAGCGCATCCTCCAACGCGATTACGTCAAAGCCGTGACTCGGACAGCCGCTCGGGCAGCGCAGCGGGTAGCCATTTCCATAGTATCGATTGACCGTATAGCAACGAAGGCTGCTGCTACAACCTTGGTCCTAACGCTACCTTCGCCAGCAAAACTACCAATTCGTTCGATCGAGCGTTCCAAAAAGTATAACAGAAATTAGAGGAATAAATCATTGAGATAAACAAAAAGTTTCTATGTTAAACGCGAAAGTGATCGTGACAAATGCAGTGTATAAAACTTGCAAACGAACCGTCGATGACGGTGTTGCACTATGTGAACATAAAACCATAAGGTTATGGGATAAGTTTCTGAAGTGTCTGTCGCATGTCGTCAAGTATTTCGGTATGTTCTGTTACAATAGTTTTGTTTCGTCCAACTGTAGCTTTCGTTTGCTGTATTTACCTATCATTGTATGTTGTGTGTACTTTATTTATATGTTGAAAGTATCGCAGATCGCTCACACATCTGACATTGCACCATTGTTATGATGTCGAGGTTGCAAGTTCAAGGTTGCGGGTCATATTATGTGGTTATAATGATGCTGTAGAGTCAGTACTTGTTTTAAATGAAAGTAATAGCCCGAAACTAACTCGTCCTTGCTTTTTAAACTTTTAAGTTATTTTGTAAATACAATTTGAAATATAGTTGCTAATTTGCGAATAGCGATGATATCAGCAGAAGTAAACATATGTCTTAGTCCGAATTATGTTATAAAACTTGTAATGTATATAATGACGAGTTTGATTTGGAAGAGATTTTGCTACTACACAGATATTTATCTATAAGATTTTTGTTTTACACCAATATGTTTCTTTGTAGCTATGTAGTTACTTAAAAAAATGAAATATTCTTAGTTAACAATTATAACTTGGAACTCATAAATAAACAATTAATTACCTTGATTATAATAATCTGTGCTATAACTCATTCTACAAATAACATAATAATTAACAGCCACTGCATGCGGTGTACTAACTTAATTTTTATTTGTTTTTTCTTCCTCTTCCTATTGTTATTTTGTGTTTGACAAAAATCCTCTGTTTTAAAACCCGTTGTAACCATCTGGAAATGTCCTACAATCAATGCTCAACAACAAACAATCCGTTTGGTTCCTAACTGTCGATGTAACATTATCGCCAAACGAACACGCTTTAAGGAATCTCACAATCCAAATGATAATAAAACGTGTCTCCATTGTCCAATTAACGGCAATTTTCCCTTTCGAAACCACCGTCTAATTGATTAATGCTTCCTCCGGTGCGGACACTCGGCCATCGCGTGAACCGTGCACTATATTTACCTCCACCATTGTTGTCATCTATTCTTACCTATTTGGGAGAATTTCAAACTCTGAATGGCGACACCTCCAAAATTACGCTCATCTCGGTGTTTAAATCCATAAACTACTGATAAATGTCAAATTCCTTACCTTCTGCGTAAAACACGGCAATTCCCCATAAAAAATATTCTCGTTTTATAACTTGATTCCATATATAACGGTGGTATTCAAATGTTGATCTAAAACCCCGCACTTCCTACACGGAACGTAATTTTTTTGATCCTGAAATCCCGTGTCCTTTGTCCTGAACTTCCCGAGTCCGGATTTGTGTTACGTCTATCAGCCCAAACCCGCAGCCACGCTTTGTTCACGTACACAGACGGCACCTACGAGGAGGAGTACAGTTGCTGGCCTCCCGCCGTCTGCATGATCCTCATATCATTGGTGGAAATCGTGCTGTTTTGCTATGACGCCGCACAAGGGAACACAGATGCCAATGGACCGATCGCGAAACTTTTCATATACAATCCCCACAAGCGGCAAGAGGCATGGAGGTTCATCACCTATATGCTGGTGCATGTCGGGTAAGCCAACACGTTTCTCAACAATATTTATTATGAGGGAACAAATAAATTAAAGCAATTTCATATTCATTTGTAAGCGATAGGCTCAATTATTTGTAAATAACTGCATAGACCCATCCACCCATCCAAAGCAAAGGATGGTATCTAAAAATCAAAGACATTCAACCACTTTATTTTTGTAGCAGCAACCACTTCACAATAATGAAATCGTCGCAAAATTCTATCAAGTCAAAAATAGTCACCGAAAGATATCACAGTGCCAGTCCGCTATACTGTCTACTTTATTCATTCACATCAACTTTACGTTTGAATTTGAAAATCCAACCTAGGACCTCTGACTGTCAGATTGTCACTTTTGGATACAAATATCATTAAGATCGCTCTACCTACTCACCGACGTATTACTTTCCAGCGTCGTGCACTTGCTGGTTAACCTACTGGTACAGCTATTCCTCGGCGTGCCCTTGGAGATGGTGCATCGCTGGTGGCGCGTGACGTTGGTCTACCTAGCCGGGGTAGCGGCTGGTTCTCTGGCCACCAGCCTTACCGATCCCAAGGTGTACCTGGCAGGCGCTTCAGGCGGGGTCTACGCGCTGATCGCGGCGCATATAGCTACCATCATCATGGTAAGCTTGCATAAACTTGCTGTTAAACCTACTGGTTTAGCTATTCCTCCGCGTGCCTTTGGAGATGGTCCATCGCTAGTAGCGCGTGACTTTAGTCTACCTAGCCGGGTTAGCGGCGGGTTCCTTGGCCACCAGTCTCACCGATCCCAAGGTGTACCTGGCAGGTGCTTCAGGAGGAGTATACGCGCTGATCACGACGCGTATAGCTGCCATCATCACATCATGGTAAGCTTGTGTCAACATTCTTTATATAGTCCATCTATCTCCTCTTTTTTACAGTGGTGTTTTTAAATGTCGTCCTTAGAACTTCTCAGACTCTTTTTATTTATCAATTACGTCCTCCAATCCTGGATAGGAAAGGATGGATAGAAGGACAGCGCATTACTTAAGTTGAAAGAAATGGTACTTCTAATGGATTTTTAGCAATACCGCTTGACATAGCCTGGCCATCCAATTTGCCCGCTTTTCCTCTCATAAATCTTATTCTATTCTTATTGAAAGCTCCTCTGAGTGGTCCAATTTTCTTACTAGCATCTTTTAGCTGACATTCATTATCTTCTGAACCGTCTCTATATTTGGTCACGGAGGATGACTACGTACTTTGTACAAACGCAAGCAGGCAAAGAAACTTACCCACCTTAAGAAATTACCTTTTGTTCAGAACTGGGCAGAGATGGAGTTCGCGATCATCCAGTTACTAGTGTTCCTTCTACTGGCATCAGTGGACATCGGCAACGCAGTGTACGACCGCTACTGGCGGCACACGGCACAGAATATCGGATACGTGGCGCATTTAGCAGGAGCTGTAGCTGGTAAGTCATCAACATTATCAACATCCCCTATAGGCCCAGGAGAGGTTGAGCTATGATGACCCACCACACTGTTGAATTTATATTGAATTTAAATTGGCAAAAATTAATCTATATATATTATAATTAGTATTAATTTTGTAATAAAAGGAAAGTAACATGACTAGGTAAAGCCAAAGTATAGTTGTTCATTCAGTCTTAACGCAAATACTTCATTCGTTCGTTCAACCCCCACTCAGTCGATCATTCACGTATTCAGTTCACTTATAAACTTGCTTCGCTTTGTATTCTGCTGTGCTAGGAGTCAGTCGTATCAGCTTCCTAGTAAAAATATATTTCACAGAATATAAGTATCATTCTTCACTGTGATTCCGTATTTTATTCCGCTCCTCTGACCTATAAAAATGTACACAAACAACTCAGTGTGGATTGGTGAGGTACTGTTGCTGGTCATCATCATCATCAAGTTATCTTCATCAGCCTATTAATGTCCCCACTGCACAGACCTTCAGACTAGACAAATAGTGGGAATGGCCCAGAAGACGGAAAGATTGCGGTCCGTTTATTATATCATCCTTATCTGAGGCACCAGGTCTTTCCTATGGATGGAATAGGAAGAACGGCCCGTAGAACATCGGATACGTAGCGCATTTAGCAGGGGCTGTATGTAGCTGGTGAGTATTTTAATGTCCCCATTGCTAGGGCATAGGCCTTCCCTATGGATGGAATAGGGAGAACGCACCAATAGAATATCGGCGCAACGGGCTATAACCAACCACGGGAACTCGGTACGTACGTTGTATTGGAGGGTATTAACAACTGCAGATGCAACCAGAACCAAGTTCATAAATTTTTGAGGAGCTCGATGGCGCAACTGGTTAGCGCATTCGGCTGCGATCGTTGAAGTTAAGCAACTTTCGCAATGGTCGGTCATTGGATGGGTGACCAAAAATTTACTATCTCGAGCTCCTCCGTGCTTCGGGAGGCACGTTAAGCCGTTGGTCCCGGTTGCATCTGCAGTCGTTAGCACCCACCAATCCGCACTGGGCCCGCGTGGTGGGTCATGGCCCAATCTCCCTTTTCCATCCATAGGGAAGGCATGTGCCCCAGCAGTGGGGACATTAATAGGCTGATGATGATGATGACCCATCCTATAACAGACCATTAGTAAACTTGCTTAACTTCTACAATTGCAGACCGAACGTGCTAACTAGTGCGCACTTCTCAAATCGCGATATTCAAATAATATTAAATAAAACATATTTAAACATATGATGTTCATTTCACATCTGTGCAAAATAAATAAACTAAAGAAAATTTTACTAGAAAAAAATCGACTCAGTTTAGGTTTCAGGCGGGATTCTGTCGCTATCAGGATAAATTTTAAAATCCAGCAGTTAAATGCATAAATTTATGTTTTGTGTTCAAATCATTGTCCTGCGCAATGAGCTAAGGAAATCTATGGAATTCCAAACCCATTCAAATTGGAATGTAAGTAATGATGTTTTTTTTTCCAGGTCTATTAGTCGGCATAGGCGTTCTACGAAACCTCGAAAAGAGAAAATGGGAGAAGAGATTATGGTGGGCGGCGGTGGTAATTTACCTCTCCCTCATGATCGCCGGCATTCTGGCAAACATCTTCTGGACTGACAGATTCTTGTGAAGTGATCCCAATGACAATTGAATAAGGTCTAATTTCCCTTGCCTTTTAGGCATCGTGCGTCATACATCGAACGGTCAATAGGTGCTTTGGAAAGTTATAAAGTGCACTTAAAAGTATTAGGATTAAAGTCTACTGTCGAATGCCTTACTGGAGCTTTATGTAAGCAAATATGTTTGAAATATTATGCGAAATTCCACCTTAAGCCTATTAGTGTTAAGCTTATTTTTGTACACTTAAATGTATAATTTTGGTCTCTAATTACTTATTTAGTGCCTTAACCGTGTCCCAAGATCTCTCTCTTTAAAGGAGAAGATTTGTTATATGTAAATCTGTACAGAGTATTATTAGGAAAGATATAAAATTCGGTAAATATTACAAGTATTTGATTCTACATTTAGAGCTGATTGATGATTTTAGTAAATATCTTATTTTTTACAGTATTTTTTTTATTATCAAACAATAGTATTAGTTTCGTATTATTTTCTTGTTTGAAATATTCAGGTTGACTAAGATTCAGTATTAAAACAAACAACAATGTTTTACCGTACGTTGTAAAATTTATATATTTTATCAATAACATCAAAGCCTTAAAAAATCTAGATATCTGTAAAGTCTCTCTGCCTTCAGGCATTGTCCTAATACAACGCGATAACGCGATCATCGCGCGATTAAACGATGCGACCATCGCGAACTGGGTGTCCTAATAGAATGCGAATACGCGATCACGATTGACACACAGTTTGGTCGGGTTAGCAGTGCCCCTCTCCCCGCTTCCTATCGACGCGACGCGATCAGCGCGCAAACTTCAGTTAGGACATCTATTCATCATTAATAGGTTTGATTGCGCGTTCGCGCTAACTGAATTCGCGCGAACAGATTTTTAAGCATTTTAGTCGCGTGAATGCATCGCGCGGTCGCCTATTAGGACACCTATTCTAGATCAATATGTTTGATCGTTGACTCGTACGATGATCGCATCGCTCATTCGCGTTATCGCGTTGTATTAGGTCTAAAGTATATTCGTCGCCATTCTAGTATGTAACCAAAATGATAGTACCTGTTTCATAGGTCCACATCTATTTGTATACCTTATTTAAGGTGGAAATGTAGTGATACTAACAAAAATTTTATATACCTACCATATGAACCCTACACCTAACCTAACCTACGTTTCACAAATAAAAGTCTGATTCTGATTCTTAGGATCTTAAGAAATAACAGTTATGTTCATTGCGCAAAAAAAAACGTTCCTTCATTGACTCTCTTTCGTAAAAGTACTAAATTGTCTATAAGGACCGATTTTGTTTGAACTTAAATACGCCAAAATCAATATTGGTCCTTCGAGCAGGTAAAATAAAACTTCATAGTTTTATTTTTATTTTTTAAACATTTACCTGCTAGATGTTTTAGTGTAAAGAAAATTTTACTAAAAAAAATTCACGCGGACCAGGCAGCAGACTGGTTTAAAACTACATGTTTGTTTGCATAATTATTGAAGTTTGCAATTTCATCAGTTATTAAATTTCTATAGTGCTCTGTCTGTGCTTAGTTTGACTCACTGAATAAATTGTTGTCCATATTTTATTTAAACATTTTACTAATAATCTTTGGCGCGAAGTTTTATTTTGGTAATATTTCCTCTTTGCTCTGTCTTAATTTTATGTTTTATCAGATGTACATTCATTATATTGTTTGCAATTTTATTCCCTTGAGTTTTTGAATAAGTTATTCTTGATACTTGTTTAAATATTGAAACCTATAGCTACAATTGCCATAGCTCTTACTCTCTATATTATTACATAAGTAACTTATTGCCTTGCATGTCGTGCCTTACTTTAAGTCCTTATACAACATAGTATTAAACTTTCGATGCATTTACTATACAGTACCCCTAGCACGAACCAAAATCGAATTAGAACAGTCTGCGAATGCGAAATGTCAATGCCAAATTTTATATAGAAACTCGAACAGCTGCGCCACAACGGACGTAACGAGAACTAAAAGTCAGTACATATTTGATGTATATCTAGATCTAATTCAAGTATACGAATTCGATAATGTTTCGTGCTAAGGGTATAGATTTACTACAGTATCTTTAGCTAATTTACGGCCAGTTTCAATAAATCAAACTCCAGTTAGAGATCTACGCCTGTTAGAGCCTTGTTGCTAAGATATTTTTATTATTAAGATTATAATAACAAATTCTGCTAAGAAACGGAACCAGAGGCACAAGCACGACCTTCGACAGCTCCGCAATCGTATCACGACGTCAAAGTTTCTATGCAAACAGCAGCGCCCCTAGCGGACGTAAGAGCAAACTGGCTCCTTCCATACAATATTTGACGGTGACGATACGATTACGCATCTGCAAAGTTCGAGATTATCTTTACTTTTCACTGGAAATTGATTTAATAAAATTAGCCGTTAATAGTGAAAAAAGACCGATTTTAAATAAGTTACAGATTTTATGGGAAACAATATTTTATATCGATTAAGATAAGATAAGAGAATTGTTACAAGATTTATATAATGCCCGTTTGCACCAATCAATAAGTACTTAGGCGACAGAGAGTTGCAAAATTTATTATTAAAATTTTATTTATCACCAACTTTAAAGACGTGAGATGTCCTTAACTTAAGTTACGCGATCTGTATTCGCTGTCATAATATTTAAGGACTACATTTGCCCTTTGGTTTCACACACATCAATTTGTGGAAAAAGGTTTAGTGCTTAATAATAAAAAAATATAAAGGATTGACTTAGCGAATTAGGATCCATCTTAAAGTTTTGTGCAAACAAATTTGACACTTGGTTAGTCGCCTAAATATTTTAGTAAAGTTTAGTAAACTCGCAAGTTTGGTGCAAACGACTATAAAAGTTTTCCAACAAAAAGTTTGTATTTTTGATAATAATTCTGACAACTAAAGCTTTTATTGATATTTCTATCTCTGTCTCGGTAAGTTTATTAGAAACGAGGCAGTCAGACAGCTTTAAATTGTCCATTAATGAGTAAGTCTTCGCACAGAATACACGTTGTGTTCATAGCAGTAAATGTAAGTGTTCATGTTTGTATTTATTGTATATTGTTGAACAGTGTTGCCGTCTATGAATTGCTTTATAGTTTTTGTGCACACGGTTTCGCACGGTTTTATTACAATTACGTGCGCCAGGTGACAGCACTGCGCCAAGCATAGGTATAAGAATAGAGTGGGAAAGGCGGCTGAGGAAATGAGATACCGCTAGCTATCTCTCACTCTTGTGTCGAATGGCATCAAGCTCCCGCCGCCCGCACCTCTCACGGCCCCCGTTCTCGTCCTCCCCCACACCCTTTACCCCGCAGGCGCGGACTCAGTTAAGCGGTTTACCTATATTTCAACTTGAGAACTGAGCATGTAAAGGATAAATAATATGTATAAAAGAGTTTTTTTTTTCACTCCCACCAATTAGCCTAGCCCCAAAGTAAGCACTGTAAGGTTTGTGTTATGGGATACAAGGGTAACGGATGGAATACATATACTGTAAATATATAAGCATATTTATATAGAAATACATATTAAACAGCCATGAATGGAGTACAAATGCTCGTATTCATCACACAAACATCTGCCCCACCGGGATTCGAACCCGGGACCTCTCGAGTCGGCGACGCCATGAAACCCGGCGTACAAACCACTTCACCACGGAGGTCGTCAAAATTAAAAAACGTGTCTTAAACTCATTGAAACAGTGTTTTATTTTATGAGTGGTGTCCATAGAAACATTAAATAAAAGGCTTTGCCTGCTCAAGAGCGTGTTTTCTGATTTTGATTTTATTGATTTTTACCCTTATTGGTTTGGTTCTAAACTTAAAATCGATTGCAGAATTTTCATATGTTGTAGAAGTTTGTTGTTCGTACATTCGAAGAAGTGGTGGTCTACCACTTAGACGTAAGTCGCTTGCGCTCGATCTCTTTTGTTGATGGAGTTTCCTTGCATAGTTGAGATCCAACACAGGGGATTTTAGACTTTATGGTTACTTAAATTGTTTCAATAATGAAACCGTGCGTACCAAAAATGCATATTTATGTACACTAAACCCCCTATGGGTTGTTTCAGATTAAATACATGTTATTTTTTGTAAATATTGTTTTATAGTCCAGGCATTTTTAGCAGGTATTGCCGATATCAGTTTCTGGACTATAAAACGATTTATTTTAAATTTGAATTTAAAACTCGTTTTTAAAATACAGTATTTGTATTTATTGTTTAATTAAATTATAAAACAGTAATAGTGTAGATTCTGGCACGATTCTCTAAAATTAAATTTGACAAATGTGTATCCTTGTCATTATCCATACATAATAAATAGGAGAGACTGATGTTAAATTCAATTTAAGTTTAGATAATCATGTCAGGATCTCTGCTTTAAATTCATTGTTGAACTATAAAAATTACACAAAAAAAATATGTGCGTGTTTTGGAAACATCTCTGTTTTCAGTGTTACTATTAAAGTTCAGTTCCTGCCTTTATTGTGAACATGCACAAAATAATTATAATTATTAATGTGATGATAGGAATTATGAGTTGAAATTAAATGGTATTTTATCTCATTTTTTTATTTATTTATCACCCCGAATTTACTTTAAAGTTGCAAGTTAAATTTACAGTTTTTTTGTGATGTCAATGGAAGGCTCGAAAGTAGTGCCTGTTCAGAAGACATGATTACTTCATTGAGTAATCATTAGTTACAGTGAGAACAATCTATTCAGAGCAAGGATCAATGAACATCAAAACGAGTTTGAATCGCGCGCGTAAATGGCATAATCTGAACGGACACTAAGGTCCGATTTTATCCGATTCACACCGGAATGCAATTCTAAATTAACTTCGTAATGCGGAACCAGATGCATTGAGTTTTTCAAGCGATACTGGTCTTTTAAGTATGTAGATAAAGTTTATACCTTATTATTTCATATTTGAGCAATGCTCTTTGAAAATACCTATAACAGCACCCGGAACCGATGTCCGCTCCGTGCGCTCGCTTAAAGCAGCTACTCTCTGGCATTAACATTTTGTCTTCATTTGCTAGGGCGGGCACAGGTCTTCTAACATATCCTTGTGTTCGGAAGTTGGCCGGAAATATGACACACCACAATCCCTATGCGGATGGGTGGGTGCTAACAACTGCTGATGCAACCGGGAGCAAAAGCTTAACGTGCTTTCCAAAGCACGGAGGAGCTCGAGATAGTAAATATGTGATCACCCGCCATTGCGATACTTGCTTAACATCCACAATCGCAGATGAACGTGCTAACTAATTGCGCCATCGAGCTCTGAAGAGCTTTAATATGAGAAAATTTGCCAATGGATTGAATAACTCATCCGTAAGCCACTCATTAGTATTACTATCAATTTGAGTTTAAGTATTTTTTATGTCGTCGTTAATATTTTATAATCAGTTACAAAATCCATCGATTTTTTATTATAATTTTACTTAATTACGCCCATCACTACTTACTTAACTGCATTCATTCATTCAGTTTAGACATGGGCGTTTTTGGTTTTGAACGCAAACGGATATTTATCGGATTTCAGATTTCAAAATCGATTTTAAAATCCGTTTTTAGATATCCGATTTCAGATGTGCCGAACTAAGCCAATTCACTAGTTTGTGATATGATTTGGTTTTATTAGCTAACGACAATCACAAACAATTAATTGTACGAAGCAAGGATACTCGTAGATTTGCGCGATTTTCCTTTATGCTTTAAATCTAGGCTTAGGCAAGAGTATATATTCTGTGGCTTAGGACTAGCAGAAAAGTTATCTTTACCGTTAAGAGTAAAACTTTTGCGGCGCATTTAAAAATCGGCTTATGTTAAATGATTTCTTTTTACATATTTTTTTAGTAATTTTTGACGTGACAACGTCTTAAATTAGGTTGCGGCTGGGAGTCACTTATGAAAAAGTGTAACGCTCGGTAACGTTACGATGAGTCTCTCGTGTTAAGTTTAAGTTTACATGTACAATGTTTTAGTAAACAAAATATATTTCTATAGTTAAAAACCACACCAGGCTGGTGCACCACGCGCAGGTAATGTGTGACCCACGCGTGCCCCACCTGCGGGGCATGCTTCACCTACCACGCCGCGCTATACAACCACACCAGGCTGGTGCACCACGCGCAGGTAATGTGTGACCCACGCGTGCCCCACCTGCGGGGCATGCTTCACCTACCACGCCGCGCTATACAACCACACCAGGCTGGTGCACCACGCGCAGGTAATGTGTGACCCACGCGTGCCCCACCTGCGGGGCATGCTTCACCTACCACGCCGCGCTATACGACCACACCAGGCTGGTGCACCACGCGCAGGTAATGTGTGACCCACGCGTGCCCCACCTGCGGGGCATGCTTCACCTACCACGCCGCGCTATACAACCACACCAGGCTGGTGCACCACGCGCAGGTAATGTGTGACTCACACGTGCCCCACCTGCGGGGCATGCTTCACCTACCACGCCGCGCTATACGACCACACCAGGCTGGTGCACCACGCGCAGGTAATGTGTGACCCACGCGTGCCCCACCTGCGGGGCATGCTTCACCTACCACGCCGCGCTATACGACCACACCAGGCTGGTGCACCACGCGCAGGTAATGTGTGACCCACGCGTGCCCCACCTGCGGGGCATGCTTCACCTACCACGCCGCGCTATACAACCACACCAGGCTGGTGCACCACGCGCAGGTAATGTGTGACCCACACGTGCCCCACCTGCGGGGCATGCTTCACCTACCACGCCGCGCTATACGACCACACCAGGCTGGTGCACCACGCGCAGGTAATGTGTGACCCACGCGTGCCCCACCTGCGGGGCATGCTTCACCTACCACGCCGCGCTATACAACCACACCAGGCTGGTGCACCACGCGCAGGTAATGTGTGACCCACGCGTGCCCCACCTGCGGGGCATGCTTCACCTACCACGCCGCGCTATACAACCACACCAGGCTGGTGCACCACGCGCAGGTAATGTGTGACCCACGCGTGCCCCACCTGCGGGGCATGCTTCACCTACCACGCCGCGCTATACAATTACACCAGGCTGGTGCACCACGCGCAGGTAATGTGTGACCCACGCGTGCCCCACCTGCGGGGCATGCTTCACCTACCACACCGCGCTATACAACCACACCAGGCTGGTGCACCACGCGCAGGTAATGTGTGACCCACGCGTGCCCCACCTGCGGGGCATGCTTCACCTACCACGCCGCGCTATACGACCACACCAGGCTGGTGCACCACGCGCAGGTAATGTGTGACCCACGCGTGCCCCACCTGCGGGGCATGCTTCACCTACCACGCCGCGCTATACAACCACACCAGGCTGGTGCACCACGCGCAGGTAATGTGTGACCCACGCGTGCCCCACCTGCCGGGCATGCTTCACCTACCACGCCGCGCTATACGACCACACCAGGCTGGTGCACCACGCGCAGGTAATGTGTGACCCACGCGTGCAAGTAAATTCTTATTCTTATTTTCATTCAATTCCTTGTTCCTATTGTGCAATTTAATTATATTCATATCAATAAATATTCTACCGAGAAAAAGACGTTGTCACGTAAAATCTTCGCCCGTAAAACCGACTTTACAGGCAACCATTTTTTTGGTTTTTCTGTTTGTTTTTATTATTTTTCAAACCATTTACAAAATCAAACCTAATTACTTCAGGTTAGCGTTCAAAAAAATGTCAGTTGCTCGACTTTTGATGTTTTTAGACATCTTTTTTCAGTAATAAATAATCCCGCCTTAGAGAAGAACAATAGATTTCCGTAAACAGCAAACTGAAATCGGACTTCCGAGCACGAAATCTGACTTCCGAAAACGAAAGCACGAATTTCGAATCCGATTTACATTTGGATACTTGTGGTGGTATTAGATCGCTAGCGTTTTGGTTCGGTTAGATTTCTGAAATCGGATTTTCTTGTTGAGAAATCGTTTGGTATCGATTTGTGTTTGAAATCGGATTTTGGATTCGTTTTGATATATCGGACGCATGCCTAATTCAGTTCAGTCAGTTTCATTCATTTCATTGTGAGTGTTGATTTGGTTGCGTATTATGTTGTTTGTCAAGTTGTGAATATTTTTCTAATTATTTTACTTTTTATTTCTAGTTAAGTTTAATAATATCCATTCCATAAAATGTTCTTAATGTCAACTAGTATTTACGATATTTAAAGTGTGATTCCCCTTGAAATAAAACATAATGGGTCCGTGTTACACGTGTATAGTTATTTTGTTTTCTTTGGCTTTATTTATCCACGAATGTGCACCACGTACTGCGGAAAAAGATTACGAAGATGTATTCTCACCGAAGGCCCAGTACACAACGTATAAAGATCTCGTGAAGCTATTTTATGATTTACAAAAATTATACCCGGAACTAGCTAAAGTTTATTCAATAGGGAAGTCTGTTGAAGGGCGAGATCTATTGGTGATTCAGATAACTAGTGATGTTGGCGAGACGCACGATACCCGGCCCGCGTTCAAATATGTAGCGAATATGCACGGCGACGAATCTGTCGGACGAGAGCTGATGGTATACTTGGCACAGTACCTTCTGAAAAGCTACGGAAAAGATGAAAGAGTGACCAAGCTCGTCAATTACACGGAAATCCACTTGATGCCCTCTCTCAATCCTGATGGTTTCGAAAGCAGTAGTGTAAGTATTTATAATTTAATATACTATAATAGGTCATTTCCTAAGGTGGTCTTCATAAACATTCTTTAAATAATTAGAGTGTGTGTGTAAACCATTTATATAGACCCTAGATACCATATTAACGTCAGGGAAGCAACACTAATAATATCTACTACATATGGTGAATATGTTCGTCGCTACACACGCACACATTGACTACTTTAGTACAATCTGACTTTAGAGTCGAGGTACAATTCTGCAATGGGCTGTAGGCGACACTGCGGCTGACCGTGCATTATATGCATTGTGCAGCCGCGGCATGTCGCCGCGTTCGGAATAAATTTCATTGTAGTGTCGCCTGCAGTCTACGGCCTGTGGTCTACAGTTCAGTTCAGACTTATACCTTCATGCGCACAATGTGTGAAACTTGAGCCATTTTCTTTGCATGACCTAATTGGGTTGCTCTATCTTGGGGCATAAATAATCATAATTATTAACAGTGGTTACATACAAAAATAAATGCAATACATATTGTAGTACTGGGCTGTACTAATATTCTACACCTTGATCAAATTTTACTAAATAGTTGATTTATGGGGATTTCTAACTTGAAGTCTAAATGGGTGTCCAATTACTCAAAAGTATACATGAGTCATTTAAGGAAAATGGAACTGCTGCATTACTACTTAATATAAAAAAAGAATGATTATAAATTAAAAAAGAAATACATATTTATTTATAACTTAATTTACATAATATTATTTTGTCTCTACAGTTTATCCAAGATTTCCTTATAACATCACTTTCCTGTTTGCATTTTGAGCAAATTTATTGATTTAAAAAACAAAAACGATTATTTCATTTATGTTTCGAGTACATTATTACCACTACACTCACTTCCGAACTAGTTTACATATCAGCATTCACAATGAAAACTTATTTTTTTTATTGAATGATTTTGTTTTTAATATATTTTTTTTAATTTACAATCAAATGTATTTTTCAAATATTTAAGGAAAATACATGTAAGTGTCCTACATTTATAGGTACTACGTATCAAAGGATCTCATATTTACTTTTTCAAAGTGTTTACACAAGCAGTTATGCATGTTAGTTTACATGTCTACACAAATTATCCAGTCACAGATTATAGTCCTATCTGTGAAATAACTTACATAAATGGTGGTACAGTTTGCCAATCAAGGTCACTATACCAGACTAACTTTCTAACAACCTTTGTACTTAAAACTTCCTGAATTGAGAAATGCAGAGTTGAATAAAAGTATGTTACATTATTAATATTTTCTTGCAAAGTACTTGCATGTTTTGTTTAGACAATAAAGACAGCCATTTGTTTTTATCAGTTTAAACAGTGCACTATTGCACTGTTGTTTACAGTAGTTCAACCGTTAACCTCTTGCATTGAACCCTTGCCTTCAAGATATCTTTGAGTTATATCTTAAATGGCAGGAATAAAGTTTCCCTTCATTATGTTATCTATTCAATAGTACTAGGTTGCAAAGTAAATAAATTCTTCATAAAGGCAATAAAATAAAGTAAACATTTTTTAAAAGATAATGGTGTCGATTCTAGCGTGATTCTCTAAACTTAAAACTAAATTTAACATCAGTCTCTCCTTCTCATTCTGTATAGAGAATGACAAGGATACACTGTTGTCAAATTTAAGTTAAGATTTAGATAATCATGCCAGAATTGACACCAATATATATTTTTTACTTTAGTTGTTTTAATTGTGTTAATATTTTATATAAAATGCAAATGACAAAGTAGAAGTAGACCTTAAAACTTATAGGAAAGAGCTGTTATGATTATGACACAGGAGCAATATTTAATGACAAAATTAAACATTTTGTACAGATTTTGTTAATTTCTGAATGTTCATTTATTCATTAATGAGTTTTTGCAAAAAAAATCATACCGAAAAAAGCAAGACCCAAGTGATTAAAAAGCCGTTTCCTAGTAGTGTTCCAAATTAATTTATCATTTTTTTATGTTTAGAATGAAGCATGAAGTTCAAAATGGCTAATAAACTATGAATTGTATTTATAATCATCAATAAAGAAATTGTTTCTGTTGTTGGCATGCATCCAGGAAATAAAATACCTCCTGGTTACATAAACCATTAAATGTAATGAGAGCCATGTGGAGCGCAAACAGATAAAAGTAATTCAAGCAAAGCTTTTAGCCCACCAAAATGTTACAAATCTTTCATACAGTCTTTGATTTCGGAATGTACTTGTTTTATATTTGTTATATATGCTATTTGTTTGAGTTTACTTGCCTGTGCAAATAAGATATTAGCATTAAAAATCTTGAATAATGTGATGGTAACTGAGTTTATGTTTCTGGTATCCATTAAAGAATCCAAATTTCCATACAGCATGTCTCAAAACTAGCCACATGAAGGGAAGGATGCCTTAAATACTGTAGATAGAAAGGACTTTATTTAAGGAATAAAACAAACTGCATTCAAAGTTTTTTAAATAATCGCCTGTCTGAATAAGGAGTTGATCCAGCTAAATGTGAAAAAGAAATTGCCAGTAATTTTACTGTGCCAGTAGGAAGGCGTAAATTCAGAGTTTATATTATGTATAAAAATCACCGTATGTGTATAGGTGTAGAGGCCCCAAAATTTGGCTGAACCACTTACAATTTGCACACCGCCTGGCTTTTACCATCAACCCGTAAGCTTTTTTGCCACACTTTTGTTAAGAAATAAGAAGAATCTTAATTTTCAGGTCGGCTGCGAGTCCCAGGCGAACTTCATCGGTCGTAACAACGCGAAGGGTGTCGACTTGAACCGGGACTTCCCCGACCAGTTTGATCGCGACAGCTCTGACGATGAAGACTACCTGTTCGGTGGTAGACAGCCGGAGACTGTGGCTCTGATGAAGTGGGTGATGAGCAAGCAGTTCGTGCTGTCGGGGAACCTTCATGGAGGTGCCATTGTCGCTAGCTACCCTTATGACGATTCAATGTGAGTTGGCTAGGTGTTATTGAGAAACCTGTTAGTTATCTGAAGTGGGTCATATGTGGTGAACCTCCTTGCCTATCGTTGCCAGCTACGCTTACAAAGATTCCTTGTGAATAAGGTTTTTTGTGGTGCTCATGCTGCAGGGACTGACTCATGGAAAAAATGTCCAATGATCCAAATAAGCACCATAATTTACATTATATTACGTTTTTTATCTCACTGTCAAACTCCATAGTAATTTGAAAATAGCATTAATAGACATTCATACAAACCAATGGTGTCGCTTGCAATTTGCGGTTTGCAGCCTATCTCGAACTTGTCACTTTATAATAAGTATTAAATGTTAGAGGCCCTTCACTGAGCCCACCGCGACGTGGCTAGCGTAAAGCCTACTCTGTTTCAACGAAGTTTCGGTCGAATTTCGCACGTTCCTTACTCTGTTTCCTTTTCATTTCGAAAATTCGTTCGTCTGAAAATAGATAAACAAATAAAATTCTCCAAGCCTACTCTAAATCACAAAACTTTCGAACTAAAAGTTGAATTTGACAGATTGGTTAAAGTTGAATTGTTCGAAATTTTAACCTCAAATTGAAAAGAAACGAAAAGAAATGTGTTACCTTTTCATTTTTGGTTTGGCAATTTTGTTTTAATTAAGCCTTAAAAGCTATTATTATATAATTTTAAGTAGTATAAAATATTTAATTTTGACCTAGAGAGTTGCATTTGAACACAGGTGTTGTCTTTAAGACGTACCTAGTCATGAAGGACTTTTACGTGTTCACAATTTTGTAGGTTTCACTTCTATCGCATGTGAACAGCACATGTCCGTTTTTTTATTTTAATGGTCTACTCTCTCTTCAGTACTGGTAGGGACTGCTGCGTAGAGAGTCCAGCCCCAGACGACCCAGTGTTCAAGCATCTTGCCCACACATTCGCATCCAAGCATGAAGTGATGCGCAAGGGGAATGCCTGTCCCCCGGATAACTTCACGGGGGGCGTCACCAACGGCGCAGATTGGTACTCCGTCAAGGGTATGTAATCTTTATCAATGACCCGCCAATCCCCACTGGGCCCGCGTGGTGGGTCATGGCCCAATCTCCCTATTCAATCCATAGGGAAGGCCTGAGCCCCCGCAGTGGGGACATTAATAGGCTGATAATGATGATAATATATAGACAGGTTATACGCAAACATTATTGCATTTTAAAATGGCACAATTATTCCACTTGCCTCATCGAACCTCTAGCTTTTACACAAATAACAGGAAATTACTACAACCTACAGTCCACCTGTTTTTGGCTTATTCCTTCTCGTTTATCCATTAGCTAGTTCCATAATGGAGCTAGTGACCTTTATAATTAAAATATAAAAGTGCAATTTAAAACCCGTATTTGTGTATAAGGGTGAATATACGCTATTGGGAATTTTTTTGGCCCACTTGAAAAAAATTACCATTTGATTTCAAATTCATTATTTGATGAGGAGATTAACTGTTTTATTGGTATTTTTAAGGGCCAGAAGATATTGAATGGTTTTACAGGTTTATGGCTTCCAGGGGAAAATTCAGTGTCAGGAGAGTGACATTACTGACAGAGTAGTGACAAATACAACCAGCGGAATGACTGGCTAGTAACAATTAGTTAGGAAACACATTTAGATAGACATTGAAAAGAAAGACGGATTAATTGTTTTTAATTATTTTTATTAAGTTTGAACTTTAATCAGTTTTTTGCATTACAAAATGTTTTCTTTTAATAAAATTAGTAGGATGATATTATTTCCCTAGTATTAGAACAAATATAAATATGTTTTCTTAAGAAATTCTACTTATCAGTCTTTTCCGACATTATATTAGTAGTACTTAAGTACCTATTCTTATAATCACAGTAATTGTTTAGAGATCGCTATAATAAAAACTCTACTTATAATTAAAACCTCACTGAATGTAATTATATAATCAACAAATAAACCCTATCTTACAACAAAACTTAAAAATCCTTTTCCTTACAACAAAATAACAAAATATTATATCATTGAATTTTAATGAGGTTCTTAACTTCAAACTGCTCTAAAACTAATTACAAATTACTTTTCAAAAACATCAACAGGCTTTTGAAACTTGTAAAACATTCTGTTACCTTTCATTACTATGTTTGGAACAGGTAATATTGTCAAAATTTCTTCCCATTTGACATCAGATACATCGTTATCATCTATTTTAAAAAGAGTACCTTTATCATTACAGATCTTTAGAAAAGTAACACGAATATCATCTTCATCATCATTAAAATCAGATGAACATACACCAGCATATCTGTATTTTTTGCCATTTATCTCATATTTTACAAGCACAAAATCTCCGTTCTTAACAACTTTTGTATCACTATTTTTTACTTTATTCTCATTATCATTCTTTGTCCGTTCTATATTTTCCTGCAGTTGATTTTGGATAACTTCACAAAATAATAATTTCCTTCTTCTCTTCTTCTTTTCACTGTTGCTATTTTAATGTTCATTAACCTTCGAGTTTGGGGTCATTTTCTTTTTTTGGATACGCCTTAGCTTCCGTTGATAATCATGTACATTTTGACGTAATCTTCTTATTTCATTTTTCTGTTTATTAACAACTCTATTCCTTTGTTTACGTTGCCTTTCTGATCGTCTTTTAGCAGCTAATGCCACATCATTCTGTGGAATTGGAGGTTGTTCTTCGTTATCAGGTGAAGGAGGTGTTATCGGACAATTTCTAGAAGATTGTTGCTTTATGCAATGTCTATGCTTTCTACTCTTCTCTCTCCATGTTTTTCTAATAGCGCTTTGCTCTCTTTCAGTCATATCCTTCATGACTTTAATTTGTCCTTTCTCCTTTTTTTAAAATATTTAAGCTTTTCTTTGTCTTTTAACACAGCATTTTTACTGGATCACTTTTTATTCTTTGATAGCGCAATCTTTCAGCCTGACGCTTTTTTTCAAGCCTTTCTTCTCTTATTTGCTTTTTTTCGCGTTCGCCATGATGTCGTCGCGTTAGTAAAACCAACAGCAAACTAAAACAAATGAAACTAAATGTTAAATCAATTTGTTAGTTAAATCAAATCATTTAATTCAATTTTTGTCACTACACTGGTTCGTTTGTATTTCCCCTGGCACTAAAACTGCCAGAGAAGTGACGCCAGGGGAGTGACAAAATAACATATAACCTAAAAAATATACACAATGCAATCTTTATACTGAAATAATACTAAAAACAGGCCATCTACTCATTTGTAACAATACATTGAATAATTAATGTCGTACATAATAGTGAAATATAAAAATATACACTCACCAGGGGAAATTCGGCAACGACTGGCACAAACATGTTGTTCATCGGTGAACCGGGCACTGACGTAACATTATTTCAAATTTGGACGACGCCATTGGCTTGTACCTAACTTCACTCTGTCCGACGCGCGTTACTCAAGACCAATGAAACGTGTACGCGGTTTTTGAGGGAAATTTTGAAATTCAAATTGAGCCAGAGAAGGTGACACTTTTTTAGGCGTCGGAAAAAGATGTTTTTTTAAACTAATAATTATTTTGTTTTATTCCGTTTTTAAAAAACCAATATTTTGTGTTCTTTGTTTAGGTATAATATTACATTTCAAAAAACCCTGTACTGGTCAAATTATAAAAAATATTCCGATAATTATAGTAAAATGTATGTATGGGGCCAGCCAGGGGAGTATACATTTAGTACTATTTTCCCTTATTGTAAACAAAATGATTAGGTTTCTTAATAGAATACTATGTGGAACAAATAAAATACACTATTATGTATTAATTAACATATAAAATAACAACAATTTGTATAATTTAATATTTTTTTATTCAAAGGCCATCAAAGTACCCAATACCGTATAATGACCCATAATATGCATATTTGGACATAAATATACATCTTGAATCAGCTAATGTTATTTGTATCGATACTGATACTAATCGATGAGGTGTCGTAGATTAGGTTGATAGATTGCAGACTGATTGATAACGGTTTTGGTGTTCTCAATTAAAAATCTTGTTCTTTGTTCTATAAGTAACAAAGTTTTTATTTCTTGTTAGTCACCGTTGCGCTAGACAGGGATCTTAAGACAAAGCCAGCTGCCCTGACGCTGACTTTGACAGACAAAACAGACAGGGCTCTGGACTTGAGAACGACTTTGTGAAGACCATCATCCATATATATTTTTATTTTCTAATACAATCAGTGCCGTCTTTGACCTATTGGAGGCCCTGGGTATATTAGGATAATTTGGCACCTATGACGCCCGTTTGATGATCTAACAAGAACTAGGGACTTTGTATTTGTGATCTGAGGTGTCCACCTATCGACCACGGGGCCCTGGGCACTTGCCCAAAGTGCCCACTGGGAAAGACGGGTCTGAATACCATGTAGAAGTTTCTTGAGAAAAAAAAGAAAAATACGGAAGAAGTGACAAATTATTAAAAGATTTGAACTCACAACAACCCCATAGGGTGTGCTAGAATCAGGTCTTAGGTTTTTTTTTATATTTTTATTGAGCTATACATTTCGGGCTTATTTCCGATTATATGTAAGGAATAAATTGCACTGATTTACTTTCGTTCTGATAGCGAGGAGCTCGATGGCGCAAATGGTTAGCGCGTTCGACCTTCGATCGTGGAAGTTAAGCAACTTTCGCAATGGTCGGTCGATGGATGGGTGACCATGACCAAAAATTTGTATCTTGTGCTCGTTCGTGCTTTGGAAGGCACCTGAAGCCGTCGGTTCCGGCTGCATCTGCAGTCGTTAGCAGCCATCCAATCCGCTCTGGGCCCGCGTGTTTCATGGGGCAATCTCCCTTTTCCGTCCATAGGGCAGGCCTGTGCCCCAGCAGTGGGGACATTAATAGGCTGATAATGATGACGTTCATTCTGTCCATAGGTGGTATGCAAGACTTCAACTACCTCCGAGGCGGTTGTTTCGAAGTGACATTCGAACTGTCTTGTTGCAAATACCCTCCGCCTGAAGAATTGCCGAGCTACTGGCTGGTCAATAAGGAACCACTCTTGGCTTTCATGGAGCAAACCCATCTCGGCATCAAGGGGTACGTGCTGGATGAAGAGAAGAGACCGGTGAAGGCAAGTTTTAAATATTTATTGCAACAAAATAAGTCTGAAGACACCACCATTACAGGCTAATGTAATACCTATCGAGCCTCCAACAAATTACCCTACTCGGCTAGATAGACGTTAAAGGTAGATAGGTTCATTCGCGAAGATTTCATGGAGCGTACCCATCTGGGCATCAAGGGATACGTGCTGACGAAGAAGCGAAACTGGCGAAGGCAAATTTCATACGAATCTAATTTATGTATGATAATATTGAAAGGTATTTAAGTTTACGAGTATGTATTTCGGTTTTTTTTTATTCTTATACATATTTTTGCGATAGTCAGTTGTCAAAAGAACCATAGGTGTCAATTGAAAACCAGCGTCAGGTCCCACAAACCTGATAACATGCTGAATTGACAATCTCGCAGCCGCGAGATAACAACAGATTAAATCACCGCTGGTAGCGAACGTTATGAAAAATTGTGTGTGTTACTTTTTTGCTGTGTGGTTATCCTATTGTTTACGATTATTTTTCTATTTTTCTTGTATTTTTTTGTTGCTCAGAATCTATCTACTGTCTCGTTGTTTGTGTCAGAATAAATGTATTTTCTTTCTTTCTTTCATATATTTGTTGCTCCAAACTTATCATTATAATAACAGGTGTGACCTTATGCGATTTCTATCGAGGCTTAAGAAATTATCCCACCCCAACTGATGGTAACTGTTAGTGGAGTCCAGTCGCGATAATGCACTAATATTATAAAGGCGAAAGTTGGTGAGTGTGTATGTTTATTACTTCTTCACGTCTACGGCTGGAGCGATTTTAATAAAATTTGGTATAGAGTTAGTTCACACACTTTATTAACACATAGGCTACGTTTCACTGCGGGAAAATGTCCCTAATAAACCGCGGGGCACAGCTAGTTATATAATAATAATAATTAAATTTTATTTCAGACTAAAGTGTCCATAGTGTTGTTTTGTTGGTATCATTTTCTCTTAATATGTAACTAATACATTGCAATTTAATTAATATGTCTCATATGGAGGCCCAGCCAATGCTGGAGTAGAGGCGACTCCCACCTGTCCGGGAACACGCACAGGATCACACGACTCAGTAGCGAGGCACATCGCTTTCGGATAATGGCATGGAATCTATCGGTCCTTGCCTCAGCGAATATGCCAGAAGCACTACTGCAACGCGGCAGCCCCATCAGCACCCCGAACGGGTTGTTTATACCCTTCTTACAATCCTTGCTAGCTCATAGACACTCACCGACAGAAACATAGCTATCAAAAAGTGAGACAGTTTAGATGGAGGTTTCTTCGTCATTCACAAGGATCCAGGCATCTCGCCACCCTTAATCCAATTGCCGTTCTCTTATCTTATTTTTAACATTCCATGCCGTCTGCTGATAAAGCTGAACTGCTAGTTGCCATCACCATGGAGAAAAAAAATCTCCACTTATCCCATATCTAATCTCTGCCAAAGTTCCTTCATTTTGCAACCACAAACTTAGCTACTCAGGTCTTTGGAAGTTACGTCCTTCCTACGACATCCAGATCATAGTTTATCAATTTTATTCTTACTAAAAAATTCACAAAACATTGAAAATACCTGGTGTTTCATATCGAAAATAAAATGGTTAAGAAAATATTAAATACTACCTTTCGCCTCCGACTTCGTCTGTGTTATAATTAGTTTTTTTAGTCTCACACGAATCTAACATATTTCCGGATAAAAAGAATCCTATGTCTCAATCCATATAATAAACTACGTGTGCCAAATTTCATCCATATCCATGCAGCCGTTTTTGCGTGAAAGAGTAACAAACATCCACACATACATCAATACAAACTTTCGCGTTTTTTATATTAGTAGGATATGATGATATGTGTGTTTGAATGTTCATATAAAGTTTCACGTTTATAATATTACAAACAAACAGAAAATATTACTAGAAAAAATTCCACGCGGACAAGGCAGCAGACGGGACTCGAACCCGCACCCTTCGCGTTCCGGGCGAATGCACTGACCATTATGCCGCTGTAGCATGCCTGGTCCGCGTGGAATTTTTTCTAGCAACATTTTCTTTAGATTTAAACATCGTGCAGTTACATGTTTAAAAAATAGAAATTATAACAAACAAACAATCAAATCTTTCCTCGTTATAATATTAATATAGATTAGGAAGGAAGGATATTAGTAGGATAACATATGTTTTTGTGTGTCCAGAATGCCAAAGTTCTAGTGGAAGGTATCAACCACTTGTCCAAGACGACGGAAAGGGGAGTTTACTGGAGATTGTTACTGCCAGGAGTGTACAACGTATCAGCCCATGCGCCTGGGTAAGTTTCTTCATCATCATTAGCCTATTAATGTCCCCACTGTTAGCTCCCCCCACGACAACGGCTATCTAGAGCCGACGTCTGAGTCTCAGAGACGCCCTCTAGTTGAGCCGACCCCCTCAAGTTCGAGTGCTCTAGAGGCTCCAGACGGAGAGGAGACTCCCCCCGCGGGGAGATGCCATCCGCCTGGAATACCTCTAGAAGCACTCGCCAATTCTCGGCTTGAGGTCCCCTTAGGATCTCGTCGTCCCCAAACCCGATGACGCTGTAAAGGTCATCTGCCACCAACAGCATACACACTAAAAATAACTGTTAGGTTTCCCTAGGGATTCAATATGGAGATCCGCCCATTATATACCTAAGTTGGAGTGACTGCAGATGCAGCCGGAACTCGAGGTAGTAAATTTTTGGTCACCCATCCTGAGAATGGCAATTGCGGAAGTAACTTCCACGATCACATACCAAATGCGCTAACCACTAGCAGCGAGCTTCTCAGTCTAGACCACCTTATGTTAAATTATGATTAAAAGTTAATCATACGGGGAGACAAAAAGCAATAATTTCTTTGCAACAACAAATAAATTTCGTATTAAATTCGCCTGTTATATTGGAAACGGAAAATTTAGCTATAAAGTTAAAGTGATGTTAACGCTACTTCCAAGATCGTATACTGTACCCTTAGCATGAAACAATATCGAATTCGAATAGCTTTCGAGTGCGAAATATCATTATCAAATGTTTACCAATTTTTGGTTCTCGTTTCGTACTTTGTGGCGCTGCTGTTCAAGTTTCCATACAAAAATTGACAATGACATTAAAAGGCATCGATCCTGTATGTGCGCTCACAATGGAGATACTTTGAGTGCTGCCGATTAAAAGCATTTTTTTGTTACGAAAGACTTCAATTTTTAGATAGAAAGTAAGACAAAAATTGACCTGATTATGGGTAGAATACGTGGTTTTCGGCTATGTCGAAGCTCTTTTCATTGAGTGTAATATACAGGATATAATACTGTTACGTGTCGGGATGAGGTTCGAAATTATATGCCAGTTCACGCTTGACAGTTCTTTATTCACAAACAGTAAACACTATATTAATCACAAAACACTCACTAAACACTATATTCACTATACAAGTCTTTAATCAATCGCACTTGAACACATTCCTTGCACTTTGATCGCCTTTGTACTCGTTCCGAAACCGTTGTTGAAACTCAACTGTTATAGCTTTAAAACTAAAACTCGCTGCTAAGCGGCGCCGATCGCGCTTTTATACGCCAATCGCGCATTCTACAAAAGTCCCCTTAAATTGAGAGATAACTAGCACCCGCGAGTGCGTAGTACCTACGCATACGTTGAAAACAAGTGCAAATGTCGTAGCACTTTCTCCCTTATGCCGCACTGCATAAGGCTCATATTAAAATGAGCGACCCGCGGTGTTCTGGTAGAATCTATCTCCAGTATTTTCGCGGTTTTGTTTCGAGAGCGTTTGTGACAATACACTTAATGTCATTTTTTCTCTTCCAGTTACGACTCCCCCGTATTATCAGTACGCGTGCCTCAGTTAACCGACGTCGCAACAACACTGAACGTAACGCTGGCTAAAACCGCGGGTAAGTCTTCCGCACTCGCACCGCTCACACCATATCTCCCTCTCGTTCTATTCGTCTCTACTGCGCTATTGGTCGCCGTAGTGGAGTCGTAAAGCCTTTTTCTCTACTGCAATTCAGAGATTAGTAAGCGTCAAATTTCTTGAGTAAATTCACAGACAGATAAACTTGCGCAGTAGATTTGTTGTATGTAAAATTGCTACTGCGCAGGCTTCCTTATCTATGGTCGTTGCTCAAGAACTTTGACGGGATGTATATCCAAAATTTTGAAGTTTCATTAAGTCGATACTGGTGTCGATTCTGGCATGATTCTCTAAAGCTAAACTTAAATTTGACAACAGCGTATCCCTGTCATTCTCTATATAGAATAAAAAGGACAAACTGATGTTAAATTTAGTTTTAAGTTTAGATAATCTTGCCAGAATCGACACCACTGTTAGTTTTTTTAGTGTAGATTCGTTTACGATAATCACAGCACGTGACTAAAATTGTAAATAGATACCTCTGGGAGCGGCTGTAAGTGCGTTATTTTAATAAAACTAATTAATGCCAATCGCTAGGTAAAACCGCGGGTAAGTCGTCCGCACTCGCACCGCTCACACCATATCTCCCTCTCTTTCTATTCGCTTCTACCGCGCTATTGGTCGCCTTAGTGGAGTCGTAAAGCCTCAGTTCTACCGTCAATCAGAGATATCTAACATTTGTAGCTTTATAAGGTTCATCGCTTACTTTTCTGTGCGATATTAATGAAATTAGACAACACGTTATTATACCGGCAGTCATTTTAATAATTAATGATAACAATAATAAACCCAAATAGAGTGGTAGATAAATCTAAGATAGAAACAAAAACACTTTACCGCAATATAAAGATTTTGAGCTCTATGTCTGTTGCCTCTAGTTTTATTTTAGTATGACAGGTGGGTAACGCTACCTACTACTTTGTATCTTTCAAACTTACTCCGTATAGACTCCGACTGATAAATATAGAAAAAATATGAGGAGATATAGATAGTTTCTTTTTATTCTCAACCACACAGAACACAAAAAGAGGTTAGAAGGGTGATCATTGACTGTTTGTACGGTAACCGATGTCGCCGGCTCGCCCACAATACACTTTCACCTAATAGGTAATATCCAATCAAACGACGCAACATCAAACATTCGAACCAATCAGCGCTCACTTCCGAGAGCAACGACGCAATCAGAACCAGGTTTTGGTCAAGTTATAAGCATTTGCTCATACATAACTGTGGCGCGCCTGCCCCGCCCACAAGGCCTTCTAACCTCTTCCTGTGTTCTGTGTGTATATAGCTATGTTATTGGTGGAGGTAAATAACGCTGTGGTGAAGTTTCTAATCAGTCACTAACAATTTATATATTGTATATTTTATCATGTATTCCATTAAATTAGGTAATTAATTATATTAAATATGTCTATTATTGACTATTATTATCACAAAATATACATTAAAAATATAATGTAATTAGATATTATTAAGTAGGTAGTAAGATTAACGTGATATCTTTTTATTCACTAATAAAAATAATACTTATTTAAGTAATAGTAAGTTCCAGTATTGAGGAACATCGTATTTTTTAACATGATTTTATTTTAATATACTAAAGGATAATTTAATCGATAATTAGATTCCCCATTCTAGAACTTTATTGTCAGTTGCACTCAGCCAACAATATATATATATATATTATTTATTACAGTTCATGCTGTGTCTTACTTTGCGATAGCAGTAGAATAAGACAATTAGTCATTTTGATAAGCATTTAATATAATTGGAGTCTGTGAGTGCGACAAAAATTCCAAATTGTGATAGTAAAATGTTTTTTTTTCTTTATTAATGTTTACGTTTACTATATGGACTAAAAATGAAATTATATAGTCTTATTAGCAATTCAATTTTAAGAGAATTTTAAAGATTGATTTTGTTTTCCAGAATAACGAATAGTTTATTTTATATTAAAAAAATATACTTGTTTGCTCAATAATAAGCAATAATAATTAACTTAAAATTAACTATAGCTTAATATAAACATTCCTGATGTGCCAAATCAACTTCTTCCTTTTTTCATTCCACAAGAGAAAAAAAACTATAAAAATTAAAAAGGGAAAGATTGTGACCTATGGTCAGATTTAAAAAAATGTTTTATCTAAAGACAGTTCTTAACATTTGTACTGTAGGCACTTAAAAAATACTTATAGTGTTTTCAATTTTCATGTACTACAAATAGAATGTATATACATACATATATATTTCTTGTAAAAAAGATTATTTTTATGGATGGACATCATATAATTGCATGAACGTATTATACGTATACGATGCATGATTATTATAAAATATTTATTAAATTTTGACTTGATTCACATACCTATATCGCTTTCTACCTAGATTTCATATATCAGATATATAAATAATTACTTTATTTTCTAACACACAAAAATATGAACTATTTTAGAAAACACAAATCGAGTTCTATCATTTTTACAAAGTGGTGTTGTTTGTAGGTGTCTTTTTATGTCCCAAAAAACTAGATAGAGATAAATTTTACTACACATAACGGACTGAACTATAAACCATTTTCAAATTTGTATTTATAGTTTTATATTTATTTACATTATAATCAGTCGTTTTTTTTACATTATTTATAACACAGAATATGAGTAAAAAACTGAAAAAAAGAAAATAAGATCTCAAAATTGATTTTTTAGGTAATCTTAAATCTTCGGTATTATACTAATGTACAATCAAGGATTCATGGTAATAATTGGTCATTTTGTCAGCGCCTCTATTACATAGCAATATGGGTACTATTCGTAAAGCAAATTCAATCCATGAACACGACTACGGTTATACTAATAAATATCGTAAAAAATAAAAATTAGTTATTAGAACGCTCTTTCATTGTAACTAGAAAATTATTACTCAAACAATAATAATTAATTTGGTATTTCTAAGATAATTAGAATTAATTACATTATATTAAAATTTACAATAAATAGGCTAAATTAATATTTGTGGCAATGACTGAATAATTTCAAAATTGATCTCATTTTGTGATAAAATTTTTGAAGGCTATATTAATGCTAAATAAACCTGCCAATGATTAAATGAGTAGTTGATAAATTGATCTCATTATTTTGTGATAAAATTGATAAAATTTGGATCGTGTTTTGTTTTGTGGATTGGAGAGTTTATATTCAATTAACCAAAATTAAACTTTATTTGGGTTAATTGAATTAATACTCTCGGTGTACTTGAAGAGTTTATTTTATTTTATTAATTATTTGAGAAATAGACTACATACCTTCATACTGTTGAGTGTAGATCTCATATATATAGAGAGGTAAAGAAATCAAGTATCTATGTAATTACAACAACGTCTTATCCAGCTAACGACTGAAATTCAACTGTATCTCGTTAGTGTAAGGTTAAATTTTGTACAAATTACAATAATGTAGTTGGGATCCATTGATGGAACTTATTACTAAAGCAATAATCAATACTCAAAACAATACTATAATAATGTATTGTAAATTCTATTACTTATTAACTTACATCGTAAAGAACTTTTGTAATTGTCATTGACATTTGACATATATATGTAATTTTTTGACTAAATTGGATGTTGTGCTGATAATAGTTAAATATATTATTGTACTGTAGACTAACTAACAATGGATAAAGCAAAGAAATGTCTTCCTTTTTTGTAACTAACGTGTACTTTAATGTGAATAAATAAGAATGGTTATGGATTGAACTATTGTTGTACTGAATTAACACATAATTAAAACAACATTGCACAAAATCACATTCTGGTGGTTTCTATATATAATATTTTTTTATAATGTTTAGTAACGTCCAAAATATCTGGTTTACTGATAACTATAAAAATCATATAGAAAATATTTTTTTTACATTACATCATATTAAAAGCGTCCTTGTTAACTGAAAAATGTTTCAGCTAAGTTAATGTGCAATTTTATTGCTATTAAAAGAAATGAAATATATTTTATTGGAACAAAGACATTGAATACAATAAATGTGCACGATAATAATTGCATTAGTTATAAAAACTGTGTCTCAACTATTAACGCCCACCTGTGAGAGTACATTGAAATTCCTTAAGATACAAACACCAGACAATATATTTCTATAAAATTAAAAATCAATTCAAGTCATAAGTCATGAACGAAACGTAACAATATTGAATTTGTAATATTAGAAAGTTTTAACAGTAACAAATTTCTTTATACTCGATATCATTAATTCTCATTGCCTTTACGTTTCAATGCATGAAAATTTAAAATGTGTTGTTATCATAAATGTCGAAAGTGTTATTTTTTGAGTTACCATATGCAAAACATTCGTATTCTCAATTATCAATGATAACAAACTTATTTTATAAATGACATTATAAGCTTCCGTCCGTGTTCTGAATCTTACACAAATATGTTGTAAAAAGAATCCAGGGAAGGTTTAATTAAATACTTTGGTCTCATTTCTCTGCAGTTGTTTCAATTCACGCCTTTCGTTTCTATCTTATTATTTCTTTTTAATATACTTTTTTAATTCTTTTTTTTATGGTCACCTGTACTTATAAGGATATCTTTTGCTTGTTTAATTTGTAATCTCTATAATTTCTATTGAGTCGACAAACTGTGCCCTTTTTCGCCGAAATATATCGGCTTGGTATCTAATTTTTCTTTTGAACGCAAAATCAGTAATATCAAGTAAGACATTTATTCGTTCGTCATAAATTCTCCTTTATAAGAACTCAGTTTTTCAAGTTTTTGCGGAGAGCCATTTTGTAACTAACAACGATATCACTACTAATTGTAAATCTTACACATTCCCGTTTTTGTCTCAAGAATTACTATTTACTAATTTGACAATTATGTCAACCTAAAAAAATTACCCTTGTTTACTCACTTATAAAAAAATAATCACAACACAATTGTCGTTAAAGTAAGATACGGTTACAAAATGCCTATCACCTTTATGACATATGTTGGCGATATATGTTGATTTGGTGCAATGGGCCCAGATCATAAGGTGTCCATTCCACCACTTCCAGTTTCAAATCCATAATTATCACCCATCAATCCCCACTTTCACCCACCAATCCCCTTATCACCCTCCAATCCCCCTTTTCAACCTCGAATGCCCATTTCGCCCTCGAATGCCCATTTCACCCTCAAATCTCTTTTCACCCTCGAATCCCCTTTACATCCTCCAATTTCCTTTTCATATTCCAATTCCTTTTCACCGTCGAATCCTCTTTACACCCTCCAATCTCCTTTTCGCCTACTAATCTCCTGTGCTCATTTAGTTTAACGACTTTCTGATGTAGACCGAAATAAATAAAAAAAACGTAAAGGATACGTACGGCGCCATGTATGGGAGCGTGCGGGCACTCCGTTTGATGGCTCAAAATTTAGAAATTTCGAACAATGTATGCAACTTCCGTAAATGCATTTTTGAGCAAGTGTGTTGAAAAATGTTATATTAATGTATACGCCACTCTTTAATTACCTACTTTCTTTGTTTACGGTTTGGTTTTTTATATCTCTGTTATACTCTGTTGATTTGCCTGGTTTAGTTTACACTTCTGTTTCACCCTTTCACCCTCTATCACATTCCACAAATCACGCTTATGTACACTAAATTGTAAATAACATTGTAGAAGTTCACAAACAACGCTTCGGATTACGCTTGGTGGTGGGATATAGGTAAGTACGCACATTACATAGTTATATATATATATTGAATTATTTTTTTTTATTTAAACCTATTATATATTTGTTTTAATTAAATTTTAATTAAAACAAATTATTGCATGTAAGGAGACTCTTCTGGTGCTTATATGCATGATACTTGTTCCTAATTCATGTTACAAACAATTTTTTTCTTTACTTAAATACTTATTATAAAACAGAATTCCTTACATTCGCCTTTTGGAGTGACCGTATCAACGCACATCTTTCAGCATTTCTCTGACAATAAATCTCTTTCCCGCACACTATCAATATGTTTTAAAGGGAAATAGTTTGCAAAACCATTTCGTTTCAGAGTATGAACTTTGATAGCTCCGTATCGCATCGTCATAGCTTCTATGAAAACTAAGCAGGGCCCCTACCGGACGTAAGAATAAACAAAAGTTTAAAAATGACGATACGATTACGGATGTGTCAAAGTTCGTGCTTGGGCCTCTGGTTATAATTTTTTTTTAACATGTAACTGCTCAATGTTTAAATCTAAAGAAAATATAACTAGAAAAAAATCCACGCGGAACAGGCAACAGACGGCACCCGGGTCCCGTCTGCTGCCTGGTCCGCATCGAATTCTTTCTAGTAATATTTTCTTTAATACCTTTTATGCTATAGATTGTGACGTTCTATAGATTAATTTGAAAAATGTAGCAGGACTTGTGTAGATGTAGTCACTCCCTTACATTACCATCAGTACTTACACTGGCACATCAGTACATAATATCAGTACAAAGTTAGGACAACGCTTACATTTATATAAACAACATAGAACAAACAGGCCAGATCCGAGCTAAATAGCATGGCAAATCCTCAGAGCATAACAGGGAGGCGCGTCAAGATCTCGACGGTATTTCAGCGGGCGCTTTCGTTCACCACGCCTACGACGCTATGGAGAAGTTCCTCAAGGACCTCAGCCAGGAGTACAAGGACATCACCAAGCTGACCAGCATCGGCAAGTCTGTGGAGGGACGGGAGCTGTATGTACTCGAGGTTACTAAGGAGCCGGGGAAGCATTTGCCAGGTGAGTTGGTGGTGAATTTGTTTTACGGAAAAGTTTAAGTTTAATGTGTCTACCTGGTGGTGGGTCAGGATTCGGTCTTTCTATGTGATCAATAGAGAATACCTACAGTTTCAAGACTAAGACTCGTAAAGGTGACTTATTAGCGAGGCAAGCAACCATTTTTTTTTGTCAGAAGTACTATGATACGAAATAATCCTATAAACAATGAGACCGTTTACATGGTCATAGCTTACGGTCGTTTCCTCACTAAGTCTTCATTGATAGACTCCAACTATCTGACTGTTAAAGGCTACCAACTGGTGGATTCTTTTTCTTACTACTTATCGAGGCAGGTTGCCAAGTAATTATATAACATTGCACAGTATGTTATGAGACCGTAAAATCGGACATTCTTATTTATTTGCTGAACTCTTTAGAGCTCATTTATACAATTATGAGAGTAAAATTCCCGTTTGAAAATTCCACGTAGTGTTTGCGATATAAAAATTGAAAAAATTTTTTTTTTTTTTCATTTTTTAAAAAGAAAAAAATAACTAACTTTTGAATTTTTATATCTCGAAAACTAAGTGGAATTTTCAAACGAGAGTTTTTCTATCATATTTGCATAAATGAGCTCTAAACGATTCATCAAATAAATGAGAATGTCCGATTTTACGGTCTCATAACATACTGTGTATTGGTGTAAATTTTGATATTTGTAACTTATATTTATCAATAAAAGTTTGACTAAGGTTTCATTGAAATTTAAAAGTCTCCTTTTCTTTTTCTATATAGTATGATCAGGATATACGATTTAACTTGAGGTGAATTATGAACACATAATATTTTTATATTTATTATCTTTACCTACTGGTTCGGTTCGACTAATTATTAAAAATACGTTGAAATTTTTAAATTTTCATAAAGTTCATGTCAATGAGGGTTATCTAGAATGACGGGCACCAGGTGGCAGTACTGAGACGGAAAGTCTACTCATCCGTCAAATCGCATATGTTCTCATAGTCTATGGATCTGGTCTATGGAGTTCCCGCCAAAAACATCACACAAAGGACCTCGCGTCGCAGTGGCGCCCACTGGTGACTTAAATTTTCATAAACACCCTCATTCAATGTAGTTTTCTGATAAAGGGTAGCAAGATCCATTTATTTAGTATATGTAAACCTGATAAGGAACCAAACCCATTTCTTTTCAACATAGGAAAACCTGAGTTCAAATACGTAGCCAACATGCATGGCAACGAAGTGATAGGCAGGGAGCTTCTGCTGCTTCTCGCCAAGTATCTGTGCCAGAAGTACAGAGAGGGAGATAACAGGGTCCAGCGCATGCTGAATACCACCAGGATCCATCTGATGCCCAGCATGAACCCTGACGGGTACGAGAGGTCCAAAGTTGGTAAGTGCGTGGTTGAAATTATTATAAGTCACAAATCGCCCCCATTAGACTAGAGATTACGTATAAACGCTTATACCATTTTTTTTTTGAGTGTGTTTGCTGTTGGTCGCAGATGACCTTTACAGCGTCACCGGGTTTGGGGACGGCGAGATCCTAAGGGGACCTCAAGCCGAGAATTGTTAAGTGTGAGGAGTCCAGATTCTAAGTTGCCTCACCAACACGAATTTATGAAAGATTGATACCGATGGAAGCTAAGCTTTTCTGTTATTGGCCGGAGTGCACCGTTGACGTTGCTCTTTCTCGTATGACGTGTCAGCGATTGTGTGATATAGAAAGCCTTCAAAGTATAGAATAGTAAATAAAACTAGTTTTGACGGGTTAATGCACGAAACTTTATTTATTTATTGACGTTTCGCAGCCTTTTGATTTTGTTAGAAGGTAGCTCGACAAAATTAAATAAAAAAATCACTATTCTGACGATGCAGTCCTGAAAAGGCTGTGAAACTTCAATAAATAAATAAAGTTTCGTGCATTAACCCGTTAAAACTAATTTTATTTAATGAGTGATGTGTGTCAAACCTAAGAAACAAATATATAGAATAGTATTTGCATATATACACGCCTAAATAGAGCATTCCAAATAAACCACACAAAGAAAAGCTAGCTCGAACAGAAATAACAAGCATAGAAAATTAAAGGACGGGTCCTCATTTTGGTTCATTTGGAACTAATAATTAGGGTTGCAACGATATATCGGAATATCGATAATATCGAGACCAAAATATCGATATTTATATCGATATTTAAAATTCACTGATATCGATAATATCGATATCGGAATTTCCAAAATATCGATATTTCGTAGTCTAAAGGAGATTGGTCAAATTGGCCTAAATGCAAATAAAATATTGACATATACAGTAATTCTTGGCGTAATTTATACTTTATTTTACAGTCATTAGATTTTAACGGCCACCTTTAAATAATATATTAATTTTAAAAAAGGACTTCTATTTTTACCGGTTTGGAAAACATACGAATCATTTTTATTGGCTATGGGTGTAGTAACATTCACAAAGACTGATCGAGGTTGTTTATATAACATCAAAACAAATCTATTTTGTAAAGATTGATAAAATATTTCGATGATATTTTAATTCAAAATGTAGATGATATGTAATATTAAACGCAACATAAAAGTACTTAAGTTGTTTTATTTCATTAATTTACCTTATCAGAATATTTAAGCTATGTCAGGAATATACATATTTCACACATTGATCAGAACTATCATGAACCTACGCAATATATTATTACATTAGAATTACCTTTTACCATTATAAACCTAATTATTACTAAGAAAATATCCTATTGGTTTTTATAAAATTATGATAACAGTTCCATGTTTCTCATAACATAGGTAAGCAGGTACCAGTTCCTTGACATGCATTTTGTTAGTGTAATTAGTGTTAGACACTTGTCAAATGAAACAAGATTGCTTCTGAAAGTCGCAATGGCATAATCATGATTTTAAAACTTACTCTTGTGCATTAATTTTAAAAACAGGCAATTATCTGTTATTTTACATGCTCTATATACCTGAATCTAATACATAATATCGGTACTTGGCTTGATTGCCCTATTTTCCTATATAAGTTATTTGGTTTTTATTATTCTAATACCTATGTGCCTATTTGCAAACATAACCTCAAAATCATTCAGTGTATATGGTTTATAGAAGTTCTCAGGAGTGGCCGTCGATAATATTCGTTTCTACGGTAATTTATATATAATTTCGAATCTAGGAAACAATTTTTCATGGTTATTGGTTTTTAGGCCAAACATGTATGGAAGCTGAGCAATCTCCTTTGAACACAATAATATCAATTAATTTACCTGCTATGACTATCTAAATTGAATAACATCGAAAAAACTATTGCTTTGAAATCGCAAGAGCAAATAGATGTATTAAAAAATTTTGAACCCCAAGAAATATACTAAACTGGTGTGGATTCTGGCGTGATTCTCTAAACCTAAAATTAAATTTGACAACAGTGTATCCTTGCCATTCTCTATACAGAATGAAAAGGAGAGAATGATGTTAAATTTAGTTTTAAGTTTAGATAATCATGCCAGAATCGACACCAACGTATATAGGTATAATCGTATACATAATGGTAACTCATGCACTTAAATAAAATCCTTGCCTCTCTTTCTAGATAATTTTCAACTACTGATTAATTGAAATTTAATATCATTGTAATATAACACAAAATAAAATTAAGAATCTTATACAAATCGTAAATTTTTTAAGCTCGCCAAGTCAAGAAAGTAAGATAGGTATAGTAATTTTGGAAGCTTTGGGCTTACCCTATTCTGAAGCCATGGGCACGCCCCTGATGTGTAGGTTTTACTAATACATAACAATTGTTTTTCATATGATTATCTATTCTGATTTTGGCTGCGTGGAAACATTTTAAACAAAATAAATATCTTTGATTCGAAATTGCTTTTGATTTGATACTTCTTACAGCGCTATAAAAATATAGAAAATATCGTGTTGGAAATGTTGGAATGGCTGATATATCGGATCGGATATCGATATTTACCTGCCCACATTATAAATATCGATATTTCGGAAAACTTTGCTTCCTTAATTATAGGTTTTTGCTTTGCAAACTTAATACAAAGCAAAAAAAAAGAAAAAATATCGATATATCGATAATATCGAGTTAAAATGGTCGATATATCGGTTATCGATATTTTCCTGACTTCGATATAAATATCGATATTACAAAAGACCTTGCATCCCTACTAATAATAATTAATTGTCAACACAACTTTTTTCAGTGATGCACTTTGAGGCACACTTAAACCAATATTCTTGTTTTTATGTACCAACTGCAAATATTAAAATCAAGAAAATAGTGGTGTGGAAGTTTTCAAAATATTTTGTTGTATATTTTAGGTGACTATAGCAGCATGCGAGGTAGGGCCAACGCAAATCATGTGGACCTCAATAGGAATTTCCCAGACCAGTTTGGACCCACAAAGGTAATTAAAAAAAATTACAAAACTTATAAGGCAACAAGGTTGACAGCACAAAATAGACAAATATAATCATTAAAAATATTCCACCTTTAAAAGATTGCATGTGTAACGAAATTTGTTTTACTAAAAATAATCAAATTGTTAGATACGTCAAGAGATTGATTTAATACACTTTTTGTGGCATTCTGATTCATCAACTTAAGTCATGAATGAAAGATAATAATTTACTTCTCCGAGTGTGGCCATTAGAAATATTTATTTATTCTTTCGCCAGGACAACCTCACCCCACAACCTGAGACTCTAGCCGTAATGAACTGGTCGCTATCCATACCCTTCGTATTATCCGCCAACTTACACGGGGGTGCCCTGGTAGCCAACTACCCTTACGACGGCAACCCTTCCATGGAAAGCGGCCGAGCCTTTTTAACGCCGGACAACCCTGTGTTCCTGCATCTTGCTCATGTCTACTCCGATGTAAGTCTTTATTATATTATTATTATTATACTCTTTATTGCATCATATAGTTTAAAACAACAAATACATAGCAAAGGTTGGCTTATCTCTAAAAGAGATCCAACCTAGGTGGTGTCGGAGATTCCAAACTTAGCGGGAAACAAAAAGTGCAATAAAAATTAAACTAAAAATAATTTATTACTACAACATATATATAACTATAATATATAACATATAATCATATGTTTTGTATGACTTTTTACACTTTATTGGTATTTCTAGTTCTATAGATGAATAAATTGAAATACCTATAAAGATAGGTTCCGAAACGTCAAGAATTTTGACGACCTCCGTGGCCGAGTAGTTTGTACGCCGGGTTTCATGGTGCCGCCTGCTCGAGAGGTCCCTGGTTCGAATCCCGGTGGGGGCAAATGTTTGTGTAATGAATACGAGCATTTGTACTCCAGTCATTGATATTTAATACGTTTTTCTATATAAATACACTTATATATGTATTCTATCCGTTACCCTAGCATCCCATAACAAAAGCCTTACACTGATTACTTTGGGGCTAGGCTAATTGGTGTGAGTTTTGTAAATATTATACTTATTATTACAAAAAAATAATAATAAGTTTCAGAAAGTGCTTTATCAAATGAATGGCAAAATGAAAACATAAGAAATAAATATAGAAACATTACGTATTAGCAGGTGCGAGCGACTTCATCTGCGTGGTTTAATCTGTTTTCCATACAAAATTTCATTCCATACCCCCTTCAATATTTATTTTCAAGACAAAAGATAGCTTGTAACCGTCTCCAAGTTCCCATCTATGTTTTTGACAAAATTCTTAATATATTTGTTTCTTAGGTTTTCACGCACATCACTCATTAAATAAATCAATAAAGTCAATAAATAAATAAAGTTTCGTGCATTAACCCGTAAAAACTAGTTTTATAAAATTCTTAATAATAATCTTTATTTGCTAAAAAGACGGTATACAGGTATTGACTAAAGTGGATTGAGCGCGTGTTTCATCATTTCAAAAATAGCATGCATATACATATGGAGTTTCGGATTCCGATTCTTCATTCTGAATCCATTCAGCAAAATCGATTCAGTGGATTAGGTATGAAAGCGTAACAATGAAACTAACTCACTTTCGCATTTCCAAGATTAGATTAAATTCTGAAACACAGTTTCTACAACTCTTATAACCCTGGATCGATAGTGAATGAGTCTATTGGACTATGTATTTAGTATGATGATTTTTTATTGGTTTTCGCAGGCACATCACAAAATGCATTTGGGCCAACCCTGTAAAAATATACCCGATGAGAGATTCCCTGACGGCATCACTAACGGGGCTCAATGGTAAGTTGTTTTGACCGAAAAATCGAGTGAAATTTGTCTCCTATTCTCTATTTGTACGATTGGGGAAAAGACGGATCCTCATTTTGTCAGTAGTTGATTTTTCTGATGATGGTGATGATGAGATTTTTCTATATTACTATAAAAACTAATGAAAGAAGAGAAGAGAAAGAGTGCAAGTATAAGTATTAGCATTTATATATTAATATAAATTGTAGACCTTTTCTGTATGTACCAACTCCTTCCGTCTACGAATTCGATCAAGTGCGACCAAATTATTGACTGGTATGATAGATCAGTGATGATGTTGTGATTAGTCCTGCACAGCAATATAACCCATATTCCCATACAGGTAAAGCTACAAATCCTCCGTAGGTACGTTCTAGCGGCTGGAATGCAGGATTGGAGCTACTTACACACGAGCGATATGGAGATCACTCTAGAACTGGGTTGCTACTAGCATTAATATATTTACATATATAAATTTTAGACCTTGTCTGTATGTAACAACTCCGTCCGTCCACAAATTCGATCAAGTGCCACCAAATTATTGACTGGTATGATAGATAAGTGATGATGATGTTATAAGTCCTGCACAGCAATATAGCCCATATTCCAATACAGTTAAAGCTACAAATCCTCCGTAGGTACGTTCTAGCAGGTGGAATGCAGGATTGGAACTACATGCACACGGGCGATATTTAGATCACTCTAGAACTGGGTTGCTACTAGCATTAATATATTTACATATATAAATTTTAGACCTTGTCTGTATGTACCAACTCCGTCCGTCTACGAATTCGATCAAGTGCGACCAAATTATTGACTGGTATGATAGATAAGTGATAATGCTGTGATAAGTCCTGCACAGCAATATAGCCCATATTCCCATACAGTTAAATCTACTTATCCTCCGCAGGTACGTTCTAGCAGGCGGAATGCAGGATTGGAACTACTTACACACGAGCGACATGGAGATCACTCTAGAACTGGGTTGCTACAAGTTCCCGCCTGCCGAAGACCTGCCTATGTACTGGGAGGATAACAGAGAGGCATTGCTAGCGTTCATTGAGCAGGTAACATAAACTTTGGGCTTTCATATCACTACCAATATGCAAAAATATTGTAACAAGGGGTTGCTTTGTATAATATGGAATGATCTCCCATCACCTTCGCGACCTAACATTTCAATGTCATGAATTCGATCTAGATATACGTCAAATGCGTCTGCTACTACGTACGTACTGATTTTCTAGTTTTCGTTACGTCCGTTGTGGCGCTGCTGTTCAAGTTTCTATACAAAACTTGATAGTGAGATTTCGCACTCGCAAATGTTACTAATTCGACATTGATTCGTGCTAAGGGTACAGTTTAAATCCAAGCATTTTTGACTGAATTATAATAAAATACCTTTTAATAGGCTTGTTGTTAATAAAGCTTTGTGCTTGACATCTTAAGTTTGTCCTCATTATGCTTTATAAGAAATGAAAAGGACAGACTGATGTCAAATTTACCAAAAGCAATGAATTACTTTTAAATAACGAACACCGAAAGAAGAATTAGCACTGATGACGTCATATAACAACTACTTTATATTACAACTTAATAAATTGACATTGTAATTAATATATTTAACATTTAATTGGCTATTTATAATTCAATTGAAATTTATATACCACACAAATTTGACGATGGGAAGGCTTGAAACCAGCTGAGCTGTGCCTATTCCTATTTCCTATTTATTAGTTATATATAATGTAATAATACGATATGGAAATAAAGCACTTATATTTGTATTTATTTGTATTTGTATTATATTTAATTTTACTAGTTCATCTATCGTTAGGTCCACGCCGGTATCCATGGCTTCGTGCACAGCCACATCGGCCATCCTCTATCCAACGCCACCATCACCGTCGACAAATTCGGGCGAGGCGTTCGCAGCGCCCCTAGCGGCGACTACTGGCGCCTCTTGCCGTCCGGCCGGTACAACGTCACAGCCTCCAGGCACGGGTGAGTCCAAAGACCTAGATTTAATAATAAACTCTTTATTTCAGCAACGAATCAGAAATAATATGGAATAAGAACTGCTCTAAAAAGTTGTCAAGTGGGCGGGGCGTAAATACTGCTATCAACACGCCGATCACGTGGTCGGTTGGGATTTGCGTTTAACTTTATCTTATATACCTATAGTCTATTCACTTTGGCCTGAGACAAAATGTAAACAAAGAATCTGAGGTTCTTAAACTTTTTTAGAAAATGCACTCTCGCGTCAACAGTTTGATCGATCTCTCGTAAAGATGGCTGACGTAAAAAACCAACAGATTATAAAATACAACATTTCAACGTAAAATACTTATATCATGTCTACTCTTAAATTTTGTCGTATTATAATACGTCTTAGTTTGGGAATGATTGTGTTTTTAGGTCTTTTTCCATGTCAACTGATGTTGTTAAAATACTTTTATCAGCAATATAAAAATATACTAATTTATTATTTTATTATAATAAATATATGTATGTAAAATATTTTATTTTCTTATTCAAATGTATGTACCAGCTTTTAAAAAAATTAACCTAATGTTTCGCTTCATTTCCTATGTAAATAGTATTTAATCTGTACTTTTGTCAAAAGTGACCTTAAAAAGTATCCTTTTTATGGTTTGTTTACATTTTGTCTCACGCCAATGTGAATAGACTATAGATCTACTGGTGCCTGTTGCCATCAGGCCGGTATAACGTCCAAAGACCTAGATTTAGAAATAATCTCTTTATTTCAGCTACGAATCAGAAATAATATGGAATAAGAACCGCGCTAAAAAGTTGTCAAGTGGGCGGGGCGTAAATACTGCTATCAACACGCCGATCACGTGGTCGGTTGGGATTTGCATTTAACGTTATCTTACAGACCTAGCGCCTCTAGCAGCGACCACTGGTGTCTTTTGCCGCCCGGCAGATACGACGTCTTGTTTATTTTCCATCACCATCTCCATTGCGGAAACATATAATAGGCCTTCTCTATGGATAGAATAGAGAGAACGTGATCAGTGCGTGTTGGTTGGTGCTAACCACTGCAGATGCAGCCGGGGCTAACGGCTTAACGTGCCTACTGCGATTCCGACAATTTTAACGGAATTAAAGTTTATTAATATCTTTAAACTATACTGTCTTTACGGAAAAGAGTTAGTACCGATGATAGCAAAGCTTTTCTGTTACTGACCGTATTTGTGACACATTTTTCCATCCGTGTTTTTTTGCAAGCGACTATCATCATCATCATCCTATTAATGTCCTCACTGGTGGGGCACAGCCCTTCCCTACGGATGGAATAGGGAGGCCATGACCCACCACGCAGGCCCAGTGCAGATTTGTGGGTGCTTAAGCCTGCAGATGCAGCCGGTAGCAACGGCTTAACGTGCCTTCCGGAGCACGGAGAAGCTCGAGAAAGTAAATTTTTGGTCACCCGTCCAATGACCGACCACTGCGAAAGTTGCTTTGTGACAAGCGACTATGTGTTGAAGAAATTGCTTTACTAACTAATTTCGTGTTCAGTATCTTAGTAAACACCAGTAGCCCCTATAAAATTTAACATAACCCATTAAGCACAGTTGTATATCATCTCTTAACAGATACGAGAGTATAACTGAAGAAGTGACGGTGCCAGAGAACGGATCCGTTAGCGTCAACTTCACACTGATGGCCGACGACCCGCAGCATTGGTCTTCTGCTTACGACTTCCGGTAGGTGTTCAAACTATATTGTAGTACAGTTAGCAACAAGTCATTTGATCCTTTTATATCATAGATGGACATAGACCGCCTTATTACAAAACGTTGACTAAAGAAGAAGACAGAGACAACATGAGGATTAAACTGAGACTAACTTTAGTCTGTAGGAAGGAAAAAAAGGAAGATCTTCCTCCGAGCTGGGTGATGTTAGCTCGGGGTCGCGGCCCGACTGATGTTGGTCGGGCATCGTATATATGTAGTGTAAGCCTCCGAATTTCACTTGCGCGATTTAGGCTTCCATACTGTATTGATGTGTGTGTGATTATTTCCTCCATGTTAGTTTTATGTGGGGCATATATCGCCGCCACAAGTCTATGTTTTGGAATAAGGGAGGGAGAGAATGGACTGGGTGTGCCTTAGTGTGAGTTTCACCACAGAGCAAATTAAAGTTAATTTTTACTATAACTTTAACTGGCGTCGCTTGAACAGCTAATTGTCAGTATCAAATTAGCCATTTTGGCTATCGTCAAATGGTGCAACACATTTTTTATCAAACCAGCACTTTAATTGAACAGTTAAAATATTTGTTTCTTAGGTTTTCACGCGCACCACTCATAATCATAATTCTGACGACGCAGCCTGAAAAGGATGCGAAACGTCATAAATAAATAAATCAGTGCATCTATACCGTTGAAACTTGTTTTATTTAATGAAAAGTTAAAAGTTGAAGTAAGTTGGTGAAACTCACGCTTAATAAAAACTTAAACTTATTAAGGTTTATGAACGCGAACCAAACTGGTTGCATAATAGCTTAGTCTCTTTCACGCTTTTCTATTCGTTGGTCGCACGATCGCCTTGTCTCTTTCTAGACATTGATCAATTTCAGGCAGTTATAACGATGATGACGGGGTGAAGTAAATGAAATTCTATTTAGAGCGTCGTCGGTTAGATTATCAAAGGCACAAGTTTTTTTGGCAATCAACAAAAAAAAGAATATAAAGATAAAGCGCGCCAAAGTTTGGTAGTGAGATCTCGTGACGTCACTTCTAAGTAAACATTCTGTCCTGACATGACGTCAGGCTACATTTCAAATCAATATATCTCTGTAATGTTTTGATTATGTGAATCAAGAAAAAATACGTGTCCAATACTTTTTGATAATCTACCTGATAAACGAAGTAAAAAAAGGTTCGCCATCATCCCTATTGCTTAGTCCATTCCCTATGTCTGTCTTAAAACTTTCAAAAATGCTATGGTTATTAATATAAGAGTCACAATCGATTGAAAATTTTGACACGTTATGGTGACTTGGTGTGTTGTTTTCTGTATTATAAAATGATAGTGGTGTGTCGTTTGAGGTGAAAATCGCTTATGCTCTTCTTCTATACTCTATCGAATTTCCGTCCATTTCCATGATAAGTAAAAGTTGTAAAATGAAGTTGTAAGTATAATTATCTAGCACTAAGATCAAGAATCTGTACACTGGCTTATATAGATCACCTTATTTTTCGATATTTTACATATTATTGAATGCCATGCTTTATAAATGCTGCGTTATATTTAGTTTATATTTTGTCTAGAGATTATTGATTTCGTGATATTGTGAACGGTCACTAAGATAAAATTTTCCTTAGTTTAGTAATTTTCTATAAGTAGTTTTTATATTATAATCTTATTATCTTGAAGTCCCCAAAATATTAAATAATATTACACATTATTGTAGATAATAAAATAATACATACCTATGAACGATATTATTGTATTTCGTTTTAGCCAATTTATGAAAACAATTTTACATGAATAAAAAAATCTTTTATATTTGTACAAATACTTATGTAATGCAATTAACGTTCAAGTTATTAACATACGACAACTAAATAAAGAAATAACAATATTATAGTTTAGCTTTAATATATTCTTTTTGAAATAATCTCTAATTTGTTAAATTTGTATAATGTATTCTATAACTGTATGCTTATCCTAAATATATGTATTTTATTTATGCACGTGTGTTGTGTTGTTTTTTGCACTAACTGTGAGCGTCGCTAATGCTTAATTATTATCAACAAATAAAAAATATCTTCATTGAAATTAGATGCGTGACAACACTTTTGAATTGTTAAATATTTTTTTCCGCCACCCGACATGGACATTTTTTAACTGCGGGGAAAAGTGGGAGTTTTGTGCTTAAATATGAACAACATTGTATAGTTTATTTTTTTATTGAATGTCGGGTCAGCCAATACAGATACAAATGTTGTAATCAAAATAAAGTTAATTATTTAAAAAAAACAAAGTAGTACAGAGCAGACTCATTGTCACTGGCAGTACCCGTTCACGAGCATGACGCATGAACAAGCTATCGCTTCACTCAACGTTATTTTAGAGAATGTAGCGACTCGCCTCATACGACATCACCTCGCAGATTTAATACCTGAATCAACAAGAAAATATGTCTATTCTCTAGCTAGATAATATCAAAATAAATATAGATAAAACAATATAATAAATTAATTTACATATGAATGATCCAGCTACCAAGAATACTCGAGCGAAGAAGATGAACCCATACAAGGTTTTTGAGATGAAATATTTTATAGTAAAAAGTAAAAACATGTAGTTGAAAGTTCCTTTACCTCAAATGTCATTTAACTTGTAGCCTTATGCGTAATATCTGCGTGCGCTTAAAGCTCATACCACATAGATGACGCAGTCCGAAAAGTAATTTGTTAATGTTCTACGGCGTTTTAAATGTAGTCACATAATGATATCGATTTGACGCATTGGTAGCCAAACATGTAGCAGTACACATAGTACCATATCCTTGTTGCTTTTGAAACGCATTAATCGTAGATTCGAATGATATTATGTAGACAGCAATTGGTAAGATTTCATCAGAAAAGAAGTAAATAAATTTTTGCCTATTCACATTGGGATTGTAAATAGCACGCAGTAAACGCAGACTATTATTATTTTCTTCAATTTTGGCTTTCATGCTGGACTAGGAGGAATAAAATAAATAAAATGCACCTACAACAGGCACCTTGCTATATGAAGGGAATGTAAAATTTGACATATCAAACTACGTAACTACGTGGTAGGACCTCAGTTCGCGGTTTTCAGTAATGAATGGAATGATAATAATAAAATAAATAAATAAATATATATAAATTTACTAATTAAATTTTTGTATCTGAAGATTACATTTTCCTACAAGCAGAGAAACCGTTCTTTTATGTACGAAGATTTAAAGTATTACACAGATCACCTCCACCAGTAACCGTATGCAAGGGCATCCGTTTGTGCCAAGTTATGTAGTAATACATCATAAGCGTGTGACACGCCCCAAACGTCGACCAATGACGATGCATCGTTTCAGCTAATTGGTCAGCCGACCATGACGTCACACTCTCGTGTCCAACCAAAGCTCCCCGCACGGCGCCAACTTTAATGTGGACTCTTTAAGGGTTGGGTTATGCATCATTATTACCTACTAGTGGCCGCCCGCGACTTGGTACGCGTGGAGTTAGTTAGAAATAAAGATTCACTGCTCGTTCCTCGTAGGTGATAGCGTGATAATATGTAGCCTATATATTGACCCGACCTTTTAATAATGTTCGTGCTAAATTTGAAGTAAATCCATGCAGTACTTTTTGAGTTTATCCCGGACATACATACAGACAAACAGTCAAAAATTCTAAAAAACTATATTTTTGGCTTCGGTATCGATTGTAGATCACACCCCAAGTATTCTTTAAAAAAAAATATTCAATGTACTGTTTTGACTTTCCTACCATTTTATTATATGTATAGATTATTTATTCCACTCTCAGTTCGGGTTGCGATTTTCACTAGTTAATAAAATGGTAATTTAATACTTTCATCTCAATAGAACAGTATGATTGCAGGGTGCTAGACAACATAATGGGAACTAAATATCACACGCGGCCGCAGCTATACGAAGCGTTGTCTGAACTGGAGAACAAGTACCCCGATATAGCGGAGTTCCGCGCGGGAGATGCACTCACCACTTCTATATTCCACCAGCTCAAGTTGACTGATCAGGTAGGTGAAAACGTATCTATAATAATGCTCGTCTGCTTGGGTTATTATTATAGTTGTAGGATACTGTATATTATTTTGTAAATAAGAAGATAGATTCGTCTTCTCGTATTTTGGTATTTTTTATTAATGACAGTTATAAATTTTGTAATAGTGACAATATAAAAATATCTTTCAAAAAACCATAAACTAAACGAAAAGTTCTAATGAAATTAAACAGTAGGGGTAGTTGATAACTAGGATTTATTCTGTCTCTCTCTGTTTTTTTACTCCTTTCTTTTTTCTATTTCGGAGAGAGAATGCATTGTAGACATCTATCTATTCACAATTTTCATGATTCTTTAAACTTTAACTAATGCTATAAATGCGACAACGAGTTTGTTTGTTTGTTACGCTGTCACACCTAAACCGCTGCGTCGATTATTATGAGTTTTGCAATAGATATAGATGAGACCCTAGAGAATGTTATATGCTACTTTGTCTCTTGAAAATTTTAAAGGGGGTGAAATTTTTATAAGAAACTTATTTTGGCACGCAGACGAAGTCACGGCACCTGGCTGATATTATAGTAAACCCAAATCCACGTTCGTCCCATTCCTTTGTTTGCCTAACAGCTGAAGTACTATATAATAACACTTTGGCAATCACCAGGTCGGATCTCCCGAAGAGACGAAGTTCCACATCGCGCTCATAGGCAGCTTCTACGGATCCCAACCACTCGGGAACGAAATGTTGTTAAACTTCGCTAGACACATCGCAACCGCCTACACAATAGGCGAGCCCATACACAAAAAACTATTGGAAACCACTGTCCTACACTTCATACCCAATTTAGACGCATTACACGACAAAATCGTTCAGCAATACAACGGAACAGACAAATGTGACGTCGAGCCGTTAGAAGAGGAATTCGGAGACAGCTTATACAACTACATAACCAAAAAGAACTTAAATCCCCTATCGAATTATACGAGGGAGAAGTCGTTTATAAGTTTGTTGGAAAGCGAGAAATACGATTTAGTTTTGGAGTTGGCTTCCGGGTCTGAAGACGTGATCTACCCGGAGGTTTCGAAAGATGTTTATGATAAGTTTGCGAGGAGATACCAGGATAACAGGACACCCAGTGAGAAATACGAGTGTAGTAAAGCCAGTAATATTGTGCATGGCAACTTGGTGGATGTGTTATGCGAGAGGTATAATACTCCGGTGATATCTGTGGGTTTGAGTTGCTGCAGGATGCCGGTGGAAAGTGAGATAGCATATGTATGGAGGTACAACTTGAGGGGTATCATGCAGTTCGTAGAGATTGCAAAAACAGGTGAGTGGAATTTTTTGTTATTTAAAAAAGATTGTTCTGATAGTAATTTCTGAGATTTGGTGTGTAAGAATATTATCAAAGCTATTTTCTTCAGATTATATTAACGGGAAACAATATAAATAATATAGCCGAAGCTTATCAACCGTCTTAGCAATAAACTAGCATCTGACGAGCGTTTTAGCAAAAGGTGCCATCACAGAATTAAATGAAATTCGAGCTTACAGCCTTTGATTGAGATACAGGATCTATGCTGCATAATTTCCTCTTCCAATTTCTATCCCACCTGATGTTAAGTGTTGGTTAAAAAGTCCAGACGAGAAGATAGCCGTAAGGTGGTTAGCGCGTTCGGCTGCGATCGTTGAAGTTAAGCAACTTTCGCAGTGATCGGTCATTGGATGGATGACCAAAAATCTTCTATCTCGAATTCCTCCGTGCTTCGGAAGGCACGTTAACCGTTGGTCCAAGCTGCATCTGCAGTCGTAAGCACCCGCCAATCCGCACTGGACCCGCGTGGTTGGACATGGCAAGGGCGGCTCCAGGGAGGAGGGGGTCATGAGCTGATCTGGGTCCATCTGTACCCACTGTGACTTGACCACGACTATATGACCCCCCCCCCCCTGGCGCTAAAACTGGATCCGCCCTTGGGTCATGGCCCATTCTCCCTATTCCATCCATAGGGAAGGCCTGTGCCGCAGCAGTGAGACATTAATAGGCCGATGATGATTTATTGAAACTGGGGGGGGTTAGGTTAGACATGCTGACACGAAAATGAGTATCAACTGAATTTCACTACGAGAAAGGAAGTTAAAGTTTCGTACTTGTGATGTAGGCGTGGTGGGTTACGTACGCAACGAGCTAGGCGCCCCGATGCGGTCCGCCAGTATCGCCGTGATGGGCCGTGATGTGACGCGCCAGTACCGAGTGTCCCGCAATCTGGCGCACTATCGGGCCTTATTGCCGCCTGGCCAGTATCGAGAGCTAAACTTTAGTACTGTGATGTAGGCGTGGTGGGTTACGTACGCAACGAGCTAGGCGCCCCGATGCGGTCCGCCAGTATCGCCGTGATGGGCCGTGATGTGACGCGCCAGTACCGAGTGTCCCGCAATCTGGCGCACTATCGGGCCTTGTTGCCGCCTGGCCAGTATCGAGAGCTAAACTTTAGTACTGTGATGTAGGCGTGGTGGGTTACGTACGCAACGAGCTAGGCGCCCCGATGCGGTCCGCCAGTATCGCCGTGATGGGCCGTGATGTGACGCGCCAGTACCGAGTGTCCCGCAATCTGGCGCACTATCGGGCCTTGTTGCCGCCTGGCCAGTATCGAGAGCTAAACTTTAGTACTGTGATGTAGGCGTGGTGGGTTACGTACGCAACGAGCTAGGCGCCCCGATGCGGTCCGCCAGTATCGCCGTGATGGGCCGTGATGTGACGCGCCAGTACCGAGTGTCCCGCAATCTGGCGCACTATCGGGCCTTGTTGCCGCCTGGCCAGTATCGAGAGCTAAACTTTAGTACTGTGATGTAGGCGTGGTGGGTTACGTACGCAACGAGCTAGGCGCCCCGATGCGGTCCGCCAGTATCGCCGTGATGGGCCGTGATGTGACGCGCCAGTACCGAGTGTCCCGCAATCTGGCGCACTATCGGGCCTTGTTGCCGCCTGGCCAGTATCGAGAGCTAAACTTTAGTACTGTGATGTAGGCGTGGTGGGTTACGTACGCAACGAGCTAGGCGCCCCGATGCGGTCCGCCAGTATCGCCGTGATGGGCCGTGATGTGACGCGCCAGTACCGAGTGTCCCGCAATCTGGCGCACTATCGGGCCTTGTTGCCGCCCGGACAGTATCGAGCCATCGTGCGCTGCCACGGCTACCGAGATCAGGTCAGAATAAGCCTTTTTTTTTTATTGTTGGGAAAATGCTTGACGCATACCCCGCTCCTGGGTGAGAGGCGGGGTTATGTGGGACTCCTCCTCCCCCAAATCCCGCCCACCCGCTCAGCCAAACTGGCTCAGCGGCTACACGGGACGAGGGGGGGGGGGGGGGGGCTACCCACTAAAAACTAACTGCTTGATGTTTAAATCAAAAGAAAATATAACTAGAAAAATTAAAATTATAACTATAATTGCTATTTCTTCTTTCAAATGTTTAATACTTGTAAAAGTATTCATTTGACATTGTGGGTTACCTACAATGCGAAGAAATGGTGCTGCCCTGGCTTAAGCTTAAGCATGGCTAGTGGAATTTCCACGCGGCCGTCAGGGCCGCGGTAGCATAATTGGTTAGTGCATTCGCCCGGATTGCGAAGGGTGCGGGTTCGAGTCCCGTCTGCTGCCTGGCCCGCGTCGATTTTTTTCTAGTTTTATTTTCTTTACATATATTTTTTACCTAGATCTAGATTGAGAGTTAGAATACTTTTTGTCCTACAAAAATTTTGATTCCCGGCGTGATTTTCAATATACTATAACGCGAAAAATGAACTCCTTCCATCAGAGTCGGGTGTATGTGTGTCAAACGCACGCATTGTAGGATGACTATTTATTTATTATATATATATCTTCTATATATATAAAAATCAATTGCTATTCGTTAGTCTCGACAAAACTCGAGAACGGCTGAACGGATTTATCTTATCTTGGTCTTGAAATGTTCGTGGAGGTCTAGGGAAGGTTTAAAAGGTGAGAAAACATGGAATAATTGCGAGGAAGACAGTAAAAACTTTAATTTAATTTTCCTACATAAACTGTTCTATCTTTTTTCCTGTCAAACATTAGACGTTCGTCCCTTTTGGTACGAGACTCTGGTCCGTCATTTCTTCCAAATTATTTTAACCCGTACGAAGTACCCGGTTCCACCCCACCTGATGTTAAGTGACAGTGAAATCTAGACGTGAAGATAGCTGATACAGCAATTCTACCTGCCACACCAGCCATCCTCACCTAGCCGGCCTGCATGTTGCTTCTTCACGCCTCTTTTAGAGGATCCCAGGTTGTAAGAAGGAGGGAATTTGCTTTCTTCACTTCTTCTCTATATGTAGCACACACTCCTCTGTTGGCAAAATGTTTGAAAATGATCCCAAAAGTTTATCCTATACGTTATAATCTAATAATAACCTCATAAATGTACTCGAACAGATAGTGACGTGGCGAGTGTTGGATAGCGTAGTCAAACAAAAGGACATCGTGCTGCAACGCCTCGATTCTGAACCGGAACACATTCAAGGTGGACTGTACAACGAACTGCCCGTAAACAGCGACCCTAACACTGTCTATATCACTGGTATGTTTTGGTTTTTTTTAAATTCTCCCATTGGGAAGACAAATAATACTAAGTTTATACAACCTCATCTTCAGTGTTTCCTTCTTGAAGTGAAACTTCTTTACGCACGCTTGACTTAGGGGGTAAGTTGGCGAACGCGTTACGCGTTAAGAAAAGAGTGTTCAGGCGAACGGGATTTTGAGTGGGGGATATAAGCAAGAGAATGTAGTGCGCGCGCACATTTTCTTTCTCTTATAGCTAGTAAATGAAAAATGTATATGTACATACATGTATATATTGTACATATATATATATATATACAGATGGATCAAAAGAAGTTACACTTCAGTCGGTGGTCATAAGCACACTCGTTTTTTTTTCTTTTTTTTGGATGCGGATGAAACACTTTCTTATGTTTATTGTTGTTTCTGGAAGAATTCTCGATATACTCCCGTGAGGTAGTCAGCAACTCAGTCTTACAATTATTATTGTACATGCTACCTAGAGCACACGCTCCGTGCGCCGCTTAACGCAGCGAACGCTCTTATACTTCCGCGTGACCGAAATAATATTTCAAACTTACAGGATCGTTATGGGGAACACCCAGAGCAACCGCACATTGAGCCACTAAACGCGACTACTAGTGGCTCATTCGCCAATCGCAGCCGCTGGTGGCTCATTTGGCGGCCTCTAGTTGCCGTTACTTTTGGCTGAAATTCCATTCGTTTCCGTTGAGAGCTTGAAGCAGGCAGCAGACGCTTTTGTAAAATGGAATTACTATTGATTTCGTTGTGGTTGATTATTATACTAAGACGTGGAAAACTTCGTCGAATTCAATGCAATCAACTATAATTTATCGTGGTATACCGTAGGCGAGTGTGCGCACGACAAAACGCGGCCATAAGTAGCTAGTTCGGGCGACTCGAACGCTTAGTTTGCGCCGTAGATTAAAACAAAAAAGAATTCGTTTTAGTCACAATTTGACATCCAAACACGCTGCATGTGTACTCAATATAACAATATTGTGTACATTCTGTATTATAAAGACATTACCTTCGTTACTTTAATAAAAAACCAATAGTTCAAGATCAAATAACAAATTCCACTACTACACTTTTCATTCGTTAAACTGTAAAAGGATTTTTTTCTCAAAAATCACGGATTGAACTAAACCAAAACTAAACTAAATATACTTATTGGCCATTTGTTATCAAGAAAAGGTAAACAATACAGCTCAGCCGTTTATAGAGAGAGAAAAGAAGACCGCGAATAGGGATGCAAAGTCTTTTGAAATATCGATATTTATATCGAAGTCAGGAAAATATCGATATCCGATATATCGACCATTTTAACTCGATATTATCGATATTTTTTTCTTTCTTTTTATTGACTTTAGAATACGGGGTGAGTGTGACACATTCATATGTTTGTTGGCGAGTTTCTCGCAAAATGCATTGAGCCAGCTTTTTCTTTAAACACGCTTGATGAAATCGCGCCAAGCAGGATTTTTTTTATTGGCTCGCACGGTTTGTGTTTCAGCCACGACAGGAAACCAAAAAATTAAAATTATTATCCTGATCAGATCACTCACATTTGTTAGCACGAATGCGCCATCCCGCATATGTGGGACGACATTTGCGAATGCCTTCGCTAAGTTTTCACTACATTCGTGCTTTTCCAAGCTATGTCGGTTTATTAGCGCACATCAAATACGCAAATTGCTTAGTCTCCCACACATCAGGGGCGTGCCCATGGCTTCAGCATAGGGTAAGCCCAAAGCTTCCAAAATTACTATACCTATCTTACTTTCTTGACTTGGCGAGCCTAAAAAATTTACGATTTGTATAAGATTCTTAATTTTATTTTGTGTTATATTACAATGATATTTAATTTCAAAACATCAGTCTCACCTTGTCATTCTGTATAGAGAATGACAAGGATACACTGTTGTCAAATTTAATTTTAAGTTTAGAGAATCATGCCAGAATCCACACCATTTTAGTATATTTCTTGGGGTTCAAGATTTTTTTAATACATCTATAAACTCTTGCGATTTCAAAGCAATAGTTATTTCGATATTATTCAATTTAGATAGTCATAGCAGGGAAATTAATTGATATTATTGTGTTTAGTCTACGAAATATCGATATTTTGGAATTTCCGATATCGATATTATCGATATCAGTGAATTTTAAATATCGATATTTTGGTATCGATATGATCCATATTATCGATATTCCGATATATCGTTGCAACCCTAACCGCGAAGCCGTTTCGCTCGTGCTGCGTTGAAGCGTGCAGTTCTGTCTCGCTCGCTCTATTGAATGTTTATTTACAGAAGTGTGCATGCGTGAGAGTTGCTTATGTATTTGAGTCGGAGCATATTTTATTTGATGTTAGTATGAGCGTACCGTATCTTCCCTTTTTGTTTAATCTAAGATTTGCGCCTATACTATACAAAATGTATAAAAAAACTCGTCCGCAGCTTGTGGTCGCGTTTAGTGCCTCAATGTGCGGTTGCGCTTAATCTAATATTATTTAAAAATCACAAGAGAAGTCTAAGACACTACATTAAAGTAAAATATAAGGTTAGTGCAATGACTTCGTCCAACAAGTTTTCTTTCTTAAATTTAAAGAGTATTTAGACGAGCGAAGTAGGGAAAAAAGAATCTGTGTCTGGTACCAGATTCCAGTCCAGTGTCAGCCTCTGAAAATTCCTTGGTTTGTCAATTTAAATTCAGCAGAAGGTTCATTGTAACTTTTAGATTTCGTCCTGGACATGATCCATCCAGGATATAATATATGGTTTGTTTGTTTGATATTACCTTGTGAAAAAAATAGTTTTACCTAATTTGTACTTGTAAAGTGTACTAAGTATAACCATACGACAATATCATTATTGGAAAAACATAATAAAAAAACGTGTTCGGTGTAGGGATATTCGCAACAATATTGGCAAATCCGCAGTCGTATTTAAAAGCCTTATATATATTTTTTGCAACAATGAATCATCGTAGTTTTATATTAATGTTGTAATTTATTATGTTAGGATATGATTGGGCTTGCATATCCTTTATATTAGGTAAAAGCCTCTTAATAAATAAGATTAAAAAAAAGTTGTCCTTCTTCCAGGTCTAGCTCTCGACCACAACAGCGTACCCCTAAAAGGCGCAGAACTGAAGATCTACCCTCTCACGAAACCCAAAACTCCTATAGCTACCAACACTAGCGACGAGTTGGGGAGGTACCTTGTCGCCATACCAGTCACTTATATGGACAAAGAAGTGCTCGTGTCAGCTTGGGCAGACGGCTATATTAGTTCACAGAGGCATATAGCGGTGAGTGATGAAGTGATTTGTACCTTAAATTTAGCGAGTTTAAAGCACATTATAGCTTAAGATTGATACCTTGTCGCCATACTAGTCATATGAACTAGGAGGTGCTCATATCGGCTTCGACAGACGGCTATATAAGCTCACGGAGGCATGTTGCTGTAAGCGTTGAAGCGATTGTGTTTTAAATTTCATCTTTATCAGACTTGAATGTTTTGGCATATGGGTCATCCATAAACAACGTCACAGTTATTTCGTGATTTTTTGACCCCTCTCCCGTCCTTGCCACAGATGGTCACAATATTCCCCTCCCCTAGTGCAACGTCACGTATTTTGCTATCTTCAATCTAAAAATTATAAAATTTAAAACAGCAATTACTAAATTAGTTCCGAAACCTAGTAAACTAATCAAATTAAAACTCATACAGATAGAGTTCTAAATATTTTTTGGTTTTTGGGTCCATACCCAAAGGGAAAAGTGGAACTCTATTGCTGTCACTCTCTTTCGTCTGTCTGTCTGTACGTATATGACGGGTATCTAGATCATAAACGGAATAAAACTGATATTTTGGTATTTTATGAATAATGCTTCCCAAAACCACAATAATATTAAATTACACAGGCCCACAGAAAAAAAACCCTGCGCGAAAGACCAGACTACCGGAACTTTATGTTTTCGGGGTCGCTGAGTCCAAATATGGTGCCAGAATAGCGAAGTTAGTTCGTGTTTTTTTACCAAAATAAACCATATTATACGAAACCCTTAAAATTTCAGCATTATTGCTGATTTTTGAAGAATCGCGAACCAACTCCGCTATTTTGGCACCATATTTGGACACAGCGACAGGGTCCTTTTTTTTGTAGGCCTGTATTATTTTTCATATGCAGTTTCATACATGAAGAGGAGACGAAATTATTGAAGTGAAAACTTCTTTAGCGGCGTTGTTGTTTTTTTGTATGGGTAAAAAATGTTAAAAACACGCGTCAGGTTAAACACGTGGGCGGATCGCATCATGACACAATAAAATTGGAAAGGTTGTTGACTTTCAATATGTTGGACTAAACATAGTAATATTTTATTTTATAGTATTATAAATCGAAAATTCGTAAGACGAAAACAATAAAATTGGAAAGGTTGTTGACTTTCAATATATTGGACGAATCATAGTAATATTTTATTTTATCGTATTATAATAATAAGTCTTTATCTAGGACGTGCCACCAGGACGTCTTATTTATTGCGAAGAAAATGCATTTTTTTTACAATAGATGTCGCTAGGTGCGCTTGAATGAGTAATTCTGAGAGATAAACTTTTTAATGTAATATAAATTGTCATGTTTGTGTACGATAGCGCAATAAATAAATATTGTATTCTACCACATAAATGATAGTACTTTTATACTGATAATTAAAGAAATTCGTGCAAAATTATTCCCTAACCATTCCAAAATATCAAAAATGCACAACGTTAATATTCAAGTTTTCGCTTCTGCCGGCACTCCCGGAGTGCAACCCTTTGTTTTTTTTTTTCTTTTTTGCCCCCGCATGCGGCACATCATGTTCTAGAACTCGTTAAGTAGGATGTAAATACAATTTTTATTAAGATTTTTTTATTTTCAATAACAAAGAAACGGGGTGCCGTCAATGCTGTCATTTTAGACCATATTTGTTACGGGGTCTATATCAAAATCGTGACGATTAAAAAAATAAAAATTTGTTACCTATATGATGTTGTACATGCTGTATATATTAAACAACAGATAATAAAAACTTCGATTTCTAATGTACTTTGTAAGTTGTGACTTTTCATCACAACTTACAAACAAACGGATGATTTTTACTTTCGTGGTTTGTTGTATGGAACCAAGGTATTTTTTTTCATAATAGTTACTTCAAGCACCAGCTTCTCACACTTCATTTATCTACATAGTAATAGCATTGTATAATTATATTCATCATCATCATCAGCATATTAATGTCCCCACTGCTGGGGTACAGGCCTTCCTTATGGATGGAATAGGGAGATTGGGCCATGACCCGCGGGACCAGTGCGGATTGGTGGGTGCTAACGACTGCAGATGCAGCCGGGACCGACGGCTTAACGTGCCTTCCGAAGCACGGAGGAGCTCGAGATTGTAAATTTTTGATCACCCATCCAATGACCGACCACTGCGAAAGTTGCTTAACTTCAACGATCGCAGCCGAACGCGTTAACCACTTGCGCCATCGAGCTCCTAACAAATTGCACTATATTTAAAAGACTTGTTTTACGTTTCCGATTAGAATATAAATCAATATCTTTTCACTTTTTAAGCATTTTTCTAGTAAAATGTTCATTAGATTTAAATATATTTTATTTCAATTAAATGTCTGCACAGGTAAATGGTAAGGACAATGTAACTCCCAACGTGCTATTCAAGCTGGAGAAGGACGACTATGTTCTGGGAATGCCCCGGCTTGTGTTCGTCATGCTGGCCGGTAAGTTTGCTTTATTTTGGAACTTGAACAGACATGTATATGAAGTACTAGCGGCCCGCCCTTGCTTCGCTTCGGTGTAGAGCTGGAGTGCAGACTACAGTTTTTGTTCTTAGGCTTATATTATACACAATGACATTCATCTGTGATTCCTCTTATACCTGCATGCAAAGTCTCAGCCCGATCGATTTAAAATTGGCAAAGTTTCATACAAACTTTCATTCCCTATTTTATCCCCTTGGGGAAAAAAAAGTCAAATTACTATAGAGTTTGACAGTTAGGCGCGATAGAAAACGTGATATAATGTAGACATGTACCCTTAGTACGAGTTTTACAATTACGAAAACTATGATAGTTTTCGTGAGCTTCTCACTCGTACTAAGGGTACTGATTTTATTGTTTTCGTTTCAATACAGATAAACAGTGTTTAAATTGTATCAATAAATCATTTGCGTCTTCTTAAATTTTAAGTATATTTGGTTACTTTTCATCAAAATGGACACAGAAACATAATTTACAATTACGAAAATTATGATAGTTTTTGTGAGCTCAAACTCCTACTAAGGGTAATGTGCGCCGACTACAATTTAGTTGGCGGCGGCGTGGCGCCGGTGGCGTGACTTTATTTTTGTAAAAAATTGAGGCCAGGAATTCCTCGTCATTTTCTTGACATAAAATATCTGTCCCTGTGCAGGTTTAATGAAATAAAACAATATTTGTAAAAAAAGTTAGAAAATCGACATTTATTTTGGTTAGTGCAACTTGAGATCAATAGTTTTGTTAATTAATAGTCTTTTCTACTAACTATTTGACAGACAAACTTTACTAAGCTAGAAAATAACAAATAAAAATCTTACTAACCCTTTTTTTTAAAATAATGTATTAGATAATAGTAACCTTTAATTCAGTCTTAAACTTACATAATCACAACAATCAACAATTACAAATACTAGGTCACTTGCCGCCGCCATTTTGAGGGACATGAAAAATTGCATTAACTTTTTCTTCTACCGAACACACAAACTCGAGAAGATCGTGTCGTGTCGCGTCGGCGGCGTATGATTGGTCGGCGGGCGCACATGTCTAATATAATTTTTGTTAAAAATAATATTAAAATATTTAAGGCCAGTACTCGTGAACGCCATATTGGAAAACTTTGTGTAGTCCCCTGTAATACGGCACTATTTAGGAAAAGTGTGTTTTGCAATGCTCCTTATATTTATAGTAAATTTCCTGAAAGTGTGCGAGAAATTACCGTGACCAATATATTTAAAAACAAAGTACAATATTTTTTTAATAGAAAAATGTTACTATACGGTCCGTGAATTTTTGGAAGACAAAAGTTTTTTAGATTTAAGTATAGAAAAAATGACATACATGAAATAATTACAATCTTAAATTTATCGTTTATTGACATTTCGAATAAAATATGTTAAATTTATTAATTTTACATTAAAATAATTAATGATTTATTTATATTGCATGCCGATATTGCAAAATAGGGCTGTACGTTACTAAAATGTATCTCTGAAACAACTTTATAACCTATATTCGCAATAAAGATGATTTTTTGATTTGATTTGAATGTAAATTGTGGTGTGTGAGGTGAGGTCGAAGGGTTCTTTCGATCCCCTCCCCCCAGTCGCCTACACCCTCCCGCTGAGCCTTTATACGGCTACAGAGGCGTGTTGGATCTCAAACGACCCGAAACCCACAAAAGTGTTCTGAGGAAAACAGTGAACGACACGTTATCACATAATCCGATTTTACAGTCATCCAACTTTTTTATTTACTTTTTGTTCATAGGCGTGGTGGGCGTTTGTGTGGTTACACTGGGGGCGTGGTGTTTCGGTCGTCGCGGGGTCGCCAGAGAATATCACTTCACACAACTACCCTCCGATGACAAGCGGCTCTTGTGCGACGACCTCAACTACGGTAACATAACTATACTATATCTACCTTAATATCACTTCACACAACTACCCTCCGATGACAAGCGGCTCTTGTGCGACGACCTCAACTACGGTAACATAACTATACTATATCTACCTTAATATCACTTCACACAACTACCCTCCGATGACAAGCGGCTCTTGTGCGACGACCTCAACTACGGTAACATAACTATACTATATCTACCTTAATATCACTTCACACAACTACCCTCCGATGACAAGCTGCTCTTGTGCGACGACCTCAACTACGGTAACATAACTATACTATATCTACCTTAATATCACTTCACACAACTACCCTCCGATGACAAGCTGCTCTTGTGCGACGACCTCAACTACGGTAACATAACTATACTATGGTGTCAATTCTGTCATGATTCTCTAAACCTAAACTTAAATTTGACGACAGTGTATCTTTGTCATTCTCTATACAGAATGAAAAGGAGAGACTGATGTTAAATTTAGTTTTAAGTTTAGAGAATCACGCCAGAATCGACATCTATATCTACCTTAATATCACTTCACACAACTACCCTCAGACGACAAGCGGCTCTTGTGCGACGACCTCAACTACGGTAACATAACTACACTATGGTGTCGATTCTGGCATGATTCTCTAAACTTAAAACTAAGTTTAACATCATCCTCTCTGTTTCATTCTGTATAGAGAATGACAAGGATACACTGTTGTCAAATTTAAGTTTAGGTTTAGAGAATCATGCCAGAATAAACACCTTTATCTACCTTAATATCACTTCACACAACTACCCTCCGATGACAAGCGGCTCTTGTGCGACGACCTCAACTACGGTAACATAACTATACTATATCTACCTTAATATCACTTCACACAACTACCCTCCGATGACAAGCTGCTCTTGTGCGACGACCTCAACTACGGTAACATAACTATACTATATCTACCTTAATATCACTTCACACAACTACCCTCCGATGACAAGCTGCTCTTGTGCGACGACCTCAACTACGGTAACATAACTATACTATATCTACCTTAATATCACTTCACACAACTACCCTCCGATGACAAGCTGCTCTTGTGCGACGACCTCAACTACGGTAACATAACTATACTATATCTACCTTAATATCACTTCACACAACTACCCTCCGATGACAAGCTGCTCTTGTGCGACGACCTCAACTACGGTAACATAACTATACTATATCTACCTTAATATCACTTCACACAACTACCCTCCGATGACAAGCGGCTCTTGTGCGACGACCTCAACTACGATAACATAACTATACTATATCTACCTTAATATCACTTCACACAACTACCCTCCGACGACAAGCGGCTCTTGTGCGACGACCTCAACTACGGTAACATAACTATACTATATCTACCTTAATATCACTTCACACAACTACCCTCCGACGACAAGCGGCTCTTGTGCGACGACCTCAACTACGGTAACATAACTATACTATATCTACCTTAATATCACTTCACACAACTACCCTCCGACGACAAGCGGCTCTTGTGCGACGACCTCAACAACGGTAACATAACTATACTATGGTGTCAATTCTGTCATGATTCTCTAAACCTAAACTTAAATTTGACGACAGTGTATCTTTGTCATTCTCTATACAGAATGAAAAGGAGAGACTGATGTTAAATTTAGTTTTAAGTTTAGAGAATCACGCCAGAATCGACATCTATATCTACCTTAATATCACTTCACACAACTACCCTCAGACGACAAGCGGCTCTTGTGCGACGACCTCAACTACGGTAACATAACTACACTATGGTGTCGATTCTGGCATGATTCTCTAAACTTAAAACTAAGTTTAACATCATCCTCTCTGTTTCATTCTGTATAGAGAATGACAAGGATACACTGTTGTCAAATTTAAGTTTAGGTTTAGAGAATCATGCCAGAATAAACACCTTTATCTACCTTAATATCACTTCACACAACTACCCTCCGACCGTCTAAAACCTGGAGCGAGGGTTTCTTTTTTCTAGTAAAATTTTTCAATTTAGAAATTGTTATAAATTCTAACATATTGAATATATTATTATATAAAATAATCAATTTCGAAATTCGGGAAAATCAGACATTGAAATTAACGTTTTATCACACCTTCATTAGACGATAAATCATTAATATAATATTTTTTTAAATCATTCAGAGATAGTGAAGAAGCCATACTACGACGAAGAAGAAATACCACCTTCAGAAACGGATTCTGAAGATGAGATCGTGCTACTCCGCTCCGATCGCGAGTGGAAGCCCGCCGAGTGAGGGAGGCAAACGGCAATAATATTATACATCAAACCATAGACAAGGAATACATAGACCTGCGCAGTAGTTGGAGACAGAGAATAGAGGGCTCTTTGTCCAACTTTAAAGTAAAACTGAGCAGATAATTGAGAGATAGAAGAAGCTTATGTACAAACAAGAATTCATACATTTTTATCATTACATCATGCGCTGCCCAATAGTTCATACATATAAGGGCCGCACATTTCTCTATTTCTAGAGTTACAGGCAATGTCGCTCAGTCACTCTTTGTCTATGAAAGTAGCATATTTACATCCAAAAACGTCTCCTGCGCATGTTTATCTATCCGTAGTTTTCATAAAGATGTTTGCCTCTAACTATAACTTGCGACAGCAATGTAACACGCCTGAGTTTCTAATTAAGTTTTTTATATGAAATATGAACTCCAGCGAATCGCAATATTGGTCGTGTTTACATTGTATAGAATTTTTAGCGCCATTTTTGAGTATCCATTTTTATCACGAACTTAGGTCGCTAATCAGTTGCGAGTTATTAACTATTGTATATTATCGTGTCGTCACCGGCCTCTAGCTATACTAATTGAATGAGTTTTAAAACGTATCGATAAAACTACTATTTTAAAACGCGATTTAAGTTAGGTTCCAATTATAATACAAATACATATTGAGTTAAATGATCTTGCAAATTCTAATAAACGCAGTAGCTGCATTCTGATGCCAATTAAGAGCTGTCAAATGAAGCTTTAATAACTAAAAAAATATTTTGAAATAACAAAAAAACTATAATTCTTTTTATATGATACAAAAAAAACATTATTAAATGTAGGATTATTTACATGTTACAATTAAACTAGTAATTTATGTTTGTGGTTTTTTTATGACTAATTATAGTTTTAGCGTCGGTAACGTCACGAGATAAGTTAGTTAATAGTGAAATAACAGCAGTATTATTATAATGTTCCGCTTACTTCATTTCCATTTGAAATATATGAGACTGCTAACTAAAACCACTTTGAGACAATAATTGTGATTAATAACTAGCGAATACATAGGATTTTAATCCATGAAGTCAATGTGCCCATGTTTTGATATAATTTCTCTTTGACGTTAACTTTATTAAGGGCCGTTTTTTTTATTATTTTTAGTTTTATTTGATATATTTATATAAAAAAAACAACATTATATTATGATGCGGGTACTTCACTTGGATATTCGTGTTTGCTACTTGTAAGCTTGACATTAGTTTCTCCTTTTCATTCCTTATAAAGCTTATTATTCCTTATAAGGACAGAATTTTGTTAAGTATACAAATAGCCAAGTGAAGTTACGGCATCAAATGTTTACACAGCGTGTCTCACATTTATATTAGTTAATTCTTGATATTTTTCCTTATTCTATCTTTTAAAGATTTATTAATATTATTTTTATTTGTGTTAAAAAAAAAGTAGGATTCTCAAAATTATGACTTTATTTTAAACTTGTTATAAATCTTACCTGCTTGTTAATTTAAAAGCATGTTTATCATGCTCGTATTTGGTATGGGTCTTATTTTATCGCTAATATTTATTCAAAAAATATGTTTATTTTTATATGTACTATAAAAAATAATATAATTTTATTCCAATCATTTCTTTTTACAGTGAGATATTTTATGGTATTCCGAAATTATTTTAAAGTATCTTATTATGTTTTATATGTATTATATTATTTTAGACTTTTTATTTTGTATGTGGTTTTAGTAAGTGCAACTGAACATTCCTTTATTTATTCAAATCAATTAATTTCGTATACACAAATTTATACTTCACTATATATGTAGTTTTAATTTATATTGCTTCTTCAATATTCTTATTTTTTACAAAGCTGCAATTGTATTTTTACACTAAGCTAAATAATTTATTCGAAATTTCAATGATATTTAAAATTATTGAACGAATTAATATCAAATGAATCTCTTCCATTGATTAAATGTGCCGAATTATTTATTCTAAAATTAAATAAACTAAGATGTGAAAACTTGACGTCCGTTTTCCTATTTTCTATAAATATACAAGTTGGTGCTCTTTTTAAATGTTTTACATTTTTTTAGAAAATTTATTCGACTGTTGTGATAATTTCATATTGATTGTATAATTGATATTAATTTAATAGTAGTAAATAAATCTAATATAATAATAACATCTTTTAATTTTACGCTACCCCTTGACCCCGAAGCATGCATATCTTATATCGTCAATAGCGCATATTACTGCAGAGCGTAAAACTTACTCAATCTATTGTGAATCTTATCACACTGAAAATAGAGCTCCAAGTGGAAAGTTCAACAATCTTGTAAAATTTGACATTTTGTTTTGACAAAAAAAAATTAAATCACCCCTAATTACAACTACAATGATGATGAAACTTTATAATTTACTTAATTCATGTTCCTACTTGTAATAAATATGTCGTTGTACTTATCTACATTGCATTCTGTGCTATCTATTTTGTGATTCAATTCAATTCAATCAATTGTTTTGACGTTACTTGATAAATTAAATTGAAAAAATCAAGAGAAAATATAATGATAATAAATAAAGTTGATTACATTACAAACATCCTTAGATTAGAACAAAAAGGGAAAATACAGTAAGCACATACTAGCATCAAATAAAAAATGATCCGGCTCAACTTCATAAACAACTCTCACACGCACACGTCTGTATATAAACATTCAATCGAGAAAGCGAGACAGAACTTATACGTTTCAACGCAGCGCGAGCGAAACGGTGAGTCCGCTTCCGAGTCCTTACGGCTTAGCTGTATCGTTGTCCTTTTCTTGACAGCAAAATGACGATTACGTAAATAACATTCACGGCAAACCGTGATTTAAAAAAAAAAAAGTTTTTACAGTTATACGTATGAAAAGTGTTGCCGAGGCATTTGATTTTGAACTATTTGTGTTCTTTATAAAAGCATCGAAGGCATTGTTTTATCTTTATAACACAGAATATACGCAATATTGTTATATTGAGTGCACATGCAGCGTGTTTGAATGTCTAATTGTGACTAAAGCTAATTATGGTTATGCATCACAATTTAAGTGGATCACTTTTGAGCTGCGAGTGCCATATCTTCCCTTTTTGTTTTAATCTAAGCAAGCATCTAATAGTAACATCATGTTGTCAAATTTAAGTTTAGGTTTAAAGAATCATACAACGATATTAAATACCCTAGATACAACATCACGAACAAAATCGTGGCCGAAACCTGTCCAAAGGTACATTGGACGACACTGGAGCTCCGTAGGTTGATCGCGTTGTCAAAAACAATATAAGGCACTATTTAAACATTGAAAGTCACCTTTAATCCCTACTGTTTAAGGTCCTAATTAAAACGTTTTCGTCAAAAAGTTAGGACAGTTCGAAATGCAAGCTCGTAAAATTTTACGACTTATTGCTATAGTATGCGGGAGAATATAGACCTTATGTATTTGACTCTACTCGCAATTCTGAATGCGCTTTTATTAATATAGCAGGTACGGCCCGCGAGGAAAAGAGACGGCTATGTAACCGACCATGAATTTGAATATCACAAGTATTTTCAATTAAAGCAGATTATAGTAAGTATTTAAATAAAATTTGCTAATTAATTTAATAAAAATATCTTTGGAATCATACTAGATTAGACAACACATTAACAACCTAATTCGACAACGTAATTAATAAATTGAATGTTCAATTAATAATAACTAATGGGTCGCATCCCTAAGGAATGTTGTCTATGATGTGTACTCATATGACACTTTCTGTCACAATCACAAAGTGATAATGACATTGGCATTGCTATTTGTCACGCGATGTTCCTATTGAAATATTTTTTATCACAAATTATGGCAATAAGTGTATCTTCTCTAATTTACGCATGCAATTGATCAATTTGTAGATTTTCGTGGTAAACAGTGGATTTGAACGTGACATTTCATTCATCTTAACCATCATACACTGACGAGGATTTTGTTAATTTATCGCGTTCGTGTTTCGTCGATTATTTTGTTGAGATAACTGTTTGTTTCAGTTTGATATTGGTTACCATGATAAGAATGGGTACTACCTGAATACAAACATCATTGTGCAATACAAATTTAATTAATTTTAGTGTAATTGTGATGGAAAGGGTTGGTGGCAATTTTTCCGATATGAGTCGTAGAGCCGGGGAGTTCTTGCGGCGACTGAACAGAATAGCCGATGGGCCGATGACGAGAAAGAAATTAGTTATCATATGCCTTTTTGTCATCTTCTTCGTATTGTACATGGGTCCTGGTTTAATGAATTGGTTACTAGGCTCCGAGAGAGCCTTTGGTAACCAGAACGAATGTCAACATAGTGCTTTGCTGCCCTTTGAGAGTGCTTTGAACGAATACGATGCTCATTTAAGGCAGGAGACCTCTGCTACTATGTCCTCACTTGGTCATAACTTTGTACCATACGTTGGCAATGGATACTTAGGATTAGCACTGGAACATGACTCGTATTTAAATATTAAATATGGACGCACACTCTCAATGCCAGTATACTATCATCCACTATACATTATAAATGACTATGAAATGAAAGAATTCACAGTGGCAGAGTATAAAAAAGGTATAGTTCACAGATTCCAGTGCAGCAATACTGGTTTACAAATTTCTTACCAATATTATGCTCACAGGACAATACCTTCACTTTTCGTCCAAGAGATATTAATAAGTAATCCAACTAATAAAGAAAAGGTATTGAAAATGTCTGTGCCTCGAGTATCTGACTGGCCAACATCAGTTAAACAAACAATCAAGTTGCATCAAGGTGTGGACTCTAAAGATTATGAAGTCATAACTGGAATGATACCAGTACCTCAGAGTGAAAAAGTTGTTGCTGCAACTGTTGTATCAAGAAAAATGTCTGATAGCATTAGAGTTGAAGCTAAAGATGCACTCGAACTTCTGATTTTCACAACGATTAAATATAGCAAAGCAACATCAAAGTTAGATTATGCAAAGCAAAAGGACATTGTAGAGAAAAAAGCCATTGATGAAATGGAGAAAGTCATTGCACAGACTGGTGACATTACTGCAGTTAGAAAACTTAAAGAAAATCATGCAAGAGTATGGCAGGGTCTATGGGACACAGGTTTTTATATTTCAGATTCAAAAGCTGATGGTGTTATCAATGGAGACCATATTAATGCTACAATATATGCAATTCTCTCGCAAGTGAGAAGCTTCGAACATGAGGAACACATAAAACCAAGTGTAAGATCTGAAATTCTTCGTATTCTCACGTATGCAGAAGGCTGTTATGGAGGTCATTCTACTTTAGATGCGTTAAATTTGTGGAAACCACTTAATTCACTAGCAAATTTAAATACTATAGCTAGTATTTGGCTGTTGACTTTAGAAAAACAAGGCTGCTACAAACTGATGAACGCAGGAGCAAGTGGTGTGAATCAAGCGATGATCCTAAGCTTTGGCAGTCTACGTTTCAGCAATCAGCATTTAGAATACAATATACATCCATCTAAGCTGCATAGAGACTTCCTATTCCGTCGTTTGAATTATGGAAATATGACACATGTGAATATAAGTGTTATACTGCAAGAGGATAACAAAGCAGCTATATTTGTGGCTTTAGACCGTTCAGACAGAACATACTATGCTTGCGATGCGGGTTGTTTAGATTCTCCTGTTCAGTTGGGCCCATACAGAAAATATTTCCCAGTGAAATTGACAGAACCATTGACTGCAATATTGTATGTAACTGCTGATAAACAGCACATGGAAGAGTTGAGGCATACAATCCATGTAAAAGAGGTTGTGGAAGCACCAGCCCACGAACACCATGTCATAGCTATGCACAAACATGGGCACAGTTTGGGTGGACTCAATCCTTTATTCTGGATATCTATCATAGCGTTAATTGTTGTCTTCCACCTATTCCTATGCAGAATCATTATGAATGAATTTTGTGACAGTGGTGTAAATTATAAGAGACTTTATAACAAACCTTGAAGAGTTTTTATCAAATGCCTTATTGAAGTGCTTAGATGGTTGCACCATCACTGTCCATTGACGCTTGACTGATTTTGTAGGCTTTTTTTTACAAACATGCGTAAGGCCAACTGTTTTGTAGTTTTGCACTGGTTGCAAATTTGTGGGTGTAATTATACAAGATTTCTTTGAAGATAAATAATTGACAAAATAGTAACATGTGAGATGAACCAGGCTTATGATCGTAAAAGCAAACAATGTCCAAGAACCAAGGTTCCATAGTTAAAATGTGTAATTTGAACAGATGTCTGCATACATTTTAAATCTTCATTTTGATCTTATGTTTATGCTTGCTTCACATTGTTAATTTATCTTTATATTAAGGGGATGATGTCATAAATGCTTAAATAATTTTATTTAAAATCAAAATATTATTTTATAAACAAGTTTGCTGCTAAATTACCTATGGTTATTAGGTAATGTAAATAAGTAGTCATTAATACTATTGGAAATAATAAAGAAGGTTGGCTTATTGTCAATGCTATTTTAATGTATTCAAATCTTATCATTTCAAGTTTTATTCGATTTTAGAATGATAACTTAGATTTTATTATTAATAATATTTCAACTCCAGCAATAATATTTTCAGTTATATTTTCTATTGTTTTATGTAAAACACATTTCCATAATACAAAATTAATAATACCTTGTTTTATCAGTATTTTGGGTGTGTATGAGTATTTTCAACAAATTTATTAATTATTTATTTTAGTCAAGGGACTTCCCCTAAATGTTGGACTGTACATATTCGTAAAGTTACTATTGTTATAATGTTTAAGATGGTGGTATATATTTTTGAAAAAAAAATAAACTATCATTTGTAATGTTCTCATATGTTTATTTCTTTCAATAAAATTATTCATTGATAACTTAGGTTTCCCACTATAACAATCCAACTTGAACAATACTCCTATGGCTTTGATATTCCTATTTAAAATGATCAATTCTCCAATTTCTTTACTTCGCTGTCCCCATTTTATTTCGTATGGAGCGCAAGCGGTTATTTTGCGATTTATTTGGACGCGGCAAAATAACATAACAGGAGTGGGGGGAGGTATCCTTGTACAGTTGTACCTTGTGAAGTATTTCCATCATAGTTGAGCCATTCATATGGTTCGACCATATGAATGGCTGGAACAGCAAAAAGAATCTGCAATTGATTAAATTTTGCCCGCGTCCAAATCGTCAGTCAGTCTTTTTAATAAGGAATACTCGCGTAACATTTCTGATGACGGGAAAATATAATTTAGGGGAGCCCCAGCTCCCCTAATATAAATATAAAACAAATGATTGCAATAAATAAAACCTCATTCAATTGTCTATAAATATATTTACAAAACGTCTGCTTAAATATAATTTACACTACAAGGCACATTCGCGGGTAGACATCACATCGTCATGAGAGGCACATAAGTTAAAAACTGTAGAAATAATTAGGTATTAAGAATGACCTTCACATACCAGCATTAACAGTGTAACATTAATTCGATTGAGATATTATGGTAGGTACACGCGATACATAGTGTTGTATAATAATATGACAACCAACTGAATCTACATAGGGAATTTTAATAAAAATATTACATTACTACAAAGTGATTACTTTCCTTGTTCGTATTTTTAGTTTTTTTCTGGCTTTATCAATTTTCGTGCTCCCCTTCATAGTTAAAGCGAGTGTCAATGTGATCATAAACTGATTTTTTTCCTTAAATAGGAAACGAAAGGGGTCGCGGAAGACCTATAAGCAGGAGCGTATTAACCCGCAGAACACAGAAAGAGATTAGAAGGGCCTTGTGGCCGGGGCAGGCGCGGCACAGTTATGTGTGAGCAAATGCTCATAAGTTGGTTCTGATTGCGTCGTTGCTCTCGGGTGGGAGCGCTGTTTGGTTATTATCTAGTAGGAGGAAGTGTAGTGGGAATTTCAATTATGTTATTTACAACGATATTAAATACCCCTAGATATACCACGAGCGTTCAAATGTGTCCCAATCACAGTATTCACAGTCACGTGCGCACCGTTACAAAGTCAAGATGCCACAGACCTCAGCGAAAAAATGCGAAAATAATACTTAGAGTACGAAAAGTGTCGTTTTTTCGACAGGTATCTATCTAGTCAATGTTAGTTAATTTAACGCATTTGAAGTATATTTTTATCTAATACTTACTATAAACTGATTTAATATAAAATATTTGTGATATTCAAATGCATGGTCGGTTAAACGTCGCCATATAGCCGTCTCTTTTCCTCGCGGTCCGTGCCTGCTATATTGCTAACAGCGCGTTCAGAATTGCGCGTAGAGTCAAAGAACTAAGGTCTAAATTCTTCCGCGTATAGCAATAAGTCGTAAAATTTTACGAGCTTGCATTTCGAACTGTCAGAATTCCTTGACGCATGCGTTTTATTTAAGACCTTATACAGTATGTATTAAAAGTTACTTTCAATATTTAAATAATGCCTTTTATTGATTTTAACTATGCGATCATCTTACGGAGCTCTGTGGATCGTTCAATGTACCTTTTGGACAGGTTTCGGGCACGATTTTGTTCGTGTTGGTGTATCTACGGTATTTAATATCGTTGCTTTGATAGCTTGAAGACAATCTCTGGTTATTGGAGGAAACGGAACAGAACTTTTAAAATCTAGGTATTTAGATATGGAAGATTGCAAAATACTTAAGGACGAAGTTAATCAGTCTATTGCAGAACAGCCGATGCAGCTGTCTCGCTCTGGAGAACCAAACATCTTTACGAAAGAAAGGGAGAGATATATAATATAATAATTAGACTATGTAATGTGCGTTCGGAATACATATTCAATGATTATATCACATTCAAAAAGAGAATAATTAGATAATAATATATTTGTATTGTTAAAGAAACATAGAGCATTTATGAATGAAACAAACTTACACAACTATGACTAAGCATGACATTAATTTTAAATCTTATTATTATTATACCATAAGGGAGGTTTTTCACTACAACTTTGAGTAGAAGCGGGATGTCAGTGCAAAAAATGTTAATTATAAAAAAGTTACATGACCTTCATTTCTTTTAAATGTAATGAAATGTAGAACAACAACAAACAAGGCCATTAATTGTTGTGGCTACATTTTATTACATTGTATTGAATTTTAATTTTGTGAGTACTCCACTCCGTTGATTGGGTTTTAGTATCTTCGCTTCAAAGCAGTTGCATACAAGCTTTATAACGAATTTCCATTTCTATTAATGTCCCCACTGCTGAGGCACAGGCCTTCCCTATGGATGGAATAGGGAGATTGGACGGACGGATTGGCGGGTGCTAACGACTGCAGATGCAGCCGGGATCAACGGCTTAACGTGCCTTCCGAAGCACGGAGGAACTCGAGATAGAAGATGTTTAGTCACCCATCCAATGACTGACCATTGCGAAAGTTGCTTAACTTCAACGATCACAGCCGAACGCGCTAACCATCCGCGCCATCGACCTCCTCAAATCCTATCATATATTAAAAGAACTAAGTGCACTACGATTGTAATTCCATAAGGCGGCATTACCGCAAGGTTATGAAGGAAAATGTTAAAGTATTCTTACATTAAAACCTTTCAACCTAGATTTTAATTCAGCATAGCTGTAGTGAAAATCCAGCAATGGTTGGAAAAACAAACAAAATATTTGTGCACTAGCAACTATCAATCACGCTGTGATCACAAACAAAAGGACAATGATCTCGATTCTGGCATGATTCTCTAAACCTAAACTTGAATTTGGCAACAGTGTATCCTTGTCATTCCCTATAGAGAATGAAAAGGAGAGAATGTTAAATTTAGTTTTAAGTTTAGAGAATCAAGCCAGAAATCGACACCAATATCTTGACTGAAATGATAAGTGGGTAAAGGATTTAAGAAATAATCTCAAAATACTTAATTTGATGGATTGCAGCGTATAAGTAGCGACAAACTTCTTGGGAAAAACCACAGACAAATAAGCTTACGCAGTGGACGTTTTTGTATGTAAAATTGCTACTGCGCAGGCTTCCTTGTCTGTGGCCGATGATCGAGAAGTTTGCCGGGGTGTATAACGTTCACAGGGCATTATTTTAAACGACTTCTCAAAGGAGGAGGTTCTGAATACAACATTCACCTCTTTCTTCATCATGACATTTCGGGCTTGATTGCCACTTTTTTCGAAAAAACAAATAAATAGGAGCAACTGAGACGCCCCCTAGCCTCAGTCATTTTATTATTTCTAAAAATCATTAAGCAGTTTATAGTATTTGGGATGAAGACTAACTGTTTATGAAGTGATACTTCTTTACGCACGCTTGACTTGGGGGGTAAACTGGCGAATGCTTTACGAAAAGTTAGTTCGGGCGAGGCGAACGGAAGTTGAGTGGGGGATATAAGCAAGAAAGAGTAAGCAGTGCGCGCGCACATTTTATTGCTCTCTTTTTCTTATAGCTAGCAAATAAAATATGTATATGTAGATACATGTATATATTGTACACACATACAGACGAAGCTAAAGAAGTTTCACTTCAGTCGTGTGGTCATAAGCACACTCATTTCTTTTTCGTCTATCAGGTGGATTATGTAAAGGTATTGGACACGTATTTTTTAGTTTTTCACATCATTAAAATATTAGAGAGAACAAAGATATATTGATTGGAAATATCGCATGACGTTACTTCTTGGTACAATTGTTACTTAGAAGTGACGTCATGTTCTATCAAAGTTTAACGCGCTTTACCTTTATCATTTTTGGTTGATTGACAAGAGAAAAAATAGTGTCCATTATAATTTTATAACCTCGTCATCATCCCTATTTTAGTGAAAATTCGTATTCTTTACCGGTAAACTTATATTTACAATCAAGATATTCGAACACCAACCTACAAGCACAATTCTCAGGATTCATCAACGAATCAGAAATTAAATGGAAGCAGAAGGAACAAAGGCCGCTAAACTATGGTTCCAAACTAAAAGAACTAAACTTAAATACTAACGCGACGCGCACACTGACAAAACAAATATTTTGACAAATCAAATATCTGCAAATGAATTCAGCTATCCTTGCATTGGATAAGATAATGTTAAACAGAAATCCCAGACAATCCTACGATCGGCGTGTTGTTCGTAGTTTTTTCGCCCCGCCCACTTGATCACAGTTTGAGTGGAACCATTTTTTAGCGCAGCTCTTATTCCACATTATTTCTAATTCGTTGGGTTCCTTCATACATTATTTATTTTTGTTACACGGTGTACTTTACTGTATTATTTAAGTCTTAACTAACTAAAAGGTACGTTATAGAATGTCTGGTTATCTGGTATTACATTTGAACTGTTCTGGGCATGAGAACGTGCATTTGACACATAAAGGCATATTTTAAATTTCGTGGATAAAATTTTAGTTATTTTTCAGAGTATTTTTTTTATTTCAATACCTACTAACTTAATGTCAAGCTTAAATAGATATTCGTTTGTTGAACTCAATCCATAATTATGCGTGATTATGGAGGCACGACTCCTCAGAACAAGAACTAGCATAGACGTAATTCTATGACGTTTGAGTGTACATCCCCATAGACAATAAATTAACGAAAAGATTTCCAAGAAAAATGTATTACCCAATCAAAGAGTATCAGTAACGTGGGGGCAGGTTGCATTTGGCATAAGATTACTTTTTGATTCGCTATCGTAAATGTAATCAAGGTATCCAATTTGACGCTGTTATAGCATTTTTTTTAAAGCAAGGTAGTCAAATGACTCTTCCCCAACTGATGCTAAGTGATGATAAAGTCTAAACGCGAAGATAGCTGGTACAGCAGTTATAAACTGCCAGACCAAACATCCTCACCTTGCCGGCCTGCAAAAATGCTTCTTCACGCCTCTCGTAAAGGACCCCAGATTGTAGGAAGGAGGGAACACGTGCGTGGGCAAAGAATTCCACTTGCGAATAGTACGACAAAGAAATGGGTCGCCAAATTTCATTGTTCGTGTAGGGATAGTGGCCAACATATATTTATCCTTTTCTTTGGTCTTTAATAGTAACAAGATAACTGTGATATAAGAGTCGCCTTTAAAAGTTAAATTGAAACCTCTCTAGTTTTTAGTTCTTGTTCTGAGCACCACCCGCACATAAACAAAACCTGTGTTCTCTTTGACAGACAGAGCAAGCTGGTTTTGGGTTTTTGACTTTTACAAACGTCTCTTAGGCCCGTATTATAGAAAGATTCTCAGTGATTGATCTAGTCTTGAGCATAGTTAGAAAGGGATGTCGCTATATATAGCACATAGCGATATCCCTTTCTAACTGTACTCAAGTAAAGATCAACACTTAGCTGTCATTCTGCAATACGGGCCTTAGTATCAAATATTAAAGTTTTGTACAGAAAAGTGCCGTGGGTCTCCGTAAACACGCACTAAAAGTGATGCTAATAATCAAAAACGCTCTTGAAGTCAATAAAGACCATTATTATCATCAGCCAATAGACTTGCACAAATTGTAAACACATGTTGTAATAGTACCACGTTGATTTAAATTTCTATTTAAACTATGATATTTATTTATATTTAGTCGGAAACTATCTGTAGAATTCCAAAATTATATTTTCTATCCAAAGGGTACTTTTTTACGCAAAATGGTACTTACGTACTCTAGAGATATTTAAATGGAAAGACGATACAATACAGATCTTGTTATGACGCATACATAGTTAATTTTAAAAGCGTATTATTATAATATTATACTAAAAAAAATTATAATTTTTATTTTCTAAGCATGTAAGTGCTCGATGTTTAAATCTAAAGAAACTATAACTAGAAAAAAATTCACGCGGTCCCGTCTGCTGCCTGTCCGCGTGGAAATTTTTTCTAGTAATATTTTCTTTAGATTAATAAAAATAAGTTTATATATTTTTTTAAATTTAATTTTATATTTCAGTCGTTAAATTCTTTGGACGTTATTTAAAATTCACGCGTTATAGGTACCTAACTTTCTTTTTGTGTTATAATCACTGACTGATATTGCTATAATGCCACCACTTCACTTGGCTATTCGTAATTGCTATTTTTGAACATCAGTCTGTCCTTTTCATTCCTTATTAAGCGTGATAAGGACAGACGTGAGATGCTGGCGTTAAAATAAGGCACACAATATTTCATTACATGTGAAAATCACTTACTTTTTGCATATATATATGTTTTACTATATTAGCGAACATTTCAATTTGATTGCATGAAAATACAAAATACATTATTAAAATAAACAAAAAATTTATTAACATACACAAATAAGCTAATCGGTAATTAAATAAAAAATAGAGATCAGTAAAATAAAAAAAATACTATGCATTTCACAGGAGCTTGCTGGTGAGCAAAGCAAAAAAACCTTTTCCATTTATTTATTAAAGTCTCAAATATGTACCCAGAAGTGAACATAGATAATCCTTGACCGGAAGTCATGTGTACCAACCAATAATTAATGACACCGCGCTAGCTCTTGCGAAAACCCAAAACAATAAATGATTATAAAGATTACACACATTAGATTTTTGTAAATTTTTTTTATAACCTAACCTTAATTATTATTGGAAGCGTCTAAATTTAAAATATATAATATTATTATCATAAGGCACCGTTATTTATGTACACATCTTTGCACTAGGAACGCTTTCGGTTAAACTTTGAGCCTTACTACGAGTCATTCTAGTTGCAACGCAATCGCAATTGTTGGAGTGAGAGGAAACGTCATTTGTAAAGCCCCATCCTGCTTCAACAACTGCTTAAATCGCATTAAAAGTTCGCAGTATAACCCTTTAACTAAGAATTTTTGTTTATATATCTGTCAAGATCATTATTAGAAGATTAAATTATATCAAAAGAGTCTACTACATCACTTGTTATTTACAACTTTATTTTTAGCTCAATAAGTATTAGATTGACAAAAAATATAGTACATTTTTTAATGTAAATAGCTTCTATTAAAGGAGCCTGATAAAAAAATACGTAAAGCACATACCTACCTACTTCAGCAGTAATATATTAAACCAATTTTTCCTTTACTACATATTAAAATCAAACTCAAATCATATTAGTACCTAAAAGTGTAAACGACATAATAATGCAAGTTAGTAGAAGGTTTTAAAAAGAAAATATGTATAGCCAATTATAAATAGTTTTATATAAAAATATTATCTACATTATCTACGACTATAAATTGAAAACACTTTAGAAAAAATATATTTTCATCCCACCACCTCGGAAAGTGTAATTTTGCGCTTCGAAATCTGGCTGGAAAATTCTATTTTATTCGCTTGAGCGGCAAAGTAGATTTGAATTTAGAACATCACATATAATGAGTACTCAATATAATTGTAAATTCAAAACGTCATTAAACCTATTTAATGTAACCTCTATGGTGCCAAATTTATGATTAGAACTTTTTAAATTGTGAAAAAATTTAAATTTGGAACCTTCTTGGTTTCTTTGTTTTATTTGCGTGCTTCGCGCCATTCTAGTTTTTCACGTTTTATTGCTTAAATATTTTGTCATTATAAATTGTTTTCTTTTTCATTTTGTCATTTCCTCGCTGAGGTGGGATGAAAAGTTACGTATTGCACTCGAGTGGAAAGATTTTTCACCTTGTGCTCGTTTGTTTCCCTCGCTGACGCTCAGGATTCTAATTTAGAATCACTCGCTGCGCTCGTGATTCAACTTTAGAATCCTTCGCTTGCTCGGTCATCCAAATCGAGCACGCGGTTAAAAAGGAACTTTCCACTCTTGTATAATAAATAACTATTTTTATTTATCAGCAATATGATTTGACATTTTTAACAATCACCAAGTACCCAGAAAACAGGGAAAAATACCATAAGATGGTAACCCAATTACATATTCACACATTTACAAATCAACGACAATCAACCCCTTATCTATGATTCTAATTTTTACACATTGATTTCACTTCATCAAATACTTTCTTGACAGATATTATAAACAAACCTGGTACAGTCGTAGCTCAGAACCAGAACTAAGGCATACAAGCATAGCTATAATGTTTCAGCGTAAACTCCCAAAAACAATACATTAACGAAAAGATTTCTAAACAAATTATTATTCTTCATATTATTTATATTATGCTTCATTTGACATAAGATTGTTTTTTGACTGAATATCGTAAAGGTTACCAAGATTCATCGTAATTTCAAATTGAGTACCTTTGTATGACATCAAACGTCAAATTGAATACCTTTGTATGTCACAATGGTACTCAATTTGACGTTTGTATAGCGTACGCACGCTTTTAATAGTATGGTTAATAGTATGTTGCTATGAAGCAACATATATTTGAACCTTTTTTAAATATTTAAGTATGTCATAAAAAGATAACTATATGAGTCGAATTTAGGAGTTGAATTGAAACTCTCTATGCTTTTTTGTTCTGGTTCTGAGAGTTGTAGCCACATTGGTGGGTACATACACATAACATCGGGTAACATCATCCTTAAGACGTATACAATAAGAGCTATATTAGCTCGACTCTTATATATCAAACATGAGATAATCGTAGACTTATGGCGCGATTTCACTTGGTCGCTAGCCCGAATGAGAGTACGAATGGAATTCGGGTAAATGGTTAAGTGTAAATGAACGGTTCGAGTACGCCCGTATTACCCGAATTTATAGTTTTCGTTTGGGATACCCGACACCGACTTCCAGCCCGTATTCCATTCTAAAGATTGCTTCGGGTGCCCGAATTCGAGTAATGTCTTTCGTGCACCCGAAACAAGCTAACGACCAAATGTAATTGAGCCATTAATCATGAAAACGTACACATCATCAATAGGCGTAAATAATATTTATTGTCATTTAGAACACTTACATATTGTGCGTGGTGGGAACACCTTATACATTTCCTTAGGGTTACCTGCAATAATAAGAATAATAATAATGTTAATATCGGGAGAGGAAAATGCTTACATTGCATTTATGGTGAGGTTTTAGACGCTGTTTGTCCGTGCGTTCAGCGAAAAATAAATACGCGTTTCGCGTGCATCTCATAATATCCCCCCCCCCCCTCCCTCCTTGTGATATTTCGTGATTTTTCCCCCTTTTCGTGCCCTACGTGATTCTCGGCCATTTCTAAGATTGTTGGTAGTCCTGCAATTCATCTAAGGAGACATCTATATTGGGAGGTAAATCCTATAAAAAACACGAGAATCTTCGCCGCGAACTTAGTCTAGAAGGCGACGCTGGCTGGCCTGCGCTTGCCTCTCATCTCATCTGTTTTGATTGGTTATTTTGTAAGAGAAATGCTCTGAAAATATTCTTGTCTATGGAAAATCACACTCACAGGTCCTCGTAAAAGGCGACGCGAGTATTAATGCTGCAATCCATTCGAGAAGTCGATTATATTGAGGGCAAATTTGTATGAAAACACACATATAACGGAATCTTCTTGATGCTTACTATTATTGAATGAAGAAATTTGCTTTCGTTGCTGCAATTTATCTAAAAGACAACTATATTGGGAGAATTGTCCCTGGAAACACACTAAACGGAACGAAGCTGCAATTATTTTTTTTTCAATTACGCCGTGACGTCTCGTCATTAAGCGCGTTCTATCGTCTGCACCACGGCGAGTGTTCTGGGGAGTTATTCTTTCTTATCCCACCTTCCCCTTTCCTCCACGCGCGCTGGCCTACGTTGTCACCGTCTCACTGTGGCCACAATTCCAACGCGTACAAAGAAATTTGGTGACTCATTGCTTTGTCGCACTATCCGTAAATGGAATGCTCTGCTCGGTCACGTGTTCCCTCCCTCTTACAACCACGGATCCTTTAAAAGAGGCGTGAAGAAGAAACATGCAGGCCGGCAGGGTGAGGATGGCTGGTGTGGCAGGTAGAACTGCTGTACCAGCTATCTTCGCGTCTGGACTTCACCTTCACTTAACATCAGGTAGGGTGAAGTCATTTGTCGGACCTATCTATATATAAAAAAATGCTGCAATTCATCTAAGAGAATATTAGAAGATCTCTGCTTGAATCTTTATTTGCGGAGATTGTTGGTAGTGCTGCAAGGCATCTGAAAAGGCGCTTCTTTCTTTGTTGGTTGGTTTAGAGCGAAAATTCCCTGAAAACACTATGTAAAGACCTATGGAAGGCTATGAAAGTTCACTCACAAGGTCTTCGTAGAAGGCGACGCGAGTATTAGTGGTACCTTGTTTCAGCCTCCTGAGCGTGGAGTACTTGTTATCGCCGGCCTGCGCTTGCATCTCGTGCAGTCGATCTAGCACTACCCTAACAGAGGTATAAGTTATCTCTCTTGTCTTATACCTTATCTTCATGATGCTAAATATTATTGAATGGAGTTGTAGAAAGGCCAAAGGGGAAGATCTTTCTCCGAGCTGGGTGATGTTAGCTCGGGGGCCGCGCCCGACTGATGTTGGTCGGGCATCGTATATATGGAGTGTTTGGCTCCGAATTTCTCTTGCGCGATGTAGGCTTTCATACGTTGTGAACGCAGCGCCGGTAGCGCCATCTCTTAAGCAGGCGAGTGACTAGGAAATAGTCTATGTTCATTATATGTATGTTTATTATATGTGGGGCATGTAGATGTTGCCATCACAGAGTTAATTGGCTTTCGTTGCTGCAATCCATCTAAAAGGCAACTATATTGGGAGAACTCTCTGAAAACACACTGAAATTGTTGCTGCAATCCATCTAAGAGAATCCAAAATCCGGGTATACCTCTTAAAACACTTACAGGTTCTTTTAAATAAGAAGATCTACTTTAATCTTTATTTGCGGAGATTGTTGGTAGTGCTGCAATCAATTTAAGAAGTCACCTATATTGGGAGGAAATTTGTCTGAAAACACATATATAACGAAATCTTCTTGATGCTTACTTTTATTGAATGCAGTGAAATTTGCTTTCGTTGCTGCAATCCATCTAAAAGACAACTATATTGGGAGAACTGTCTCTGAAAACACACTGAACCTGCAATTGTTGCTGCAATCCTACAAAGAGAAGCCAAAATCCGGAAATACCTCTTAAAACACTTACAGGTTCTTTGTAAATAGAAGATCCCTCCTTTAATCTTTATTTGCGGAGATTGTTGGTAGTGCTGTAATTCATCTAACACCCATATTCTTAGTCGTTTCCTCGAGATTTTATCCGCTCGACTCAACCTCATTCAAGGAAATTCGTATGCTTAGACAACAAAAATATCCTTCACTTGAGATATTCCTCACTCAAGTGGAGGTCGAGTCGAGGAATAAACTGTCAAACTCAAGGTAGCTCACGACGTACCTTAAGGCTTCCCCGAGTGGTTTTTAAGGTGTTTTCAAGTTGTTTTTTGGGATTTTGAATTTTAAGATTATTGACGAATTGGTGGATTTTATGGATTACGTATACGATGATGAACCATATAATCCGGAGCGACGGTAGTCACGTAGACGCTGCAAATCCTTTTGAGGTTTACGACAATGATTCGTTAAAAAGAAGATTTCGGTTTAGAGAGATACATTCATACAAGTAATATTTCCTCTGCTAAGCATTACACTAAATTGTAATAACAGAGGACTACCTGTACCGCCTTAAATACAATTACTGGTGGCTTTGAAGATTTACGTGACAGGATTATTTCAAGTAGGTATGTATATACCTATGTTTGTTGTGTGATACTGTTGTTTTACTTTACACATATAATATGTCTATGCTTTTATGCTTTATACCTTTGTTTGTACTCTCAGTGGAGGAATTCTCAAGTTTGTTCAAGATACCTACTAGAATATCATTTTCGAGGTTATTTGGAGGAACTCCTTAAGGAGCCCTCGAATGAGTTAGAGTCGAGGAACGTTTGAGGACGCGACTAAGAATATGGGTGTAAGAAGTCACCTATATTGGGAGGAAATTTGTCTGAAAATTGGCTTTTATTATACTTACAGGTCTTCGTAGAAGGCGACGCGAGTATTGGTGGATCCTTGTTTCAGCCTCCTCAGCGTGGAGTATTTGTTGTCGCCGGCTCTCGCTTGCATCTCGTGCAGTCGATCTAGCGCGGCCGCGTCGCTGTCTACGCGCAGTACGGAGAATTCGCAACGCAATTCATCTAATTGCTGCTGGAGATGCTTGGATTTGGCAAGGTATTCCACTCTGGATAACAGAAACGAAAAGTCGATATAGAAAGCAACTAGTATAATAGGGTATTTGATAGTATTAAAAATAAAGTGCCAATTGTTAGCATCTGTGTTTAGAATGAATATTGGCAGGGGTTTTTACTGTTTTTACAAAAATAATATTCATAATTTTACTAAAAACCCACGAAAAAGATAATAGTTTTCTTATTTATTGACACGTGACTCAAAACGTTTGGGATTGGCGGAGCCTAAAATGACGTCACACACAAGTAAACTTCCGGTTAAAGTGACATTACATTGTATCGTTTGACGTTTTTATAACAGTCGTGTGACGTCACATACTAGTAAGACGCCATATTGTCCCGAAAAACGTTTTCGCGGCAACTTGAAAATGGAGTTTTTGATTTGGTTATTTTTACTGAAATACACAACAGAATGATAAATATCCACTTTATACGGATTCCATAAACATTAGTCAATAACGTGAGATCGTTTTCTAAAACTTGTCAAATACCCTATTGATGCATGAAGTAAAGATGTTTAGAATTCCGGTAAAACAATTGAGGAGCAAGCGAACAAAGCGGTATAATTACATAAAATTAAATTTTACAGGAGCTGTATGAAACTGAATGACATACCTGCTGTGAGCTTTTGGCATTTTTTTTTTATTTATAAATTAAGTAATTGTAATTTTAACACTGTTTTAGGCGGTTTTGGTTGAAAATTATTTGAGATTCAAATTCAAAGGGCCCGAAACCTCCGGACTGCAAAAAAAAGTAACTATACCGCTTTGTTCGCCAGCTCTTCAATTGACAAATAATTTCAAATTGGGTGTTTTATTTCATTAATGAATGTAAACAGAGTACGTTGTGAGAAGTATAACTTCTTCTGAGACAAAAGATAAACAAACCATAAAAAGGATTTTCAATAGTTCGAAATTTATATGCATACTAGCTGACCCAGCGAACTTCGTACCGCCATAAAAAAAAATTAATTAAAAAAACATTGTCCAGCGGACAAAATTGTGAATCTAAACCATTCTCAGATCCCCTTGAACACACACAAAAAATTTCATCAAAGTCGGTCCAGTCGTTTAAGAGAAGTTCAGTGACATACACACTCACAGAAGAATTATATTTATAAATATAAAATTATAATTAAAAAAAATGTGACATCAACTTTGAACGCATAATAATACTACTTAATTAAAGAGTAGTGATAAAGCGAATAATATACGTTAGAATGTAACAATTACTAATGAGTCTGGTTACACCGGCCATCTTTACTCTAGATAAAAAAGTTTTAGAACATTGGTTTAAGTGTTTACCTTTTGTCTCAGTGAAAGTTGAATAGAGTATAGGTTTCTCTAGGAGTAAAACTTGACAGCAAACAAATGCCAGAAGAGTTGATAATTTGCGCTTAGAATAATCACGTTTATTCTAGGTACAAAGTATATAGAAAGTTCAGATTATATTTAAAAATACAGGTATAATCTGGCACCAGTTTGTAGGCGGTGAGCTCCTGCTATACATCGTGACAGAGACGGCAATATACTCACCTCTCCTTCTCAATCTCTAATGACAGGCGGTGTATATGCGGGTCGGGCTCATCAGGCACTAGTTGGTAGGCGGTGAGCTCCTGCTATACATCGTGACAGAGACGGCAATATACTCACCTCTCCTTCTCAATCTCTAATGACAGGCGGTGTATATGCGGGTCGGGCTCATCAGGCACTAGTTGGTAGGCGGTGAGCTCTTGCTATACATCGTGACAGAGACGGCAATATACTCACCTCTCCTTCTCAATTTCTAATGACAGGCGGTGTATATGCGGGTCGGGCTCATCAGGCACCAGTTGGTAGGCGGTGAGCTCCTGCTCGGGCGTCGTGCCTTCAGGTAGGGCTTCGCCCCCGAGCTCCGCGGGTAACGAGCAAGTCGACGGGAACAGGGACGAAGGCACCGGCGACTGAAAAATATACGGTTCTTTTAAGGCCCATCAGATCCGTGAATATGTTGCCTGCCAAACCCGGCCAAAACGGATTTTAGGATAAAGAAGTGTGATAAATTGGGTGCCCAAATGAAAGACAATTCGTTATGTAGGTTTAAATGATTATTGCTCGAAAGTCAATAGAAAGTATTTTAACCACATTTTTTTCTGAGTATATATACAGTATACATTGTCGGCAACGCCATCTAGTTTCCAAGTGTCGAAACCTGAACACTTAAATGCGAAGTTTGCAAGCCAATTAGATTCACCTAATTGACTAAGGAGTGACTAGATGGCGCTGTCGTAACAACTAGTTTTTCGTACAAGTGTCGAACATATAAATTCAATGGGAATAATATCAAACACAAAACGAATAGCAACGTATTAAGGCAACACGAGTAAACGAAAAACAAATCAACCCACAAATAGTTGAAAACGGACGGCAAAAATATATTTGTCAAAAGACGAACAGGCACCACGATGGTGGATGAAAGTGATTGACTGATCGATATTATTGAGAGGCTAAAACTTGCAGCGTAAACTGTGCATTAATTAAAACACTTTTGCTTCGCGTAAGCAAGCGGCATATCGTGCTTGGATCAGAGGTCGCGCTCTCAAGGATCCCGAGGTCGATTCACTCAAAGCAGCCTACAATTTTGCTTCCAAGGCCTGTAGGAAGGCTTACATTAGAGCGGATGCCCAGCGCGTTGCACGTGTTGGCCAGGAACTTATGACGCATCCTACGGGTTCCCGTAGCTACTGGCGTCTGGCCAAGGCCGTGCAAAAAAACTTCTGCGAGCCCTCGCTGCCACCTCTGAGATGCCCAGACGGAACACTAGCCCATAAGCCGCAGGAGAAAGCCGATTTACTGGCAAAACTCTTTGCGGCTAACTCCCGAATCGATGATTGCAATGCACTGCCACCATCATTACCTCACTGTGGCACAACGATGCCTGATATTAAAATCAGGCAGCGCGAGGTTCGTGCCGAATTGCAATCACTCGACGTCCGGAAAGCTAGTGGACCTGATGGCATCCCAGCAGTAGTACTCAAAAAATGTGCAGCGGAGTTGTCTCCCGTGCTCACGCGCTTGTACCAATGCTCGTATTCTTTGGGGCGTGTGCCGGAGACTTTGAGAGATGCCAATGTGCAACCAGTGCCCAAAAAAGGGGATCGCTCAGACCCGGCAAACTACCGGCCAATAGCAGTCACCTCAGTTTTATGTAAAGTTTTAGAAAAGGTCCTTAATAACCATCTGACCCGCTACCTAGAGGATCACTCCTTGATTAATGATCGTCAATATGGTTTTAGACCGAAACGATCGACGGGTGATCTTCTAGCGTACTTAACTCATATCTGGGGTGAGGCTATCGACAAGCGTGGCGAGTCGTTGGCTATCAGCCTTGACATTGCCAAGGCGTTTGACAGGGTCTGGCACAAAAGCCTTCTCTCCAAGCTTCCGGCATACGGTCTGCCAGCCCAGTTCTGTTCTTGGGTAGCTGACTTTCTGCATGAGCGTAGAATTCGTGTCCTTACGGATGGTAGCAATTCGCGGTTCATGTCAGTGAATGCCGGCGTTCCCCAGGGCTCCGTCCTATCCCCCACTCTCTTTCTGCTGCATATCAATGACTTAATTCCTCTTGGGAATATTCATTGCTATGCAGACGATAGTACAGTGCATGCGGGGTATCTCGGACAAGCAGCGGCTGGGCTGGCGGTAACCAAGGAGAAACGCGAGAATCTTGTCATTGAACTCAATCAGGCTTTGGACCACATTTCCGAATGGGGTACCAGGAACTTGGTTGAGTTCAATGCCAAAAAAAACTCAGGCTTGCGCCTTCACGGCAAAAACATCGTCATTCCTTCCCCTTCCATCTCTTCAGGGCACAACACTACCGCTGCAGAGCAACATTTCCATGCTCGGTATGGAAGTTCGCTCAGACCTGAATCCAAAGAACTACATCGAAACCGTGATCAAAACAGCTTCACGCAAACTCGGGAGTCCTGAACAAGGTGCGGCGTTTTTTCACGCCCGATCAACTGTGCTTGTTGTACAAAACGCAAGTGCGGTCCTGCGTGGAATATTGCTCGCACCTCTGGGATGGCTCCGCTAAGTACTTGCTCGATGCTTTGGATAGGTTACAGCGACGCGCGATCCGCATCATAGGCGATGAGGAGGTGACTAAACACCTTGAGCCTCTTCAATTACTCCGTGACGTGGCGTCACTAAGCGCGTTCTATCGTCTGTACCACGGCGAGTGTTCTGAGGAGTTATTCTCTCTTATCCCACCTTCTCCTTTCCTTCAGAGGACCACGCGCGCTGGCCTACGTTGTCATCGTCTAACTGTGGCCACAATTCCAACGCGTACAAAGAAATTTGGTGACTCATTTCTTTGTCGCACTATCCGCAAATGGAATGCTCTGCCCGCTCACGTGTTCCCTCCCTCTTACAACCTGGGATCCTTTAAAAGAGGCGTGAAGAAGCAACATGCAGGCCGGCAGGGTGAAGATGGCTGGTGTGGCAGGTAAAACTGCTGTATCAGCTATCGTCACGTCTGGACTTCACCTTCACTTAACATCAGGTGGGGTGGAGTCATTTGTCGGACCTATCTACAAAAAAAAAAAAAAAACACAACGAATAATGATGGAGAACGATTGAACGATACGTTAAAAAGAAAAACCCATATAAATAAAATAACATAACCATAAAACAGTCGTTATTCATATAATATAGAGAAATAAATGATGCTGTCAGGCCGGTGCGAGCAAATCCATAAGAATACTGTTGATGAGCGGAAACCCACACCACAATCGGAAGTTCGTTACAAATAAACCAATCTAAACGATAATGAGATGAATGATTACATTGAAAAATGGAAACCCATATAAAGCCACCATCGGAAGTTAGTAACAAATAAACCAGTCTAAAGAAGGATGATTGAGTAGCTTTATTGTTGATGAGCGGAACCCAGCACTATGTAAACAAAATCGAGGGTTAGTAACAGATATTAAAGTTTAAAAAATGCTGAATGAGCGAATGGCTGAAAACCGTGTGCGAGCTGGTAGAATTTGGATTGAAGAACGAAAACACACACAATAGGTTATAAGTTACAAATAAACAATTACAATTTAATGATGATGATATGAAAATGTGAAGAGTTGGATAGAATTATAGTCTTTATATCTCAACTTAGTAATAATAAACCAGTCTAAAGATAGATGAGATGGATGAGTGAGTGTATGGGTGATTGACACAACGGCGCAAGCGAACCAGTATGATTATTGTTTATGAGCGGAAACCCACACCGTGTGACCACAATCAGTTCAAAAATTTGATGAATGATTACATTGAAGAAAGGAAACCCACACATAGCCACAACAGGATATTACATAGTTCCAAATAACCCAGTTTAAAGAATGGTCAAGATGAATGAGTGAGTGAACGAATGATTGACTGACCGGCGCGAGCGAACCGGTGGGGTTCTTGTTGATGAGCTGTCACAACAAGATATTACACAGTTTCAAATAACCCAGTTTAAAGAATGGTCGAGATGAATGAGTGAGTGAACGAATGATTGACTGACCGGCGCAAGGGAACCGGTTTGGTTCTTGTTGATGAGCGCAGCGAGACGATCTCGAAGGTCGCGCGCCGACTCGGGAAGAATATTACTGAGCCACGTACTGTCGCGGGAATCCGCCTCCTGTGCCAATCATACACTTAGTATTTAAACACTGACAGAGTGAGCAAGAGATATAATGCCCTCACGGCAATCCTACAAGGTAGAAACAGACGCAACATGATGTACCTTTGGTCCAATAATATATTTTCAGCAAGAGCCAACAGCGTCCTGTCAAGCCGTATTTAAAAAAAGTTTATTATGAAATTCTATGAAACTAACAAAACAATTGGACTTATACAATTCAGTTTGTGCTATGATATCCTGTGTTTTAAGCATATCTCGACAAACGACACTACCAATCCGCATTAAGCCCGTGAGGTGGGTCATGGGCCAATCTCCCTATTCCATCCATAGGGAAGGCTTGTGCTCCAGCAGTGGGGAAATTAATAGGCTGATGATGTCAATAAATTATCGTATGCATGGAATAGGGTAACCGGGCTAATAACCCAACCACACTGTGCCAACATCAGCTTATACAGGGTGGTCCAATTAGTGACGTCAACAAATTTTTGAAATACTGTTGACTGTTGTCAAAAATTGTTGACGTCACTAGTTGGACCACCCTGTATATATCTTCCGACTGCGAGAAGACTATTTTAACGTTGCACAAAATAAAGTACCATTTGTTTTTTTATGTTAAAAGCGTGGCAAACAAGCCTTAGGCCCGTTTATGATAAGCGGCCAACAGAGCCTATACGCTTACACGTTACGCTTATACGCTAGACGCTTGTGATACGAAAAAAATTGTGAGCCGTCACGGGACGCCTGGCAGATGTGAAACACTAGCCGGCTTACGATAAATACACTCGGGGAATAGCACGGGATGCGTGCGGTAATAAATGACATAGGTCCTGCCTCGAAGGGCGCTGGCGCCGTACTGATCGGCAAGTAGTTGAGCACTGGTATATATTGCATTTTACGGGCGAGCGTCGCCACGTCAGAAATCGGTTTTACTTGCGGCATAACATACACACACACATCAAAATATCATTCGCGCCGTTGCCTACCCTGACCCAATCCCTTACCCCGTGGCGCCCTGAAACCTTACCGACTGAAACAGCATCACCAAAAAGTAGTTGTTATTTTACTGTGGTCTCCTGTAAGGTGGGGGTTACTCCCCCCAATAGGGTATTTGACAAGTTTTAGAAAATGATCTCACGTTATCGACTAATGTTTATGGAGTCCGTAAAAAGTATATTCATAATTCTGTTGTGTATTTCAGTAAAAACAACCAAAGAAAAAACTCCATTTTCAAGTTGCCGTCTTACTAGTGTGTGACGTCACACGACTGTTACTAAAACGTCAAAAGATACAATGTAATGTCACTTTAACCGGTAGTTTACTTGCGTGTGACGTCATTTTAGGCTCCGCCAATCCCAAGCGTTTTAGGTCACGTGGCAATATATAAGAAAACTATTATATTTTTCGTGGGTTTTTAGTAAAATTATGAATAATTTTGTTGGTAAAAATAGTAAAAATCCCTGTCAATATTCATTCTAAGCACAGATGCTAACAATTGGCACTTTATTTTTAATACTGTCAAATACCCTATTCGAACGGAAAATGCCCATCTTCTGTGTGCCAACATCAGCCTATCGACTATTTTAGCGCACGTTGAAAAAGTAAAGGACGTGTGTGTATGTGTGTGTGTGATGCGTGCGCAGCTCTTCCCGACGAGCCTGAAAGTTGGAAGGTAACTCGGCGAAGGCTGAAACTGAAAAGATGTATGTGCTGCTCCAATCCCTTATGCCTTATGCACCACCTAATGTTGGGTCATTTAAGAAAAGAAGTTCACCTCAGTTGTGTGGTCCGTGCATACAAATTTTTAATTGATTAATGAATTATTTATTACCTTTTGCAAGTGGTCAGGCAGCCCGTTAGCCATAGGGGCGGGGGTGTGTGAAGGCGTGTGATCTGGAGGTGAGGCGCCCCAAGTCATCTGCCATGAATGACGCTCGCCTGTAGACTGCGTACTCTGTGACCCAACAATATCAAATAATAATAATCATCATCATCAGCCTATTAATGTCCCCACTGCTGGGGCACAGGCATCCCTATGGATAGAATAGGGAGTTTGGGCCATGACCCACCACGCGGGCCCAGTGAGGTTTGGCGGGTGCTAACGACTGCCGAACTAGCCGGGAACAACAGCTTAACGTGCCTTCCGAAGCACGGAGGAGCTCGAGATAGTATTTTTTTTGGTCACCCATCCAATGACCGACCTCTGCGAATGTTGCGTAACTTCAACGATGGCAGCCGAATGCGCTAACCACTTACGCCATCGAGCTTCTCAAAATGAAAATAATAATAATAAAACTTATTTCTTCTTATAACAAATTAAGGCACATACTGTTTGGGCATAGAATTGGGAGTATTTCAGCCTTGTACCTTCCAATTACTACCTATTTTCGCTTCTGTCTCCTACCTATTTGTCCAATAAATTTAAAAACTCACCGTAGGCAGTGATCCAGTAGAATTCCTAGCCAGGAAGTTTAGAAGTCTTTCCTTGGCATGTCTCTCCGCGGCCCGAGCTGCGAGTAATTCGGACCTAAGTCTTTCTGCTTCGGCGGCTCGCTTCTCAGACTCTTCTACCAAACGGGCTGTGAGGAATTCCGCTTCCCGAGTTTTGCGTTCTAAATGGACCTGGTTTGATGATAATCATGTTATTTTTATTTAATTATTTTATTTATATTCAGACAACATAGGCCCATAGATAGAGGCTAAGCGCATTTTAATGAAATTTGACACACATAATAGTTTATTATTTAAATTGAAACAGGATAATTTTAATCTCGGAAAACTGATAAGATTCCTGTGGGATTCTCAAAAAACCTAAATGTAACGCGTACGAAGTCGCAAGCGGAAGCTAGTAGCAATATAACCCCTGTGATGTGTAAGTGGATGATTTTTGCCCGCGGTTGAGAAAATCATTATCATTTTCATTTTTCTTATTTTGCGTTTTATCACATTTAGTAATGGTTTTTAATTTACACATCTAATATAGTGATAGATAAGTTTGCAAAGAAACTATTCAGAATTGATTTAAGACATAAATGAAGCGTGGATGTACAGTAGAATTCGAATAATTAGAGGAAAATCGGGCGAAAATTTTTGGATTTACCGGCCGTGAAAAACAATGTAGATGGCTACACCGCTAAGGGAATAAAAGAAAATTTCGGTTTTATAAAACCACGATGCAAGTGAAAATCAGAAAGCACAAATACCGCCACCTAGTCTCTTTTTCAAATCACGCAAGTTACCAAGAAATGCTTGAATAGTAATGAAGAGGGAAATGTAAGGAACTTTCGTCTGTCTATACATGTCACTTAAATAGATTTTGGTTTCTGATCGGTAATAATACATCTTTCAATCTTGACCCGCCCGACATTTTCGATTTTGAAGTATTTATTTATTATTATTTATGTTTTATTTCAGTCATTTAAGTGAAATTTACATGATACTACCTCGGAAGTGCACTCTTTCGAATAAAAAAGAATTTAGGAAATCGGTCCACAATTAACGGAGAAATCGGTGAACATGCATAAAAAAAATATACAGTCGAACACAGAACCTCCTCTTTTTTTGAAGTCGGTTAAAAACCCACATACCTTCTCTTCTTCAGTCTTAATAGCTGATAGCCTCAATCTTGCATTCTCTCGCTCGGCATCTGCCGCTTTCTGCGCCAATAAGGACGCTTCTTCCTCGGCGACGCGCCCCTTCTCTGCCAACAACTCCGCTGTCTCCTCTGACCTGCGCTGCACGCGATATTCGACTTTATTGACGGAAACTTTTAGGAAGAGCCGTTGCATAATCGATTTTATGAACGATAATATAAGCAAGGGATCTTTTCGGTTTTATTACTAACAACAGAACGAAAATTCGTCTTTGCCAAAGAAAACTTTAGCAAGGGCTGTTTTTCATCCAGTTTTATTTCTAGCAATAGAGCGACAATTCAACTTCATTAACTAAAAAATTGGTAGAGCTCAAGTTTGTCCCCTTGTTTTATTTCTAACACCAGCGACAAGCTTCTTTGTACATTTTCCCTAACAACTCCGCTGTTTTCTCTGACCTTATTGACGAAAAATTAAGGAAGGACGGACGGAGATTTTTTCATTTTGCTGTTTTATTTCAAACAATAGAGCAACTATACCAGACTTTTATGGACGAAACTTTTTTTTAATATAAATAACACTATTTGTATTTATACTGTATAAAAGTAGCAATGAAAATGCAAGTAAACAACTATTGTATATTTAATCTTTATGTAATGAAAGGTGACTTCATGAATCATCTCTGAAGTCATTTTTCAATTTGACGACTCTGTAAATAATAAAACAGGGAGAAAATACAGCCCTTGCTGAGTTTCTTGCCGGTTCTTCTCAGGACAAGGTCTCCCGCAGTAGATTTACTAACCGATGGCGTAACTTCTAGACATTCATGAGTGCTTGTAACAGCCTAAACTGAATAAATAATTTTGATTATGATTAGACAAAATAACAAAAATTATATTCACCAGAGCATCGTTAGCGAGTCTTATCTCATCCTGGTATTGCCGCAGCCTCTGTTCCATTGCAGCTCTTTCTCTCTCAGCTGCTTCACGCAGTTGCTTCTCTCTCGCTAGTTTATTGCGTTCTATGGCGCGACGCTGAAATATCAACCTTATATGTAACTAAATAAAGACTATTTCAATCCTTCATGATCACTAACATTATAGTAAATAACGTAATTAACGTCAATAGTGAGCTTGTTGAGCTCTGAAATATCGACCTAATGTTCAACTAGATAGAGGTTACTTTTTAACGTAGTAGAGCCATTACATCGTTCTATGGCGCGACGCTGAAATATCAACCTTATATGTAACTAAATAAAGACTATTTCAATCCTTCATGATCACTAACATTATAGTAAATAACGTTATTAACATCAATAGCGAGCTTGTTGAGCTCTGAAATATCGACCTAATATTTAACTAGATAGAGGTTACTTTTCAACATAGTAGAGCCATTACATCGTTCTATGGCGCGTAGCTGAAATATCGATCTAATTTTCAACTGGATAATGAAAACTTTTCAACCAGGTTAAAGCTTGTCATAGGCACGTTTGCTTTGTGGCAAAAATCAACTGTATAGCCGATGTTTTTTGTCACAAAATGAGCAGAGTTTTTTTGGTATGTATACCAAAACGCACGGTCACCGCCTTGTCAAAGTGTATCAGCTGTTTTGTAATTTAATTTTATTACAATTTTTCGTGATTTGTTTATTTTCATATAACCGATATTATATTTATGGTAGTTAGAAAGAAGCGGATCAAATTTGAATGGAGGGTAGTCGGTCTTCAGCAGACTCCAGCACTTAATTGTAAATTTTATTATAGTGAAAACCGAATATAACGACATCGTTTATAACGACGTGTCGGTTATTACGACTAATTAGTAAGGTCCCGGCCGAAACCTTATATAAACCCTTAAGTAAACAACACCGGATATAGCGAAATACCGCTTAAAACGACTTTTAACCAATGAATATTGATAAAGTTCATATCAATATTCCTCGGTTATAACGACTAACCATTTTACTTGTTCCAGCAAAATAAAATATACTGTAAGTACTTCAAATTTTTTATAGTAAACTGATTACTTCTATTTTCGATATTTCATATGAAAACAAGCTCATATTCATTATCTATAACAATATGACATACATACATTATGACAATTATATGACTACTTTTGTATATTGCTTATAACAACTATCGGACATAACGTCCGAAGTTATATGGTCCCTTCAATGTCGTTATATCCGGTTTCGACTGTATTATTAATTTAATATAATTTTATTCAATAGTAACTAAAGCAGAAATAATGATTCTGTTCGCTTTCATTATATTATTATATTCTTCATTATAGTAATAATAGGCATAAGGTCACGTGATAGTAAACACCAATCAGAAAGACTGACGTCACTCCGTGCAAAACATTACTTGTGGTTAGAGTTTTCATAGATTTTATTGATTTGTCATTCATGTGATTGTTCCTTTGATACACTTTAACAGTTTGTTCTTAGATAATTATTGTAAGAAAGCCTAATATGTATAGCCATCGGGAATTACCAAAGCAAATAATAATAGTTTACCCAAAATAAAAAACAAACCTTAATATGATACTTGGTATAATTAGCATATTATTAGGCAACTAGAACAAGAATATGAAATGTGTTTATTACGAGTAATACGAATAAATATACTTAACTCTCAAATTGACTTTAAATCATGCCATAAAACTAAATTTACTTACCTAACCTCAACCTATTGTCATTGTTTTATCAATTTAATGCAATATAATTTATCCAGCTTGTGTAACATTTAGATTACCTAGATTATGCTATGCTAAATACTTACATCAAAAAGATCTTCACAAAAATACATTATTTTATTTGTTGATAAACAATGAATACCATCCCTTCTTGTAAGTTCTAGCCATTTTTACTGCTTTTGTAAGTTGTTTAAAAGGTATATAAATAATTTGTCTGGCGTTTTATGCTTGTACTTTTACACTGGGGCACTATACAGTACTTGAAATACGATGGATTCATTTTTAATGAAATAATTCTATTAGTCAACGTACAGCATACTGTTTGTTTTGCACGGCGTGACGTCATTCAAGACGCCATGACAGTCATGAGCGTTTTAGAGGGATAATTAAATATTTTTGTTAAAATTCAAAATACATATTGTTACTGTTTTATTTTATTTAAAATAATATTTTTTGGGGTAAAATAAACATCAACGTATATGATTAACCACTTTTTAAAATTTAGGCAACTAGCCTATTATTGAATTTTTTAAACACGATTTTAATCGGGGATAAATAAAAAAATAAAAGTATCTGTTCATATTACAATATACAAGAAGCTTTCATATGATATGTTTTGTCGCTGCCGGAAACGGACTCCCACTTTTGAACCATGTCCTTTGTGTGTTTAACTCGTGTTATTAATGAAAGGAATCGCAAATAACGCCGTAAGACATTCTGCCCCTTTCGCACATGCATCCTAAGTAACGTGCGAGAGAGACAGAATGTCTTGCTTCGCCACTTCTGATTCTTTTCTTTAATGACACGTATTATAATGATGTTCCATATCTCTACATGACATTTGCGTATTTTGGCAATCTTAAGTAGCCGCAAATAGCTTTTTTTTTCTACAACGGGGATAAGGAAATTGTGTTATTACTTAAGAGAATGAGAAAGACAGATATATATACCTGTTTCTCTTCTTTAGCCTGTGCTTTCATCTGCTGCACCTCCATGGTGTCCGGTTTCCTTCGACGCATATACAGGTCGTGGTTGCCGATGCAAAGGTCTAGGATCTGTTCGAAGCAATTACAATTAGAGTCTCGATAGTGTAAGTGGATCGTGGAAGTTAAGAAACTTTCGAAATGGGCGGTAGTTGGATGGGTGACCAATAATTTACTCTCTCGAGCACCTCCGTGCTTGGGAAGGCACGTTAAGCCGATGGTCCCGAATGCATCTGTAGTTGTTAGCACCCATAATCCGCACTGGGCACGCGTGGTGGGTCATTCCCCAATCTCCCTATTCCATCAACATGAAAAGCGTGGGATCAGTGGGGACATTAATAGGCTGGTGCTTATGAGAGTCTTATGTGATGCACAATTGCGTAATTTTTTTAATAACTAGCACAGCGATCGCAGCGCATCTAAGCTTCAATAAGAAACTTAACAAGGTAAATTCACCCTTATTACCGTAATATAATGCACATATTCCTTCCCGAGACGAAAAGAAAATATGATAAAAGGTTTTCTGGGATAACCGCCTCTGAGGCGGAATGTCTACAATTCTGTCAAATCGCTAATGCCGTCATAGTTTATGGATCAATTTAAATTATCGATTAATTCGCGCCAAAAACTTCATACAAAACGTGGTTACGTATTTTTGTAAACACCCCCATTCGCCCAACGCTGATTCTGATAATAAGCGCGTAGCTCCGAGGGAATATGTGCATTACATTGCGGAGATAAGGGTAAATTTACTTTGTTACATTTTTTCAATAATGATTTGACTCTGCGCTATACTCACAATATTACTCGCGCCCTGCCCCCATAGCATGAGCAGCACGATATGATTTATAACACGTTTTTATCACGCTCAACATTACTACGCAGTTTGACAGTTAAGCGCGATAAAAAACGTGATATAATGTAAATAGGGATGATGACTAATTTTTGTTTATCAGGTAGATTATCAAAAAGTATTGGACATGTATTTTTTCTTTTTTCACATAATATAAACATTGCAGAGATATATTGATTTGAAAAGTCGCATGACGTCACGTTTGAACTTATAAGTGAAAATTCAGTCAAATGTGACGTCACAAGCCCCTACTCCCAAACTTTGACGCGCTATAACTTTGTCATTTTTTGGTTGATTGCCCAAAGAAAAAATACGTGTCCATTATTTTTTGATCATCTAACTGACGGACTAAATAGAATATCGTTTACTGTACCCCGTCATCACCCCTATTGTAGTGCTTATGCTATGGGGGCTGGGTTGACGATGACGAATTAACATTTCGGTTTACAAAGTAGATAAGTATCCATATGTTTGTGGTTTAGTTAAACCACAATTACAAATTAATTGACTGTATTAATTACTTTATAAGATTAATAAAAAAACGACATTGAAAATACTGTCAAAGATAGGCTATGTGACATTATTTATTGCTGGAATTATTAACCAACTAATTTTCAATATTGGTTCCAGATATACCACAAAAGGTTTACGTAAATGGAATGCTCTGCCCGCTCACGTGTTCCCTCCTTCTTACAACCTGGTATCCTTTAAAAGAGGCGTGAAGAAGCAACATGCAGGCCGGCAGGGTGAGGATGGCTGGTGTGGCAGGTAGAACTGCTGTACCAGCTATCTTCGCGTCTGGACTTCACCGTCACTTAACATCAGGTGGGGCGGAGTCATTTGTCGGACCTATCTATAAAAAAAGATGTACCTACGTTCCATTGAGTATAAGTAAACAATAAACCAACCACTCACCAGTTTATTCATGCCTTTTGGCGAGAAAAAGATAAAGTTGGTCACACTTTTGTCAACGAACTTTATCACAAATTTCTTGTCATCAAACGAAATGTGCTTGATTTCGGACCAAGGGAATGTTGTCTTCGGCGTGAGCTTGTTGTCCTTCTCGTAGATGTTTAGACCCAGAGCCGTCACACCCAAGTAGAGGTCTGTGTCTTTCTTGTTCTAGAGTAAGATAGAATAACATTTGTAATAATAATAATAATTTATTGCATAAAAATATGGTATAAAAGGTGTTTGATTATTATCATGTCTCACATATTTTTACTGTTAGACAGCATGCAACAGTTTAGCTGTATACTTCCGGCGTCTCACAGCTTTGTCATACGGAGGGAAAGTATATAAAAAAAAAATTCTTATTTCACGACTTTGACTCCCATTTTCAGCAGGCGATTTAAAAAAAATGGGTGCGTGTACTTATCTAGGCGCGTGAGAAGTTATCCTTCTTTGGCATCGTTTAAAATTAGTCTTTAATTGCATGCAAATAATTAATTACAATAAATTAATAAAAAGTCTGGAAAAGGACGAAGTCAATAAAGTTCAGTTTTAATTTGAAAAATTTTAATTGAATATTTTGATTATTTATTTATAAATAATCAAAATATTCAATTAAAATCGCTACTGAATATAATTTATTAGAACATATGTGATTTGCACTTGTATGAAACTCAAACACGTATTCCGAATATACAAACTAGAAACATGTGGATAAATATTATAAATATGAATACCTATAACTGTTACTTTATTACAAAAAATAAAGATGTGGTTTTTGGTTCTACTACACCAATGGTCAAAAGATGGCGCTGTAGTCTCCTGAATCGCGCTTTGGTTCCGTTGTTCCAGATTAATAAATACTTTTGATAGGCCTTCACAATGCAGTCGTTAGCACCCACAAAATAGAGATTCTATTTCTATTTTGTTGGTAGTTTTTCTTAATGTGCGGTAAACACAAAAGTAACGCATGAAGCCAACTTCATGCTGTTAAAATTTTGTGTTACAGTGATGCGCGCGCATCTTAAAATTTCACTCACATAATTTTTTCATAACGCGCCTAAAGAAGTATAACTTCAAAAACTGCTCTTTCAGTAAAATATTCTATCTTCAATATTTAATATACTAATCCTTCGTGTGACAAACCCGTAGGGGACGCCTTGTATAATGATTTTGTCAACGCTTACATTGATCGCGAAGTAATTGACACCGTACATGTCCAAGTCTTGAGCTATCTTCAGATACTCCATTTCTGCTTCGTCTCTCGACATGCCCTTGTGGTCCGCGTACCTATAATTCGTCCATACATTAATAACTTTAAGGTAATGGTAAACATACAAATAAATACTGATAAAAATCACACCTCAATCCAAATTTCCTCTCTTTATGAAAAGGTTTATTTAGTTATGTGTTTATTTTTTAAGAATTTAACTGCTAGATGTTTAAATCTAAAAAAAATACTTCATAATTTTCTTATTATTAATTTACTTGTTTATTTACAATTACAGTAAATAAATATGCTAAATAAATAAAAATATTACAAAATAAAAAAATTATGTGGTGTCGTGGGACACCAGGTAGGAACGAAGTTCCTTCGGCTAATGTAGAATCGACACAAATTGCAAACTCGCTTGTGTATGCGACTGTCGCGCCTGCGCACGTCTCATTTAATGGTTTAATTCCACGCACTTTTTTCCACGGATTTTTTCTTACGGTTTTACTATCACATTTTTTTCAGTTCGGTCGCGCAGAAAAATCCCTATCCCCTCCAAGCCTGCCGTAAGGAACTTCGTTCCAATAAACCTTTCCATAAAAAGAAAGAAAAATACTAGAAAATTTTCTGTAGATTTATAAATCTAAAAATGAAAATATACCTTTAATTGCTATTTTTTTCTGTTAAATGTTTAATACTTGTAAAGGTAAGCATTTGACATTGTGGGTTACCTACAATGCGAAGAGATTGCGCTGCCTTCAACCCTAAGCGGACAGAAAAATGATCGTCCGTACGCTGTACGACAAACGCACCGCTTCGGCACCGCAGCAGGCCGTCAAGAAACGCATAAATTGAAAGAGCCCTAAGAAACACTAGAGAAAATTCGACATGGACAATTAGGGCCGCGGTAGCATAATAGTCAGTGCATCTGCCCGGGTAGCGGAGAGTGTGGGTTCGAGTCCCGTATGCTGCCCGTGTAGATTTTTTTCTAGTAAAATTTTCTTTAGATTTAAGGTTAGTTTATTTTGTTCTTTTAACAATATATATTTATGTATTAGGGTGTAACTAGATCAATCGATCGATCGTCGCCCGACGGCATCGGTTAACGTCGATCTGTTATAAATTAGTTATGTATGTAATATTGCAAAAAGGGCTGCTAGACAGCTGACTAGGCAATATGATCTCACGTCCGCGTCTAAGCCATTTGGCTAATCAGTCGCATTACAGTCCTACTCGCGAGCGGTCATTTTTAACTAAATAAATAGTGTGTGTAAATAAAATATCACAGATACCGTATAACAGATCGAAGTGTATGACCGTTTTGGGTTTTGCTTTAGTTGATCGACGGATACCATTCGACTAACCGATCGATTACCGTATAATAGCATCGGTCAACGTCGACTAATCCATAATAAATTACCATCAATCAATATTTAATCTACAATAAATTTATTGGTATGACAGAAACGTCGATACATTTTAGTATCGATTGATGCAGTCGATCGATCGATTGGCATTGGAACACTCTTAATATCCATTATACTAGTATCCCACAGTACTGGGGGCTAGGCTAATGAGGATCATTAATAGGTCAGCAAATCAACTCAAAATCGAATCAGGATAATGATCTAATAAGCTTTTTAATTAATGTATTTTTTAAATCATCTAAATCAGTTCATTCGCTGAGATTTAATAACTAATTTTATCGTAGCCAATATTCTCCGGCGGCCGAAACGTGTGACGTCACAGAGCTCGATCGTGGTTCACTTCGGTCGAACTTCAGTAGCGTCTCTACGCACACTCGCGCCCGAGCACTAGACCTCTGTGACGTCACATCCACCACGCGGCCAGCCGAAAAATCGTTTAGTAATTTGGTCATAACATAGTCAATATTTGTCGTAGAACAAAAATTTCATCACTGTATTTTATAGAATAATTAGCTCTATAAATCTGCACTCTCAACTAAAATCGTTAAGGATCCTCATGGTGTAAAAAATGGAAATATTTAATCATGTTCACCATATCTTGATGCGATCTTCCCACATCTCAGGCGTCATTTGGTACTGATCTATGACTCGTTGGGGCAGCAGGTCCTCACTAGCCAGCATGCCTGGCTTGTAAGCGCTCTCATCATAGTCTCCATACTAAAAAAAATAATTATATTTTCAAATTCCAAGAATTTATTGAACACTGTTAATTTTGCTCATGTTCCTCACTATAAAATAAAATAATTGCATGTTTATAAATGATTAGTGTGTGCCAAATGACTAAATAAATGTATATTAGAATGTGCTACTTTTAAAATTTCACCATTTTACTTTAAAAAGCAATCTTGTAATTGCTTTTAATGTATTATATTTTTAATAAATTGTGTATTCACAGTTAATTGTTTTGATCATAATACCTACATCACTTACCTTCGCTTGAACGGCGTAACTGGCCAACAAGACAGAGGCTTCAGGCGGACAGTATATGTCCATGCTCAATATCGCTTGCTTCACCTGCAGGAACAGTAGGTGTTGTGTCACCTCTTGAATGAGCTCCTCGGCAACATCTTCAGGGTACAGCTTGCAGAGCAACATGAATGGGGTGCCAGGCATCTGTGAGACACATTGATCTTGTACTGCAAAAAAGGTTTAATGATTTAACAATTTTTTATCTGCAGTAAAACGCAGAGGTTTCATATTATTGTACAATGAATATTACAGAAGTATTTGAAAAAGGTTAAAAATAATGTGTATTAGACCTCCTGCTTGTTACGAAAACAAGATACAGTATCTTCTTTTATATTCTAAAGTATTGTTATAATTGAGAGGTGTTAAGCAGTAAGTGACTAGCCGGTATTTTTGAAACTAGCAATAACGAGTTTTGAGGACCAACGTTAAAGTACGACTGTGGGAGCAGAAGGGACTGTTGGTTATTTTATTTTTTTATAAACTCACACCAATTAGGCTAGCCCCAAAGTAAGCACTGTAAGGCTTGTGTTATGGGATACTAGGGTAACTGATAAAATACATTTATAAGTATATTTATATAGAAATACATATTAAACATCCATGACTGGAGTACAAATGCTCGTATTCATCACACAAACATCTGCCCCCACCGAGATTTGAACCCGGGACCTCTCGAGTAGGCGACACCATGAAACTCGGCGTATAAACCACTCGGTAACGGGGTCGTCGTTTTGGGATCTAACAAAATCAAACATTATCATGGGTTTATAGAACAAATTCTTTCTTGCTTCAAAAATGTCAGCTGTTAGCTTTCTGCTTAACAACCTTCAATTGTTCCATTGCTTGTATTAATTTGTAAATTAATTTCTAAAAAAACTTAATTTTACAATCTTAATTAATATAATACCAAAGCACCTGGTGTAGTGTAAGTACCTCTTTTATCCAATTTCAGCCAACTTATAAAGTGTTTGGTATCTTCGAACTGGAGCCCAAAGAACCATGTTTCCCTTAGACCTATAGTTCTGCATACCAAGTCAAATAAATCTCGACCTGTTGCTCTCCACTGAAAGTAAGAGAACAATGCTTCAAGTAAATTGTATTGATAACTACTATATGGCAAGATAAATTGAATGAGACAGTACAGTATAACAGGAAATATTATCCCTAACAAACCATAGGCCTATTTAGTATTTATATTTGTATATTGTTCACAACAACTTTCTGTTCCTCTGTTTCATATTTGTATATATATTAAATAGAGGAAAAGAAATAAAACTAGTTTTAACGGATTAATGTACGAACATTATTTATTTATTGACATTTCGCAGCCTTTTCAGGTCTGCATCGTCAGAATAAAATAAATAAATAAGTTGTTGAATGAATATGTCTAGTGCAATCTTAAAATACGACATCACACAATATTATACTTAATATATTATTGAATTCAGTTGCAATCAATACATAAACTCACATGTTTACAGTAATATAAAACAAAAAAGGATGTGGTTAATGATTAAACTCCTAAATGGCAATGAAATAGGACTTTATTAAAGAGGATATAATAAATGAATGTAACCTATTATTTACAACTATATACAGATGATTCAAGAGTGCATCTGTTGTGTAACTATGTAGCGTTTATACTGATGATACTAATAGGTATCACTGCTATCGCTAATGTCAATTAACGCCCGTTACGAAGCGCCCTGCATTATTATGAGTCACAATGAGGGCATTGTATTTATCATCAGTATGCCTTGGTAAACAAGCTGAAAGCGTTCCTTATTATTGCACTCATACCTCAAGGTTGAACTCCAATTCAGCATCCAATGTGCATACTTTGACTGGAAATGACTTCGGCGCCTTCTTTCTTCTAAACGGAGGCATTTTCTTGTTTCATATCGCAATCACTACGGTGAAAGAACACTATCAAGACAGACTAATAGGTTATGATTGTTCTATTACAATTAATTAATTGCAGTTCAGTGGCTATCGTTTACGTAATGTATTTGGTCAAGGAATGTGTGTAATATCACATTGCGTACTATTTCCAGCGTTTAATATTTACAAACAAGAAAAACGTCAATGAAACTGTGAATGAAGGGATATATCAGAAAAATATCATTCCGTTTTACGTTACTTGAAAACTGTAATAACATTACTGGGATATATTTATATCAGGTCAGCGTCGAATGGAACGTTAAAATAGTGTTGCTCATTTCAATTGAAATTATTGACTATTCAATTATGTTAAAATATTAAGTTGATTTGATAGGTACTCTGTGCAAAATTGAGACCTTTTTGGGTTATGTTGGTACTACTTTTCTATTGTTTTGACAGCTTTTGACAATCATTGACATTTAAATTTCGGCTAACTTCACTTTTGTCACCACGTGTGGTGTGATTTATTTTCCGAAAATTGTGTTATGAAATAAAATAATGGGTAAATTTAGATCTAAACTAAAAGGGAAGACAAAGGGTAAACGATGGCAAAAGGGACAATCATCGAATTCCAACCCGAAGATACAAAAATACAGGGAAATGGCAAAGTCCCGGTTTTTTCAAGAGAATTTAGGTAAGTAGGTATTTTTATTCTTCACAATCTGTTCAGATTGATGAAGTCGTTTCCCCTACTTTAAACCGTTTTGAAGGATGTGTCCCAAAGTCTCTACGGTATATTATTGTGATATTGCTGATACTTACAGTATTTATTCATTATTTGTTCATTACAGGTAATACTGGATTAACTCAGCAGGCTGTACATAAACATGATGCTATTGTTACTTACGGCCACAGCCTTGGCAAGCAAAAGTCAGAAGCTGAGGCTGAGCTGGCTATTGCCAAAGATTTTGAGAATATGTCTGTGAAAACTGGCGATGAGGGTTCCGAGAGTGAATACTCTGCATACTCTGGAAGTATGAGGTCAGGCACATATAAGACTTTCCAAACATTTGCCTCAGATTGGAGTCAGTGTTCAAACATCAGTTTTAGCAAGTAAGTGAATCTTCATAGTTTTATAATAATTTTGTAATTTATAAACTTAGGATATGATGGGGCTGGCATATCCCTTATATTAGGTAAAGCCTCTAAAAATAAGATTGAAAAAAATCTGTGGTTGGGTTCAGAGCTTATTATTAATAAATAAAGAATAAGGTTTGTTCTATCCCAATAAAAATAATCACATTCAGAGATGCTAATTGAAACTCTTGACAATGTAAATAAATTATTGTAGTTTATTTAATTTGACACCCTAAAATGTGTATGAGAATGTGTGTGTGGCAATTCTACTAATATCATAAATGTGAAAGTTTGTCAGTTTGTTACCCGATCATGCAAAAATGGCTGAACAGATTTGGATGAAATTTGCCACACATAGTTTATTCCCTGTATTGAGACATAGGATTAGGATAGTTTTATCCCAAAAAATTTTAGGTTCCAGGGAAATTCTCAAAAATCTTAGGTTCACATGGACAAAGTCACAGGTAGTTAGATAAAGTTATAATTTAATTTTGAACAAATTCAATATTGTTATACAAAAAGCGTCATGCAGTTTTGTCATTTAAGTTTATCATCATTTTATTGGTTAACTTATAAACTTGTATAATATATATTTTTTTTTAGATTACTCAACAGATTTGACTCGAACAATGCTGTCCATAAAGAGATGTTGGCAGTCCTAGCAGCCGTTACCGAAGTAATTAAAGAGCAAGGGGGTAAGGAGACCACCACTGAGTATTTTGCTGCACTGGTAAGAGTTAGCAATGATCTATTTGTATACCTAATTTTACAAAAAAAACATTTAATATTAAAAATATATATCCATAAATATCTAAGATAAAATATGATAAAAGTCTGAAATGGCGATGCAAAAACAATATATTATTGTTATTCTAATAACTCTAAGATAGATGTACTGTGTTACTGAAGGTCATATTATTCTTTGTTAATATACACAATGTTTTGTGTTAAACATTGGTATCTTGTAAATAAAAAAATTTGTAATAAATTTCCTTTACATATTGCATTATTTTTTTAGATGGAAACTCTGAAAGCATCAGAAGGAGAAGAAAATTTAGTGGCAACAATATCCTTACTGTCAATGGGAATCAAATCTGTACCACAGCCAGTGCTACGTAAACAGTTCTCTGACTGTGCCACCGTTTTCATGGAACTCTTGGAAAAGAACGCTCAGTCGGACAATGGCACGTTGTTAAGAAGTACCATTGGTTGCTTGTCAGTGCTTCTGAGGGCTCAGGAATATGCTTTATGGAGTGAATCATCAACTATGAGGGTCTTCGATTCAGTTTTGGCGTTTGTTTTGCACTCAAAACCAAAGGTTTGCTCATTAAAGTATTAATAGTAAGTTTAAATTGTCATGATATTTTGAATAAAACTAGTTTTAACGGGTTAATGCATGAACTCTATTTGTTTATTGACTTTTCGCAGCCTTTTCAGGTCTGCATAAAAATTTAAAACTAGTTTTATTTAATGAGTGATGTGCATGAAAACCTAAGAAACAAATATGATATTTTGAAGTCAAGAAAATATAGCAAAATCGACATCTCATAATATTTGGCCTAAAATTTTTGAAAGGGTATTGATAATTATATATGTATAATAATATTTAGTTTATATGAAAACAAATGATGGAACTTAATAATATATGTGTTAAAGAAGTTTGCCGAAACTTTATAATAATAGTAATTATTTCAGTTTAAGCACAATAAAGTGTTACCACTATAGTGAAAAATTAATTCGTTCAAGGTGAGAAAAGCTGCTCAACATGCTGTAACAACAATTCTTCGAGGCAGCTGCTTCATGATACCATCCGAAGACCAGAGAGTAAAGGTATTTAATGTATTTTTTAAGCATTTTATTGCTAGGTGTGAACTTGTTTCAGAAGGCATTTCGAAACACAGAGCATAACAAATCTTTGGTCTCGTATCCTAAGAAAGGCCATTGAGAAAGTTATTTAAGTTCTGAAGACCGAATGTGCTGACCGAATTGAGCTCCCTTGCATACCAGTAATTATTATACAATAATATCCTTTATTATTAGGTGCCTAAAGTCCACCCCGCGTCCAACCGCGTGGCAGAACACTGCTTGTCACAGATGAGTGCCGAGGCATTATTATCAGGGCATCGAACTGTACTCCACACATTGACTATGCTGAGAGACGTGCTGCCAGTCTTCAGCAAGGATTTTATAAAGGTGAGCCACTATTATATACACGATTTCATAATAATACAGGGGAAAAATCAGCTCTAGCTGAGTTTCTAGCCGGTTCTTCTCAGTACAACGTCTTAAGCCATAGATTTTTTCTTTCACTACAAAAACATACATTTTGCCTTTATATGGCATAATAATGGGTTTTTTCATATACACTGTATATCATATTTGTGGTGTATTACGATGTTTTGTAAACAGTATAAATCAATATTTTTGTAATGGGGTGTAGTAAGTTTACTGTTTGTAACTGTTCGCACTATGTTTATTTACCCGATTTTTATTTTTACACAAAATTTACAGTGCATAGAAAAAAAATATGAGAGGGCTATGTTAAATGTGTTGTGGGTCAATGTAGGTATACAAAGACTTGGGTAGCTTATATATAAAAAAAAAAAGTGTGGGCCAATGTTAAACATAGACAATGGTAACTTTCTACAATTGGGGCAGTTTGCAAAGTTGTTTTTAGGGTAATTTGACAATGGTGTAGATTCTGGCATGATTATCTAAACTTTAAACAAAATTTTACGTTAGTCTCCGCTTTTCATTCTGTTAAAAGTATGACAAGGGAACACTGTTGTTAAATGGAATTTTAGGTTTCGAGGAGCATGGCAGAATCGACACCTATGTTTGTGTTTGTTCTTCCAGAGCGTATGCGAAGCCATTCTATCATTAATGGCGCACAACAGCGTGTACATACAGCGTTGTTGCCTCCATACTCTGCACGCTATGTTCGCCTCTTGTATGGGAGGTAGTGGCAACTTGCCGGCCACTCTGGCGGCACAAGTCATACGGGCGCTGTCCGCTCGCAGGCCGCGCGCTGATGATCATCAACAAGTGCTGGCGTGGGCTACTGTCCAGCAACAGGGATATTGTTGCCTTGCTAGGTGAATATTGTAGACATAAGGCCAGTTTCTAGGGAGATATAACATAGTCCTAAAACCAGGTTTAACGTAGGTATATCATAGTCATAATTAGGGATGCAAAGTCTTTTGAAATATCGATATTTATATCGAAGTCAGGAAAATATCGATATCCGATATATCGACCATTTTAACTCGATATTATCGATATATCGATATTTTTTCCTTTTTAATTTTTATTGACAGAATACGGGGTGAGTGTGACACATTCATATGTTTGTTGGCGAGTTTTTCGCAAAATGCATTGAACCAGCTTTATCGTTAAACACGCTTGATGAAATCGCGCCAAGCAGGAGTTTTTTTTATTGGCACGGTTTGTGTTTCAGCCACGACAAGAAACCAAAAAATTAAAATTATTATCCTGATCAGATCACTCACATTCGTTAGCACGAATGCGCCAACCCGCATATGTGGGATGACATTTGCGAATGCCTTCGCTAAGTTTTCACTACATTCGTGCTTTTCCAAGCTATGTCGGTTTTTTAGTACACATCAAATACGCAAATTGCTTAGTCTCCCACACATCAGGGGCGTACCCATGGCTTCAGAATAGGGTAAGCCCAAAGCTTCCAAAATTACTATACCTATCTTACTTTCTTGACTTGGCGAACTTAAAAAATTTACGATTTGTATAAGATTCTTAATTTTATTTTGTGTTATATTACAATGATATTAAATTTCAATTAATCAGTAGTTGACAACTATCTAGAAAGAGAGGCAAGGATTTTATTTAAGTGCATGAGTTACCATTAAGTATACGATAATACCTATATACGTTGGTGTCGATTCTGGCATGATTATCTAAACTTAAAACTGAATTTAACATCAGCCTCTCCTTTTCATTCTGTATAGAGAATGACAAGGATACACTGTTGTCAAATTTAATTTTAAGGTTAGAGAATCATGCCAGAATCCACACCAGTTTAGTATATTTCTTGGAGTTCAAGATTTTTTTAATACATCTATAAGCTCTTGCGATTTAAAAAGCAATAGTTATTTCGATATTATTCAATTTAGATAGTCATAGCAGGTAAATTAATTGATATTATTGTGTTCAAATTTAGTCTACGAAATATCGATATCAGTGAATTTTAGATATAAATATCGATATTTTGGTCTCGATATCAGTGAATTTTAGATATAAATATCGATATTTTGGTCTCGATATTATAGATATTCCGATATATCGTTGCAACCCTAGTCATAATGCTAGTTTATAGTGAGGATGATTTGTTAACAAGTACAGGCGTGGGCTACTGTAGAGCAACAGAGATATTGTTGCCTTGCTAGGTGAATATTGTAGACATAAGGCCAGTTTCTAGGGTGGTATCATAGTCATAAGACCAGTTTCTAGGGAGGTATATCATAGTCATAAGGCCAGTTTCTAGGTAGGTATATCATAGTCATAATGCCCGTTTATAGTGAAGATGATTTTTCAACAAGTGCTGGTGTGGGTTACTGTAGAGCAACAGCGATATTGTTGCCTTACTAGGTGAATATTGTAGACATAAGGCCAGGTTCTAGGGAGGTGTATCATAGTCATAATGCCAGTTTGTCAACAAGTGCTGGCGTGGGCTACTGTCCAGCAACAGGGATATTGTTGTCTTGCTAGGTGAATATTGTAGACTTAAGGCCAATTACTAGGGAGGTGTATCATAGACATAATGCCAGTTTATAGTGAGATTTATAGACAGATTATAGATTACAGAGAGGTATGTAATTAATTGCATTTTATTTACAAGTTAAGATATGACGTATTTGTTTCTTAGGTTTTCACGCACATCACTCATTAAATAAAACTAGTTTGATGAAAAGGAAAGGCTGCGAAACGTCAATAAATAAATAAAGTTTCGTGCATTAACCCGTAAAAACTAGTTTTATTTAAGATATGACGTCTTGCTTATTCCCGCGTTTTTTTTTGGTCCAGTCGTGATTGTTGACTGTAATTTATTTCTTCCCAGCCTGGATTTGAACCTGTGCATCCCCAATCTGCCGAGTTTCGTGAGCATCTGCGTCACTGAGCTGTGGTTGTCCGATGTGGCGGACATTAATTCGGCCGCCACAAACGCGCTCAAAGTAAGTAAATTAGCGGTTTTATTTCGAATCTTTATTTAATAAAAACGAATTATTTAAGATCCCAAATTCAGTCCGTAATATGTATGTGTGACAATTGTTATTTGTTCTTTGAAAACACTAGTTTTATGTTTTAGGATGATTAAACATGGCCTTAAACATCTGATGGCTTCTTTTTTACTGGCACGAAAATAAATAAAAAATATGTGAATCTTTACTCTTTCCGTAAGTACATAAATTCTGATAAGTGCCTAATAATATAACAATATTATTTTTCCAAGAAAACTGTTAAATTTTATTCGTGCTATTCCCAATTTCTTAACATTTATTACTGCATTATAATTTGATAAAAACATATAGATTTCAAAAATTGCGGAAATTGTTGCGAAACTGAACTTTTCTGTTCGCCTTTTTCTGATTTACAAAATAACCCAAAATTTCATTTTTGCCTTTTTGCAAGTAGTAATGTGACATAAGGCCTGAATCCTTTTCATTAGTTCTATATGTTACATGTTTTTTTTTGTAAATGTTGCTATTTCTGTTAAATGCTGATGAGTTTCTTGCGCCCATTCTTCTCATCAGCTAAAATATGTCCTGAATGGGTGGTAGAAAAAAAAATATTGGACAATCCAAAAGTGCTTTCCATAAGTCCATTTGAATAAAGATCATTTCATTTCATTCTCTATAGCTGCTAGTCCAGGCAACGAATGCTCAAAAACAGGTATAGAGGGAAATGCTTGGAACACAATTTTTGACTTCGTAACTTTGTTAGGACTAGTTAGGAGGTAAACATATCAAAAGTCCCCGCCCGTAGCCCTTAAGCCGGGGGGAAGGGGGGGGATTGAAGGTCCCATTTTTAGGTTTTTCGCATATATCTCGGAAACTATGCATCTTAGCGACATGAGACTTCGAGAAAAGTGAAAGCTGATTAAATTTTCTACAAGTCTTATTCAGTCAAGTTTTTTGATATCTTGTATAGTTTTCGAGATATCCGCTCTTGAAAGTCTGTAATTATTGAAAAAAAAATTGCCACCACTTCCTGGCAATGCTATTTTACTGCTCCCTCGGTGGGAGGAAGACAAGAGATATCAGGCTTGATGGTGGCCACTGATTTCAAGAATGACTTGTACCTGTAGGCATTGAGGGAAATCTCTTTCGCTGGAGCTACATACCACCTTAAGATGCAGGTTTCACCTGCCATTTGTACTTGAGCGGTGGTGGAGAAGGGTGTGAAAAGACCGCTGCTACTTTCTGGATTTCTGGTAACTTGATAATGTCTCTGGTCTCTGGGAAGGGAGGAAATTTCTCAAACCAATCGGTGAGCTTGGCAATGTCAGCTCCATCCTTGTTTTGGCGGGCTTGTCCGAAATCTGCATGCTGCTCACTGGTTGAACCAACAACCTTACGGCCGGCATTGTTGAAGAGTTATCCGGTCAAATAGAGCAAAAATGTGAAGCAAATTTTGTTTTCCATAATTACTGACTTTTAAGAGCGGATATCTCGAAAACTATACAAGATTGACTGAATAAGACTTGTAGCAAATTTAATCAGCTTTCACTTTTGTTCAAGTTTCATGTCGCTAGGATGCATAGTTTCCGAGATATATGCGAAAACCCTAAAAATGGGACCTTCAATCCCCCCCTTCCCCCCGGCTTAAGGGCTACGGGCGGGGACTTTTGATATGTTTACCTCCTAACTAGTCCTAACAAAGTTACGAAGTCAAAAATTGTGTTCTAAGCATTTCCCTCTATACCTTTTCGTTGCCTGGACTATGCTGTGATATTTAGTTTTAGAGAATAGTAGCGGCCCGCCCTCGCTTCGCTTTGGTGTAGAGCTGATGTGTAGACTACAGTTATTATTCTCAGGCTTGTATTATATACAATGACATTCATCTATGATTCTTCTTATACCTGCATGCAAAGTCTCAGCCCGATCGGTTTAAAATTGACAAAGTTTCATACAAACTTTCATTCCCTATTTTATCCCTTTGGGGGTAGAATTGATCAAAATCCTTAGCGGATGCCTTCGTCATAACATCTACCTGCATGCCAAATTTCAGCCCGATCCGTCCAGTGGTTTGTACTGTGCGTTGATAGATCAGTATGTCAGAGTTATATATATTTAGATTGCTAGAATCAGACCTATTATTCAGTTATTAACTATCTGTTTTAACATCCCAGGCTGTACTCTTAGACTGCGTGAAACCGGCCATAGACTCGGAAGATTATCCTCGCCATAAACCGCACGTGGAGGCGATATTCAAAGCCATCGGCTCTGGGCTAGACAACCCCTTCACACAGGCCATTAAGCATATCATACTCACTATAGCCGTGTGCTTTGAGGTAAGTTATTTAATTGATAAGTAAATAATTTCAAGATTATGCAACAAAACACTGAAAAGCACCCTTCATCGGGGGCTCAGAACAAGAATTAAAGCATAGGGAGAGATTGAATTCAACTCGTAAAATAGAGTCATATAGTTATTTTATTTTTACAGGTTCCAGACCAAATAAAGGGATTTTTTTATTTAGCCAGGTAGCCAAATGACTCTACCCCACTTGATGTTAAGTGGTGATAAAGTCCAAACGCGAAGATAGCTCGTACAGCAGTTATAAACTGCCACACCAACCATCCTCACCTTTCCGGCCTGCAAAAATGCTTCTTCACGCCTCTCTTAAAGCCCAGATTGTAGGAAGGAGGGAACACGTGCGCGGGCAAAGAATTCCTCCACTTACGAATAGTACGACAGAAATGAGTCACCAAATTTCTTTGGTCGTGGATAAATGTTTGTTGCTATGAACAGCGTGCGTTCCACTATACAAGCGGCAAATTGGATATCTTCGGCCCTTGTACGCCTTGTGATTACATTGGTTATCTTTATGATTAAACTGGCTGTGCCCCGCGGTGTTACCTGCGGTTTATTAGGTATATTTTCCCGCAGCAAAACGCAGCGTATGTGTTAATCTAGGGTGTCAGCTAACTCCATACCAAATTTTATTAAAATCGCTCCAGCCGTTTAGACGTGAAGAAGTAACAAACAGACACACCCACAAACTCACAAACTTTCGCGTTTAAAATATTAGTGTGATGAATCAAAAAGTGATCTGTACCCCTAGCACAAACCATTATCGAATTCGAATAGTTTGCAAACCTAAATGTCAATGTCAAATTTTGTATGGAAACTTGAACAGCAGCGCCACTTTCGACGTAACGGGAACTAAAAATCAGTACACACTTGACAATGACTTTTTGGGACTCGCAAACGATACGAATTCGATTTTAGTTCGTGCTAGGGGTACTGATGTCAAATGTAACCGGCCAAAACGCCACTAATACTTTTTAGTTGGGCAATACGTATAGTCTTTGCTGAAGTGTACGCTCAAACGTCATGCATTACTTCTATGATTTAGTTTTTGCTCTGATAGGGGTGGGGAAGGGGGGAACTAAATAGGCAAACAAAGACAAATAAATTTTTTTTTATTTTTTATTTTTTTCTCTTTATTTAAAGGACTTTTATCTTTACAGACATGTCAGTCCCATCGTGTACTTATATAAATTAACAAATCATCTAAGCCAATTAACCTAATATGTTATTGTCTGAAGAAAGTCGCGGCAGACATATAAAGCGATACAGCATTCTGGCCTCTTCCGAGACCGGTTGGGCCAGAACGCTGTGAAACACACCAATGTCTGACATATTCAATTTACATTTTTTAATAAACTCTTGTCTCTCATTCTGGTACCGGACACAATCCATCAACAAGTGCTGGAGATCTTCTACAACACAGCATACTTCACAGTTGGGAGACTCAATTTTTTTCATAAGATGTCCAAACTTGTTACATGGATAATGTCCAGAACGAAGTCTATTTAAGGTCACTACAAAGTGTCGACTTGATGTTAAATTAATAAACCACGGTATTCGTAGAGGCTGACTCTGTATGGTTTTATACCATATTCCTTTTTCTTTTGATCTTTCATCAAAATATTCTTTCCAGTTAAGATAACAACTCTTTATATATTTTGACAATGTTTCGGAATAAAATGGATTCACTGATGCATTTTCACCTTCAATAGATGCTTCTTTTGCTAAGCGGTCAGCCTCTTCGTTGCCGCTAATACCTATATGTGAAGGGACCCATTGCAGTTTAATACTTTTGCCACTAGAATTGATTTCGTGAAGTTTTTGAAGTATCTTATAAGCAACCGGCACACCTCTTTTGCCTGACACACAACGATTTAAATGTTGAATAGCACTTTTGCTGTCTGACATTATAACAATTTTGCAGAGACCTTCATTAATAGAGTATGTAATAGCTTCATGAATGGCAATCAATTCTAGTGACATTACAGATACATCAGTAAGCACCTTAAAACAAGCCTTAGCTCCTCTGCTTGGGCATACATATGCTGCTCCTAGACCAGTTATAGATTTGGATCCGTCTGTGTAAATTTTAGTGCAATCATTATATTTTTTATTCAATTCTATTACTACCTTTTGTTTTATTGAATTTGTTTCGTAATTGTCTTTAGCTTCTTTTATACATTCTAAGTTTGATATAACAATTCCACGTAAGTTAATTCGACTAATCCACACGTCTAATGTGTACATATTTAATGGATAATCTGAAGAAACATTACTTTCTGCTGTTTCTCTAACTAGTATTGGTAACAGTGGTTTGGTTTTGTTTCTCCAGTACGAATTTTCGAAAGTTGTATTAAGTTCTGTTAGAAGTTCAACCGTAACATTGTTGTGAAACGACAGCGCTTTAAGACAATACTTATAGGCAAGATATTTTAATATCTTTAATTTGACGCTGATGCGTTACGTTTTAGTGGCCATACGAGTTGCAATAAAAAAAACTGAATCACTCCCCTGGGTACTCTTATGTTTTATTTAATTTGTCTATCAATTAAATTTAAATTATAAAATGTGAACAGATCGGTAGTGAAAATGTGAAGGCATTACTCGCACCGCTACTCAAGAAACTGAACGACCGCCGGGAGAGCAACAACTTTCATAACAATAAAGAGGTATGTACGTAAACTACTCTCAATTGATATATTGTTAAAAAATCTCTTATCTATTAGACAAGTCCGTCTGTCTGTGGTGCTGTTTCAGCGGCCAAACCGTAAGAGATAGATAAAGAGAATATTTAAGTTATAAGTTAAGAATAGTCTGATAAGACTACAAACCGGATTTGAGTAACGTAGCACTTCCGGTTTTCGAGAAATCAGGTTTTGGTGAACATTTGGTTCACTGGTTTGCTAGTACCTTCTAATAGATAATAGGGTATTTGAAGGTATTAAAAATAAAGTGCCAATTGTTAGCATCTGTATTTAGAATGAATATTGGCAGGAGTTTTTACTATTTTTACAGAAAAAATATTCATAATTTTACTAAAACCCACGATAAAGATAATAGTTTTCTTGTCTATTGTCACGTGACCCAAAACGCTTGGGATTGGTGGAGCCTAATGACGTCACACACAAGTAAATTTCCGGTTAAAGTGACATTAGATTGTATGGTTTAACGTTTAATGACAGTCGTGTAACGTCACACACTAGTGAGACGCCATATTGTCCAGAGATACGTTTTTCGCGGCTACTTGAAAATAGAGTATTTGATTTAAATTTTTTTACCGAAATACACAACATAATGATGCATGTCCACTTGACTGACTCTATAAACATTAGTTAATAACGTGAGATCGTTTTCTAAAACTTGTCAAATACCCTATTGAGTCGTTAGTATGTGGAAATTGAAAAATGGGAGTTATCTTTATGAAAATGATTATATATACCTGTTATATGCTCGAAGGACCAAAACTAATCTTTTCTTTGAAGTCCTGTAAAGCAGGACATAGATATTTAAATATAATTTATTTTATAAAATTAAGAGTTATTTGCTTTTTCTTTCAACGTTATTAATATTACAGTTTCGTTCATCATCATTATTAGGCTATTAATGCCCCCACTACTGGGGCACAGGCCTTCCCAATGGATGGAATAGGAAGATTGGGCCATGACCCACCACGCGAGCCCATTGCATATTGGTGGATGCTAACGACCGCTGATGCAGCCGGGACCAACGGCTTAACGTGCCTTCCGAAGCACGGAGGAGCTCGAGATAATGGAGGAAATTTTTGGTCACCCATTCAATTGCCGACCACTGCGATAGTTGCTTAACTTCAACGATCGCAGCTGAAAGCGCTAAACACTGTTCAATGGAGTTTGAAGTAACAACTTATTAAAATAAACTAAATAAAAGAGAAAATATAAAAAGAGTTCAAGTTCAAATCATTTATTACACCATGTTGTTACATTGATCTTAGATAGAAATTATAATCATAGATACAAGCATGACCCTGCTAGGACATTGCAAAATAGTAAATAAAGAAAGAGCTTTCATGAAATTCATTCCTAATTTTAAAAAAAACCTTCAAATTACAATATGCCTTTTTATATTCTCGTAGGTGGAATACGCTACGGGTTGCGCGATCAAATCCCTAGGCCCCGAGTTCGTATTAAAGATAATACCTTTAAGGGACGAACCGGAAAGCATAAACTTAGAAAGGAGTTGGCTTCTGCCAGTTTTGAAGGAGAAGATTGTTAATTCTCATTTGAAATTCTTCGCTACTGAAATATTGGAGATGGCAACATTCTGCAGGAAGAAATCTAGGGAGTTGACGGTAGCTAAAGATATGCCTGGATCTCATACGTATGAGCTGTTATGTAATCAGTTCTGGGCTTTGTTGCCTAGCTTCTGTAATAGCCCTACAGATATCAAAGACAACTTCAAGGCCGTAGCTAGAGTTTTAGGTGAGTTTTTGTTTGTTAATGTTATTAAAAATAAATGTATTTGTCTCTTGTGTCACTACTTTTATGCAAAATTCGATGTAAAAATTAAAATCAAAAGCTGATAATCAATTTGTTTATGAATTTATTGAAAATGGTGGCTTCAATTATGAATTCGCTAACAACAGCTACAGTTTTTTCATCATTCAATCATTTTAATTTTAAAATATATTAAGAACTGTTTTATACGAGAAGATTTTGCTCAACTATTAGTTGGACATATGAGCAGATTAGTTATATTTGAAAATAAGGGTGATGACGGGGTAAATTAAATGAAATTAAAGGACATCTGGCATTTTGTGCCAAACTTGTATACTTTCTTATTTTTTTTATGTGTGTTTCATAATTCGGTAACGTAGTCTGGCAATATTTGTCATCAGCAGCTAGCTGTCAATGTCAAATACGTAGGTTTGTCAATATAACCTCTATATGTAGCCGGGTCGTCAACAGAAATAACGGGTAAAAAGGCAATCACAGCAGAGAACGTTCACAATCACAGTACGCGGGAGCGGATGCGAAATGCGAATGATTTTTTTGTTTGTATTTTAGGATTGTCAAATTGACATTTGGTTTTTTATTTAAAAAAAGCAGAGGAATCATGGTTTTTACAGTCACTTGAGTAATATTTTGAAGTAAAATTCTGTCCCTTGAAGATTTAGGGTTTCCATATCAAAAAATATTAATCATGATATAACTTCTTTCCACGATTCACTAAAAATAAGGCAAAAGTAGTTTTATGTAGCAAATAATTTTGGCTTTATTTTGAGACCAAATTCAACTGTATACAAGTTTAGCATTTTTTCTATGAAAAGTGCCGGGTCTCCTTTAGTCCAATTATGTTAAGATTATCAAAAAATTATGGTAGCATTTTTACTTTCTTCAATCAATCAAAAAATTACAAATATAAAGTGGACGTCTCTTCTAAGAAAAAAATGTACCAAGACTTGACGTCATGCGATATTTCAAACCAACGATCGATATCTCTGTAATGTTTTAATTACTTATGAGAATAAAGAAACTTTATGGACTAACAAAACAAACATTGTCAACATTTCTATTGAATAACAGTCGTACAGCGTATCTCTTTTACGCCTAAATTCTGTTCTATACTTTCGAGTCTACAAGTATTTTTATTTTTAAAGCATTTGACGAATTTTTTGAATTTTGAAATTTCTTTATTTGTATAATAAAAAACATAATGTATACACAGTTACATTATAACATGATAGTAATCGATATTAATAGACTATGCAAGGCGCCTTTTTATATCATTCAAACATCGAAAATACACTGTGAAAATCATACATAAATTTACTAATTTAATAGGGAACATCTGTGTACATTATTATTTCACTTTGCGGCGCGAAATAAATACAACATTATGCAAAATAATGTTACATAACAACAATAATAGCAGAGTGTCAATGAGGGTATTTATATTTCCCTCTAATAAACTTGAAAGTAGAACTAACAAGCCATTGCTGCAGCAATGAATACAAACGGAACAAACTCAAGATACCCACGATAGGATTGAAGCTACCGTCGAATAGTCAGTACGGTAGGGTAATTACGTTATTCGTAGTAGTTGAGGAAATAGTGATGAGGCAAACGATATCGAGAATAAGTTTTAGCATAATGCAAAGTGCACAATCGCGATTTACCAATGTTTGAAATTAACTTGTTTATATGATTTGGGTTATTATAAATATAGAACTTTTTTGATGCTTTTAGAATATAACTTTTAATTTGAGGGAAACCAATGTTTTCGTGAAGTTTGGTTAAGTTTGTACGAAAACTGGTATTATAAGCAATTTTAATTGCTTTGTTTTGAATTACTTGGAGCTTCGAATAGTTTGCATTACAGGTACTTGACCAGACAGGGGCAGCATAAGTGATACAGGGTCGGACTAATGTGGAGTATATGCGTAGTTTAGTATCGGGGCTAAGATTTGATTTCCTATTTAGGATGGGGCTTAGTGCGTTCATAGCCCTTATACCTTTAATATGTAACTGAGATATATTTTTTGTCCAGTTAAGTTTATAATCGAGCACAGTACCGAGGTAACGTACAGACCTGCTCCAGGGAATAATATGGCCATCAGACTTAAGACTTTTCGTAGGAAGTGAACGTTTCCTAGAAAACATTATAGCCTCGGTTTTGTTAGAATTCAGTTTGAGTTTCCATGTAGATAAAAAATTTGTCAGCGTCTCTAATGACCATTGGAGACGTGTAATTATGGTATCATCATCGTCCGAAGTGGTAAAACTAGCTGTATCGTCCGCATAGCAGGCCAGATAAGTGTGTGGTTGTTTTTTAATATCATTCAGGAATATTAGAAAAAGGATTGGGCCTAAAATAGATCCCTGGGGAACTCCGGCCAGTATCGCGTGGAGTTTAGAATGATGACCTTCGAGGTTTACGAAGAATGATCGACCTACAAGATATGACTTAATTAATTTTACTAGCTGCATGGGGATGCCAATTTCAAGGAGTTTATGAAGTAATCCATCATGCCAAACCGTGTCAAATGCCTTTTCAATATCAAGCAGTATCATACCTGTCGACTTTCCTAGATTGAGGTGGTGTGCTACATGTTCTGCAACCCTCGCCAACTGTTGTACTGTCGAATGACTTTGACGAAAACCAAATTGTTCAGGGATAAGTTGATTATTGAGATAGCCCGACAATCGTTTGGCAATGATAGATTCAAATAACTTACCCAGTGCTGGGAGAAGACTGATTGGTCTGTAGTTTTTAGGGTTTTTATCGTCCTTACCAGGCTTCTTAATAGCTATTATTTTAGCAACTTTCCAGAGTTCAGGAAAATAACAAATTTTAAGACAATCATTAAAAATCTTACAAAGAAAAACTATAGCTTTTCGAGGGATGTGTTTTAATAAAATATTGTGTATGTTATCATGACCGGGAGATTTGCGATTCTTGAGATTTTTAAGGGCTGTTGAAATTTCTCTTGATTTAACAAGATGATCGATTGAAGATTCAATAAACTTGTCAATAGAATCGAGAGATTTGTTAACTAAAGATACAGTTTCAGGTGGACTTATCCAGTTGTAAGTCAGAAGCATATTATTGGAAAAGGTATCAGCAAGTAATTCACACTGGTCTTGTATATTAGTTGTGATGCTTCCATCGGCAAGTTTAAAGGGTGGAATGGATGTAGGTTTTCCTTTCAAGGACTTGACTACACGCCAGAGATCTGAGCTAGGATTATCAGCATGAGCCAGTTTTGTGTTCCAGGTATGGTCATTGAATCGCCTAATAATGTCTCTTATATTGGCTTGCAAATGATTGAATTGTGCAAATAAAATTTTACGAATCTGTGGGACCGTTTCCTTGAGAGCCCGCTTACGAAGACGATTCTTGTCTTTTATCATATCTTTAATATAATTGGGCAGCGAAGGAGGACCATTCCGTGTTGGCCCATGAGGAACAAATGTTTTCTGTGCTTCGATTATTAATTTAGAGAAGTTTGTGATTGCTGATTCTATATCAGTTGGGGTTTTAAGTGTGGTTGGAGAAAGATCAATATTCTGGTTTAAAAAATATTTATACCCATTCCAGTTAGCTTCGGAATATCGAAATTGTACATAATGTTTACGAGTTATGAGACCATCTTTAGAGAATATGACAGGCAGATGATTTGATGATAAACGATTTAATGCATGTAGTCCATGAATATCGTGAATATTTTTGGTAATTAACACGTCAGGATTGGAGGGAGTAAAGTTGCCACAGTAGTGGATCAAAGTAGGGGTAGAAGGAGCAACGACATCATAATCATTGTTTACCATATGATCGTATAGAACTGTACCACGATCATTGATAGTGTTACAATTCCAATAACTATGTTTACTGTTTAAATCTCCCATAATCAGGGAGGTTTTGCCAAGGGTATACAAAATGTCAAGATCATAATTTAACAATTGATGATTGGGGGAGTTGTACACAGAAACTAAAGCAACTTTCTTACCCGATATTTGAATGTTTACGCCAATAGCTTCAATCTGATATGTGGGAGAAATATCAAGAGTAGTATATGGAATATCTGATTTGATAATAATCGCTACTCCTTGTCCAGATCCATCAGCTTTCTTATCCTGTCGAACACATGTATAACCTGGAATTTCTACAGATAAGTTAGGGTTGAGTTTAGTTTCACACAGTGCAGCAATGTCAATGTGTAGTTCTCGTAAGAGTTCAGTAAATTCATTTATTTTTGTACGGATGCCATCAGCATTCCAAAATATAATACGTAGTTTATTCAGTTTGTTAGACATAGTGACCAAGATGGGTGAGTATCAATATAACCTTGTCGATCATGGAGTGACAAGCTAGGAATTTATGTTTAAGTGACTTGATAGTAGACAATATTTTAAGCATTTCTGTTGTGGTGCTATCAGATTGTTCAGATGGCGAGCTGGTCATAGTTGAATTGTTAGGTATGATTATTTGGGTATCTTGTTTATCTGTATTTGTAACCACATTTGCCCAGGAGCGCCCATCAATTTTTGCACTTCGGGGTAATGTTCTAGCTGACAAAGTAACCCTTTGTTCCTCTTTCATAGCTTCAATTGATTTTAAATAGTTTTGTCGAGCATTGCACAGTCTGTAATTAGCCGGGTGGTATTCTTGACAGTTGCAACATTGAGCAGGAGTGTCACGATCCTTTTTGGTACATTCACTTGTTTTATGTAACTCAGTGCACTTGACACATCTAGGTGGTAGATTACAATGTTTCGATGTATGCCCAAACGATTGACAGCGGAAACATTGAGTCCCAAGGTGTGTTTTGGCTTTAAATTTCCTTATTTGAACAGCACAGCGACTAAGGTACTTGATTTTAAGAAATGCTGCCGTATCTGTTGAAGGGGGTAGTTGTACAAGAAATGGCGGGCAGTGTGTGGCATCATCAGGTGATTTTGTAAGTTTACGGATAGAACTG